CGATAGAAAGAGGAAATTTTCTTGGCCTGTGAAAAGGATCCTCAAATTGTGGCCATGTTTTAATCGAAATAAAACACACATTCCATCTGTTTTTGTCGTTTGTATCGATATAATCATTAGTGTCTTGACAAAGTCATTCCCGTGCTCTTCATTCATCAGTCGTTCCAACCGAGTTATTTCGATACCACCATGTGTAAATCAATTCTGGATATCCCATTGTAAGAATTTGAGCTGATGCATCAGAATCCTGCTGCTCAGAGAAGTGTCTATTCAGCAAATCTTTAGGAATTTGCTTCTTCTTCTTATAGCCTTCAATATTCACTGATTCAAAATACCATTCCTTATCTGACAAGTTGTTTCCTTGAGGTTCGTCAAATCTCAAAGAAAAGAAAGCATGCTCATAGCAATATGAAGTCTTTCTAATTTTCTTTACATACACAGGAAGGATGGTGTACTTGTTGGGATCATCGGTAAAGTAGCTTTGGTACTGTGTTTGATCGTTCAAAAGCTTGACTACGCCATCCAGTAACGTCTTGCGATCCAAGTGTTGCAAATTCAGTGGTTGTTGCAAGGTGCCATGAAACTTCTTCCATTGTTCAATTCCAGACTTCTTTCTCTTGATCCGAAGTTTAATTTCAAAGCTGTTGGAATGAGCAAGCTTGATTCCGACGCTACAGAAAAGTTCATGATGATTAGATCGATCGGTTTGATTGGATTGATGCAAGATTAAAAAGTAAATATCATCCTTTGATTCCATGACTCGTTGATTCTCTTGATGGTATTGAGAAAATTCTTCTTTCGAGATTTCCTTGAACCTACGAAATTCAAATCCCATTCTCGGGCAGCTTTGATGAAACTTGTTCAACGAAAATGGCTGGATGTATTTTTTCACTCAATGCGACTCAACCAAAGCGTAGCGTTGGCACAAGTTGCGGCAAGTAAAACTGACTGAATCTTTTCTTCGACTCGCGGACAGGGTATTCCAAACCAACACGTGGCCAACAACATACCTTTCACAACAGTTTAATTCAAAATCAATGAGTAGTGTGCCATCCATGAGTGTTCTTCTATCGAGGGAAATGTGATGAACAGGTTTTTTTTCAAAAATATGTAACGGCTAGTTTTGCTGGTGTGATGGCGACCCTGAACAAAAAATGTCTGAGATGTGGTTTTGTGGCCAAGGCTCATGTACGGGTTATGATTTTTCTTCCTTATTCGGAGAGCAGGACGCTTCAGATGAGGAGAATGAAAACATTGATTATTACTTTTGCACAGCAGCAAGCTTTGATATTGCAGAATTGGACGGAGATGAATCCTATGGAAACGATACAGATTTAAATGAAGGAGATGAGGAAGAGGAGTACGACGACGAACAAGTACCCTATTTTCCAACTAGTACATTTTCTAGAATTATTTACAAGCCATCACGATTGTTAAGAAGACCAGCAAAAAGAGGTGGAAATCAAACCATAGCTCGAGGAAGAGGAAAATTGTGGATGAGAGACGATCATTTTCGGAAAAACGAGCCATGGGTCATCAGTCGAGTGTGCAGCGGAGGATTTCATACGCAATATAATTTATTCTTTATTGAAAATGATGAAAGAAAATACTTTTATATGAGCAGTGATACTTTACAAGTGTTGCGAAAATTTGAATTTTCGGTATTGTTCGAGCACATGTTGAAGAAAATGATTCACAATCATCAAACAAATAATTTATCTTCTTCATCGGTTCATACAGAAATAGTTCTCTCTGAAATAATATGTGGCTCTCGAGAAATGAAAGATATCATTTGTAACAATGCAAATTATGTACTATTTGAAATGATGGATGGAAGACTATATTTGTTTGATATATGGAGAATAATACTATTTCCATTTCCAGTTGTAAATTTTAAAAGCGACTCAATCATCATTTATTCGAATATCATGTCAGAGGAAATTATTTGTTACCTGAAGAATCAGGAAAGAACACTTCGAATTTGGATCTCACAGGAATGCAACAAGTCAATATCATTACCAGTAGAATGTAACACTCTCAAACAAATTGCAGCGTATTCAGAGAATTATCACTATTTCGTCGATGTGCAAAACCAATTATTTATGCATCAGCACAGTATTTTCTCAGGCTCTTCAAGGGCGATCATTGATGACATCATTACTCATGTTTCACTTCCAAATCATGATGAAATTGCTGGTTCCAATGTTAAGCAAATTTGTTGTGGAGCCTCGCATATTTTAGTGTTGTTCGACAATGGAATTGTGCTCGCTCGAGGATCCAATCAGTATCAGCAATGTGGTGTGCATGGGACAACCAAGTTGTTGGAATTTGTGACAATTAATGTTTCTTCTCCAGTCAAATCCATATCTGCTTGTCCAAACTGTAGCGTATTAATGACTCATAGCACATTCATATTTATAGGAGCCGTGTTCGATCCTTTTGAAAAGCAAGACCAGAAATCAAACAGGAGTTACCATGAGTTGTATTCTCGCTTCACATCAATCTATATCATTTCGAAGGAAAAACAATTCGAAACTGTCGAATGTGGTACATTATGTTGCTTTGTATATCCAAAGCTCTACTTGAGCTTCTATGATGCCTTAAGAGACGGAATTCTTCAATTCTTTTCTCGTTTGAATCATCAACTCATGGAAGCAAATCAATTTAGGAATCATCCTTGCAATTTCACAGACTTGAACATGGTTTGTTTGTGATTTGCATTTTCTTGCGAAAAAAAATGAATAACGACCATGATAGGACTTGTGCTGAAGAGGGTTTTGTTCATCAAAATTACAACAATGATCAAGAACAAGATACTCCGATGAATAATTTTCCGTCTTCTTCGACTCAGCAGAATGAATTGCCAATAGGAGTGCAAAATGAATCTTCAAGCAATCATCTTAACAAACGAACCAAGTCATCAAACTCGAATTTATTTGTTCCAAAGCAAGTGATGATGAAACAAAGAGAAAGAACAATCAACCCTACCACTGACTCTAGCGAAAAAAACTCTTTAATTAATTCTTTACTTCCACCAAACAAAACCAAAATTACTCTTCCAATTATGGAATACAGCCAAACTATCGTAAGAGCCATAGAAGAACATCAAGTTGTGATCGTGACAGGAAATACTGGCTCGGGAAAAACAACGCAGGTGCCACAACTCATATTGAAACATTACCTAGAAAATGGAGATGTTAGAAATTTAGCAAATGTTAAAATTATTTGTACACAGCCCAGAAGAATTGCTGCTACAAGTTTATCACGTCGAGTGAACTCAGAAATGAAGGAATATCTAGAAAAGCAACACTTCGATAATATTTTTCACCATGGAAAAATGGCTGGTTATATTATTGGAGGAGAGCATAACATTGATAATGACACGCCCATAATATTTGCTACCGAAGGTTGTTTAACTCAAATAATTATGAATTTACAAACAGGATCAAAAGGGACCTATGAAACGTTTCACAAACATTTTTCACATATAATTTTAGATGAAATTCATGAAAGAAAGGTGGATACTGATTTACTGCTTTACTTTGTAAGAGAAATTGTCAAAGTTAACCCTAATGTGCGAGTTATTTTAATGAGTGCCACAATATCTCATCAAAAACTTTGCACATATTTTGAAACAGTGTTACTGGATGTGTATAACAACGTTGAAAATACGGACAATGATGATCAGGTTCCAGAATCACCGGGATTTTCACAATTTTTATCCTTCGAAACACTGCAAGTCAGCAGTAAAGTTCCAATCATTCATATTCCCAGTGGATGCTATCCTGTTCAGGAATATTTCATTGAAGACGTCATCGATTTAGTATATCCTAAAGCACACAACGTATCAAAAACAATTCCAAACTATAACACTCTTTTAACGAAACCGTTGAGACCAGGAATAACACTTGAAAGAAGAAAATTAGCAGTATCACTTATTGCTAAGCTCCACACTGAACATGCACTCAACGCAGCAATTCTGATATTCTTGCCTGGCATGGTAGAAATTGAGGATTTTATGGACGATTTAGCATCACCGTACATTACCATGGATGAGTGTCCTTATGACATCCATATTTTACACTCATTGGTAGCAGAACAGGAACAAGATGCAGCGTTATTACCTTCCAAACCAGGAAAAAGAAAGATTATCTTAAGTACTAACATTGCAGAAAGCTCGATCACTGTTCCAGATGTCGTAATTGTAATAGATTTTTGCTTGTATAAGGGAAAATTTTGGAATGAATCATGGAATGCAGAAGGTATGTTCTACATGCTCTCACAACATGGTTTAATGGCGAATATTTGCCTTTGTAAATTTTGTTATGACTCTGTTTGAAGTTATGGGAGTGAATTGGATTTCTAGTCAAAGTGCAAAACAGAGAGAAGGAAGAGCTGGGAGAGTTTCTCCAGGAATTTGTAAGTACATTTTTGGAATCAACTTTTGCGCGAATATCATGAACACTGCAGGTTGCAGGATGATAACCAAAAGTGAATATGAAATGTTGGATGAGTCAGTAGTTCCGGAAATCCAACGCAAGCCTCTTACGGGAGTTATTCTACAAATTTTGATGTTTACTGGAGCTTATGAAAAAGAAGAAACCGATCCAAAGAGAAAAATCCAAACCAAATTTCAAGCACCTTCTGAAGTATTAAGCAATTGCTTGGATCCTCCAAAAATGGTATTGCTGGAGCACGCCTATCGCGAATTGCTTTCGTTGGGAGCAATAGTACCCATTCAAACAGGAACTATTAGCCAGGCTACAGATAAGTCGATTGTTGAGCAGTATGAACTGCAAGAGTCATATCTGGTTACAAAAATTGGAAAGTTCTTGTCTCTAATGCAAATTGAGCTGAAATTATCGTTTATCATTCTTTTAGGATATTGTTTAGGAATTTTGCCAGAATGCATGATTACTGTTGCTATTCTTTCTAGGTCTGTTCCTGTGCTAACTTTCTCATATCTAAAAATTCTAACAGCTAAGGCATTATTTGCATTTTCTAACCAGTCTGAAAGTGACGTTATTGCTGGAATTCATGCATTTAATAGATTCAAATCGTTATCGATGCAGAAAAAACAAAACAGAATGAGGCAACGAGAATTTTACGAAACACTTCAAATAGAAATGATTTCTTCTAAATCTGCACTAGAAATTGAATCTCTGATTGCTCAAATATGTCATACTCTATTTAAACATTACGGAATTTATATTGAAAATCTCACATCCACATCTGCAAGCACCCACAAACGAAACATAAGGAGAATTGCCTATACACCCCAAAGTCTGACGAACAAACGATTATGCTGATCAAATCATTGATTTCTAGCCTGTATTACGATCAAGCAGTCATTGGAGAACTAGCAAAAACGCATACAGTCATCCCTAAAGAAATTGTATGCTCTCTCAAGCTTCGAAAACAGAAATTAGTTGTTGACAAAGATTCACAGTTGGGTTGGAATGAAGCATTTTCTGAGCTGTTTAAATATTTTGACGGTGGAATTCTAAGCTGTAAAACGCTAACCGTAAGCCCAAGCAAAGTTTCGCTTTCATATCCAATACCTCACTCCGACGAAAATCTATTAATACCGTATCCACCCAATTGCAAAACAGATCCATTATTTCCTTTAAAGCTGTTAGCCAGAACTGTGAGAGGATCTGCTCAAGAAAAGGGCAAAGACATTCTATTAACTCTTTCACAAGTGAAGCAAAGTATGGTATGCATTAGAGATGATTCAGATGTATATGGAGTTTTTAGAACTTTGCCAAATGACTTGATCAAATCGCACGTTCTAAAGTTTCTATCGGTGGAGGCCAAACCATATCAACGAAAAACACAGTTTTTACATCCTCAAATGAGCTCATCGGATAAGGCAATCATATCACGCGATTCCGTAGCATATCCATGGGTGGATTTGCAGCATAAACAAAGGATACTTGTTCCTTCCAGCATCTCAATGAAGGAAATGGGAATTGTCATTGAAAAGAATACGATACTTCCACCTATTCAAGGTTTTTATGAAATGAGCTTGCTGTTATTTATACCTCTTATTTATCCTCAAAAATTTTTCACCTATATCCCTAATGTTGAAGATTTGGAGCAGGCGTACGAGATTCGAGTCGGAAATTTCGCTCAAAACATAGTCATCTCTGGTGTATCTGATACATTTTCGAGTCTAGCTGAGCATGAGAAACCCACACCATATTATTACAAGACCACCATAATTCAAACGTGTTCCTCATTCCACACGAGAACAGCTTACAACACCGAGTTCATTATATCCGATCTGAAATTAACCAGAAAATTACAGAATTTTTTTCTAGCCAAGCTGTTCAAAGTATGGATGAATTTCATGCAACCTTGCAAAATAATATTTTACAACTTTTATTAGGCGCACAGCAGTTCATTCATACAGATCAATGCGGATATAATCAAAAAACAGCTAGAATTTTGAAATTGGAGTCCATTGACGGACCAATTATTGAACATGATGACGAAGAAAACCATATTTGTGGAACAAGTATTTTACGAATGTCTGAAATTGCTAAAATTTCTGATAGAACTTTGAAAATGATAGCTGATAGATCCACTTCAACAGACTCACCAATCGATATTTTACGGAGAGGTAGATCTACTATTGAGCTAAATTACGTACAAAACATCAATGCATACAGGCAAAGTATTTACTGTTACGAGAAATTAATAATGTTCGCTCAGTATTTGAACATCCCAAACAAGCGTTTATAATGATTGAAACCTCAAAAACGAATGCCACCAAGTTGTTGTCATCCAAAATTTTCTTTTGCAAACATGATGATATCACTGGAAAAAACAGAGATTTTTTCACTATTAACTCCATTCACTTCACATCTAAGCATCACCACCATCACAACACAAAGCTTATTACTATTGACGAAAACAAAGAACATCACAACACAAAGAAAGCATTGAAATCTGAGGTTCTATCCGAGAAATTGACGAGTGGAGGATTTTTACTAGAACCATTCGCAAAGAAACATGTAATCTCTGCTTTCAACAAAAAGTCACAGCTCCCATCAGAGAATGCCAAGTTCAGCATGAACGCGTATTTCGGTAAACAAGTCTTTTATGCATCGAGATTGGGTTCAACTAACATTAGCCAATCACAAAAAAGCCTGACATTGAACGATTTCAGAAATATGAAAATAGGAAATGAGAATGACTTAAAAGCATTGTTTTTACCGTATGTGGATTATTGCAGTCATCCCAAGTGGAACATTACGAAAGCCTATGTTGAATCTCTCGGTGATCCATCCAAGAAAGTGAGCTTCTTTTCTGATCATGCATTATTCCAGCCTTTACTCTCTCAGGTTAAGCCTACATTGGGAATTCAAAAAGAGATCATTTCAATGGGTATTGTTGATACTATCACAAGCACTCGATACAACTTGAGTTTTAGTGTTGACCGAGAAATGGTGTTCACAGAGAATGAAATTTTCATGTACAAGTGCAAACTTGAACATGTACGACCGCCTGAGATCAAATTACTTTACCTTTCTTGTGTCTCTCCCTGTACTATTGACAGTCATGACACTGAAGAATCAGTGAAAACAAAAAATGTAAACTCGGTAGATGTACGCTTTTCCAAAACTCTTCAGACAGTTGTTGACGAGACCACTTATATGAACTTATTAAGGCCAGAGATTTTACAATTTGCTGACAGTATCTGGTATGATGAAGACAATTACACACTATATTATTTATTTGAGGACAAGAATAACAAATCATACACAGCCATTGATCTTGTGCAGTTGAATTTAGCGTTTGGAAGCACGGTGCCAGATATCATGTCACAAGTTCGACAACAAACACCTCTCGCAACACTCTCTATGGACTCTGCAAGCTACACCATTGAGGAACGGTTGCACGAGACAGCAACTACATTTATTTTGACATTCCGACACGTGGTGGATATTTGCAATCCATTCAAGAGGTACAGCACTACAGCAGTTCACGTTACGGATGAAAAATTGAAAAACTATGACGTAGGCAGCAACGTGAAACAGTTCATGAACAAAGTACTGGATTGGAAACGAATAATCAACCGTGAGGAAAGAGAGAATGACATTATGGTTGACCAAAAGGATGGATTCTAATTTTTGGTTGAGTCACTTTTGTTTTCTAATGAATTCAAGTGCATGACACAAACTCTCAAAATTTCGTTCATAAATACTGAAAGATCATCTTCCTTGGCAGGTTTTAAATTTACAAATGCCTTGATTTGATTGTATTTTCTACAATAATTCATAATTTCTGAATGAAGCGGAATGAAATCATTGCAAGTTTGTAATGGAATATCTGGAACGCTGTTACTCTTCTTGCTGAACGATTGTTGAGAACATAACCAAAGAAAATTCATTCCAACTACGATGACTGGAGTGGTTGTATGTGAGTTCATAAAATGAACCAGATTCGTTTTCACATAATTCCAAGATTCCTTGTCAAATCGATTGAACATGCAGACAGCGAACGTTTGAGAAGCATGCTGAGTTCCAAAATTATATTTTTCAAAACCTGATTGCTTCATTGGTAAGCTTTGCTCTGTAAAAAAGACTTTGTCTAAATGAATTTCATAATTCAACATGTTCGATCTCGGAACTACAAGAGTTGAGCTATTTCCCAATGCTGGTATTACAATACCGCTCTTGAAATGTGAATTGTAATATGAATAACCATAATGTCGTGCATCTCCATAGCAAAAATAACCCACTATATTAACACTGATGGACATGTTTGGATCGTAAAGAATATCTACTGACAATGGGCTGTAAATGTTCAACATTGGGGAAGCCGGCAAAGTTTCTTGTCGTTCCTGTTCATTTGTTTTCAAAATTTCACCAGCAGTGAAATGTACATGATGATTTCTCGTTTCTAGTAAATAATCTTGCCACAATTTCAATGTTAATTTCTTAAAAAATCCAGCTCCTTTCTTCAGTTCATAACTGCATGTCTCGATTTCAACAAGGTTTTGTTTCATTTGTACGACCTGTTGATATAATTCATGACCTTGGACCACTTTTTCCAATTTCTTTTTCATGAACGATGTTAAAGGATTCTCATTGGGTGTTGCCGCATCGAGAGTGATCGTAGCATGTTCACCACAACAAAAACAAGATTGAATCCACAATTTAAAAACCCATTCATATTGAATTTGTGCCCAATATTCGATATCATCCAAATCTTTGGAAATGATTTTATGAAAAAGAGTGTTAACTTGAGATAATCGTATCACTGAGATCGGATCAAGATATTGCATAATTCCAAAGACCCAAACATCAAAGGCAATGTTTAACGGTGGTGGGCATGAATAGGAGCTGATCCGTGTGCGACGTCGTGATGATGCACGTGTGGTCCTTCTTCGAGCCATTTTTTGTTGATGAACTTGATGTCACACTCTCTTGGTAGAGATAATTTAAAGCTTTAATCACTCACAATCATTTTCCCTTACTCTTCGATCATTTCAATTTCTTCTTCATCACCACGTCTATTCTTCATGACTCCCAATTTTCTAAGAGCCTCTTCATTGAGGTAATTTGGACCTTGTGACGATGATGATTTGAGAGGTCGAGGCACAGAAAGTGTTGGACCAGCAAGAAGTGAAGAACTTTCTGTGGTCCATTTTGGAAATACTCTCTTGTACAAATTCATGCAAACAGTATCCTTTGGAAGTACGTTATCATCGAACAGACAACGCATGTAACCATGAGTACCAATGGCTTCTTTGATGACACCATGTCTTCCGTATTTGGTGTAAACTTCAACAGGTTTGAACCAACGAACATCCTCAGGATTGAAAAACATGTAACGAGCTACTACTTGATTCTTGTGAAGTTTGTATGGGTGACCTGTGAGAATAATCTTCTTGACAATGCATCGATATGGATCCACGCTGTGAACAGTACCATGCCCAACAAAGTCCAAGTTTGGTTGATCTTGAATATTTCCATTTGCACTAGCTGTTTCAACAATGGTATTATTATCCAGTAAGGTGAGTTGAGGTCCCTTTTGGTTACGACGGAACATCAACACTGGTGCTGGTTTAAAGGTGACAGGAGCATAAACAGTGGCTATTAAGAAACGATATGGTGCAAAGAATCTCTCTAATTTGTGTTTGTCATTTCTTGGATTATGTTCTGAATAAATAGGATTGCATTTAAATGTTCTGAAACCAATTTGAATGATTAATTCATCTTTGGATTTGATTGGATGTTCCTCAATTTCTGCTCCAGGTATGGGCTCTTCTTCATCATCGTCTTCCTCTTGAGGATGATATTCAATCATCTTGGTAATATTATCCGAAGGATCATAGTCAGCAGCTTGTTTGATCACTACTGATTCGTTGGTTCTCTTGACAAGCAAATGAACCACACTGGTCTTTTGTTCGTGTCGCAATAAACCAAATACAATGAGTGGTTCCTTTTTTTGTTGAACAACTTCCATCATGCTCATTGGAACATTGGCAATGTGAAGCGTAATATAATTTTCCCACAAATTATAGTCATTATCTGGATCAAATCCTTCAAGAGCAACCTTTTGTGACACCATAAAATTCTTGAAACGGAAAATTCTAGAGTAATCGATTGGCAGATTTTCCTCAGGATCCCATGGTGACGATCTGAAAGACTTTAAACCTCTGTACTTTTGGAAACGAACACGAGCAGGAACGTCCAAAGGTGTTTCAACTTCATCAGGATAATCCATTTCATTCTTCAATTCCTTTCTTGCTTTAATGGCACGAAGCATTTCATTAATTCGTTCTTCTTCTGTCATGTCTTCATCCATTTGATCCAAATTAAAGACCTTGTCAATGTGAGTTTGAGCCTCAGATGCAATGTCGAAATTAAATTCCACGCGTCTTTCTTCTTCTGTGTCCTAACAGCACGGTCGGCTTCATCGATCATTTCATCATCAACGTCTTCGGCATCCTCTTCTTTAGCATCTTCTAGCGAGTCCATAATCCAAGCAGCTTCCATAGCATTCATACCCTTAGGAACCACCTTCTTATGATAAACATATCCTGATTGTTTTTCCATGATTTGATTGTGCAACTCCATTTCATAGTCTTCTTTGGTTGGAAGAGTTTGCTCACCATCCATCAAATCAGGATCGAGAGCAGTTTGAAGTGATTCTTGATTGGCGTCTGGAAGTAATTCTTTTGGTTCATGAGTCATATTTTTATCGAGTACTTGTGACGACTTCTTGTCATCTTCCATTGCATTTTCATTTTGAGGCTTCGATTTTTTGGAGAGAGCATGTGAATTTTCCTTTTCCAATAAAATCTTGTCCAATTGATAGGTACCATAATTTACGATATGGAAAAGCTGATTTGGACTTGCTGATTTGCCACGCAAATATCCACGGACAATCAATGTTCCATTGGTATTATTACCATTGTCGTCAATCACATCTGAAAAGTCTCTATCTTGAGAATTCTTCACAAATTCATAATTTTCAACAAGCATGTATGGATGATTTTCTCTCCAATGAATTGTTTTTGGTGTCAACGTGTTCACTCTCAATAAAATTTGCTTCATATCGCTCTTTGACTGCTCCAAAGATGTTGTACTGTCATCCATCATTGAGCTTTCTGTTGAATTGTTGTTGTTGTTATAGACAAAAACTTTTTCAAAATCAGGAATTTCATCTTTCAGTATTCTGTTTACAGTATTTTTAAAGTCGTTTTGTTTCTTGTTAGGAATTTGATTTAGGCCTTGCAGAATGACAATACTTGAAGGTAATCCTTGTGCTCTCAATAATGATAAATTATAACGAGCTGTGGCATGAATTTGAGTGTCTTGAATACTTTGTGAAGGCAGCACAAATATCATAACATCTGCCACTTTGGCTGCGTCCAAAACAGACCTCATATTGTTTTGGTTGACACAAAAGAGAGTGAGTGTCTTTTGTTGAAATTCCTTTTGGAGTCTAACAGTGTACGCTTGATGAAGGTCAAGTTCGTTTAATTTGAGTTTGCCATTCTCATATTCTTCAGACCTTCCGATGATATCATAAAAGACGCTTTGTACATCCTCTAAACGTCGTCAAGTGGATAAATATGAAAATAATAGAATTACAGTAAATGTTGAAGAAATGAATGATTATTCATTCCGATTTAAAAGCATCATTGGAAACAACAAGAAACATTCATCACAATTGTTGAACTCTCACAATTAAAACCTACCGTGTCCGGTTGTTGAACCACTCAAAGACATGATTGCAACAATTCTCGGAGGATTTCCAGTCTTTCCCAATCGCTGTCTATATAATATCTGTTGCTTCTTATTGTCCCTCAATTGTTTGGCTCGGAGCTTTCTTTGAGCCTTTCCTTGTTGATGAGTGTGTTTGGTTTGAGAGGCTTTCAATCCTCCATCTGCGGCAGAAGAAGAACCTTCTGCATTATTGGACACTCTACCCTTGTTTTCCTTCTTTAATTGTCTTTTACTGGTGTGTCGGTTTTTGTGCTTCTTGTTGTCTTGATGAAAATCGGAAGAAGAACGATGATGAGTGCTCATTTTTTTTGAAGTCAAGTTTCTAAAATCTGAAAGCAACAAACAATTCGCAATAAAATTTCAACAGCGAGTAGAGGCTGATGGTCTAGTAATGGTCAGAACAAACTATATGAACAACAATGTTGAACTAACAGAAATTACTGACTACATTTTCTAATAAGAGATGATTCAATGGATTCAAGTCTGTGTTGCATGTCATGAAAAGAAGGACGTTTCATGGGTTCCATATTCCAACATTCCTTCATCAATTCCATATAATTCAGAATTGCTTTCATGAACACATCTTTCATGGAATCATTCATGTGAGTGTTATGAATAGAATCGTTCAAGATGATCGGATATACTTGAAGCCATTCTTTCAATTCATTCCAATTTCGGAATGGAACGGATGGTCGATGTCCTTTCATTACTTGATACAATAAAGCAATGGTAGAACAAGAATTGAGTGCATCGAGTGTCGTGGAGGAGGTGGTTTGAGAGGATCTTTGAAAGGTATTTCTCGTTTTTTCATGTTCTGAGAATGGAGACAATTCAAAGAACAATTCCCACATGATGATGGCATAGGAATAGACATCGACCTTAGTGGCTTTGGATGCCTTGTCCTGAACAATGTCATTGTTGTGGAAAGTGTTGGATTGTCTGTTATGAACCATGTTGGAATCTAATGGTTGTTGAGAATGAGAAGGATCTTCACGGTCCTGTGCAATCATTTCTGGAGACATGTAGAGAAGAGTGCCAACGTTTCGAGTCATGCTATGATTGGTGTTGGTTTCAATAGTTCTTGAAAGTCCAAAATCACACACTTTGCAATTCATATTCTTATCTATAAAAGGTTGATCCAATTATTCTGAATTTTCAAACGAGATACATACCTAGCAAAAGATTTCCAGGTTTCTTTTTCATGTAATTTGTAGTGTGAATGTACAAAACAACCATTTCGATTGCTGACACTTACCAAATCTCTATGAACAATTGCTGGTTGAAGTGAATGCAAATAATCCATTCCTCTCGCTACTTGAATTAAAATTCTCAACTTGTCTATAAATGACAATTGAATCATTCCCATTCTACATTTATACAAAATCTTATCCAAACTTCCATTGTCCAAATATTCAGTAATCATAAATTTACATTCCTCTGTCAAACAAATTCCATAAAATGTCAAAATACATGGATGTCTCAATGAGGCAAGCAGTGAGACTTCTTTTTCAAATTCTTCTTGTTTTGTTTCATCATCCAACAGTTCTGCTGTTAATAATTTGAGAGATTTTATAGCCACCAAAGTGCCTTTCCATTTACCAAGATAGACACATCCCATTCCTCCTTCAGCAATTTTTCGTAAAATTTCTAAATCTTTGGCCGCAATGATGAAGGATTTTAGAGATGGTTCCTTTTTGGTGGAAGCGGAAGGAAGGAAGACAGAGCGAGTATGGATTACTTCTTCTTCCATTCGTTGAAATTTCTCTTCTGAGGAAAGTAAGGGTGAGTTCAAATTGGAATTCCAATTTCGAGATGAAGAGGAATGATTCAATTCTTGCGTGAATTCTGAATACTGAATATTTCCGACACGACTAGAGTTTCCTTGAAACACAATAGCCTTATCTAGAATTCTCTTTTCAACACTTTTTTCAGCGTCTTCTTTTTCTCGTAATCGTTTTAATCGTTTTCGAATGTCTCGACACATGACTATTCCTGAAATTCCACACAACAATCCTAACGTGACACTTATCAGAACCAACAAGACAGCAACGGGAAGAGCCACTCCTAAAATGAGTGGTAATAGATCTGAAGGATTGGCAATACATGAGTTTAAAGCTTGACTTCCAAGCTGGACGAGTCCGAGAGAATATCCTTTCGGGCAAGGATTCATTTGAATTTGGAGAAATGGAGTGGGTGGAGAAAGAATGGATTCTCCGTGAATGGTTAAATTGAATGGAGATGTCATTTGCCATTCTCCATTTGGAATATTCTTGTTGACCTCGTTTAGATGAAACTCGGACTGCTCCGTGTTGTTTGAGTTGATAATATATAAGGAGAGGACAGTTTGGTTTGGAAATTGAGAGGAATGAACGTAATAATTAGGATCCATGGCCTTAATTGCAAATTTTTCAATATCACATGGAACTTGTAAATGTAGAGACCAGCACGTCATGTTCACCTGTGTCTTACTTCCTGGAATTGAATACCATATTGGTTTTGTTTCAATCTCAATATTAGTCACACTAGTTAAATAATCATTTCCAAATTTAGTTGCCGCATTTCCCTCAAATTTGGTGCCATCCAACAGAGACATTAGATCTTTGCTTTCAAGAATGGGAGCATAGTGAAAGATAGCACCTCCCTTCCATGCCTTATTATTAATGAATTGACATCCATCGAGGCTCATCACTGATTGGGCAACAAAAAACAATGCACCGCCCACTTTTGCCGAGTTTTCAATAAACGTATTATTCCACAGAACATTCTCAGCAGAATCACTCATAGTATTGATCGAGAGTGCTCCTCCTGATCCCTTATAATATCCACTCGCTGACTGATAATCAATTTCTCCATGAAACGAAACTGAATTGTTGTAAAATAAATTTTCACTCATTTTCATTCGAAAGGTGAGATTAATGAAAAGCGCAGCTCCACCCAATGAAGCTCGATTTCCTCTGAATACATTCTTTTCAATATTCAAATCAATAGAGTCATAAATATAGAGAGCACATCCATACTTGTCACATTGATTATTTTCAAAGAGGCAGTGTTCAATGGTGTTGGCATAGAAGGAGGTGTCTGTGTCAAATTCTCGATTTGGAAAACTCTCGACGAAGATACAAGTTCCTGAATTATGTTGAAAGGTAGATCACTCACCTTAAAGGTGTCCACGTCAGAGAGAAAGATGGAGGAAGCTCTCTCGTAACCAGTATTATTAAGGAATGTGGAATTTGAAATTTGAACATTCACACAACTTGTAATGCTGAAAATTCCAAAATATATTGGAACTGTGTCGTCGAGTAAAAGTAAGGCATTGTTCCGAATGATGAGATGTTGATCCGTTACTTGAGTATATCCTCTCACAAAGAGAAAGGAATTTGAATATTCAAAGGTACAATCGAGCAGTTGAAACGTTCGTCCAAGAATGGAGTTAAATACACCTGAAACAGATCGATCTCTCGAAAATTGACAATACTGGACAACAATTTTCTGGACTTCTCTCGAAGTGAATTCAAAAAAGTAATTTTCAAATATCGAATGCTGTAGAATGGCTAATTGGGAGGATTGAATGGTAAATCGAAGACGACCCTCTCTCAATACATTGTCTGAATAAAACATGAAATTCGAATTGCTGACATACACTTCATTATACTGTATCCATTTCATGTTTAGAAACCAACTTTGCATTCCTTGCATGTGATATAGAATGGAACGAGTGATTTCACACGAATCCATGATGAAAAAGGCATGGTGCTTGCCAAAACATCCATGAATCAATCACTCTGCAATGACAAAATCCCAAATGTGTCGATGGACTCTTTGTATTGTTGAGTCTTAATAAATTCACTTCGAGTTGTGTGAATAATAAATAACCAATATCCGTTCGAGTCATGAGATAGGACGTCACTGGTGCTTTTATGAAGAAAACTGAGTGTTGAAAGTGTTTGTTGAGAAGAATCTGCTGCTGATTGGAATATAAACACATAGGTCAATCCAAGTTTTGGTGAAGTGATCAATTCATTTTCCAACAAATCCACAACATGATCGACAATGAAAATATTCACAAATACTACTCGAGAGGTATTGGTAAGATTAATAAAATCATAATGTTCCATCTGAAGTATTTGATCCAACGAGATTAATAATTGTTGTAAATTATGGAATTCCATTGCATTTCTTTTCACTTCAACAGAAGAGTTTGTTGGAGAATGTAAATAAAAATTGAGAGAAATATTGAAATGATGTGCATACTGTCCTTGGATTTGTCTCATCGAAGGACAATTAGGTTGTTGTTGTTGTTGCGGTAGTGTCAGTTGCTCTGACTCGGAGGTGAACCATGAACGATCGTGTGAATTTTGGAATTGGAAGGTGTCGTCGGGTATTAATATTGAATTTGAAACAGTTAAAAGAACGAATGTGGTGTGAGAAAGAATGAAAATTAGAGCCGAAAGCAAGTACAACCAAAAGATGATTCCAAAGCGTGGGTTGCTTGTCATGGCTGTTGTTGACATTTTTTAATGTTGAGGTATTTGGATTTCGCTAATAGTTTCAAGATGTCAGCTTTCTTGGGGCAACTCAAAAAAAAATTGTTGAAATGAATGTTAGGCTCATGTTGTTTGATTTTTCATCATTCTCATCAGAGCCTTTGAATCAAAATTGGAACAAGGCACAAAATTCTGATCACTTCTTGATGAATCATCGATTATTAAAATCAAAGATGAGCTATAGAAGATATCGGAATGTAAAACCCTTTCAGATGAAATTTGAATGGATATATACTTTTGGACAATCGGGAGTGAGCGGAACAACCAATGTAAATCTCCTTTCAAAACCTCTTGATGTCAAAATTTCCTATACACACGAATGTATTTTGATCAGTGATACCAATGGAATACAAGTATTTGACTTGTATACAAAGAAACACAAAGCATCAATATCACTCCCTGAATTTTCTCTCAGTCATTTATGTATTGAAGAATTTTATGAAGAACAACGAGATGCATTGCTTGTGAGTGGAAATAATCTTGTTTGTAAATATAATTTACAATTGTTGTTGCAAGAGGCAGCAATGGATCAACAGACTCCATACATTTGGAACTCTGACCTCGCTATTAGCCCACAAGGAATGGCAATAGCAAAACAATTACAACAAGTATTTATTGGAGACAATTATTGGGCGTATATTCTCGTGCTGGATTTAAAAACGGGAGACGTAATTAATTTTATTGAACTTTGTAGTTCTCCGTATGGAGTTGATGTGACAACATGTGCTGAACAACCAAAGTGTGAGTCACTTTATGTGATTGCTACAGGGAAGAACGCAGATTTTTGTATCGAAATAATGAAGAAAAACAGCGACAACGAATTTTACACAAAAAAAGCGCAGTTTTGCGAATATGGACAAGGAATTGGAAAGCTCAAACGACCGTTTGGACTGGTGTTTGACAAGGAAGCAAAACATGTAATTGTAACTGACAACGAGCAGCACCTTATTCAAATATTTACACTGGAGGGAAATTTGGTAACCTTCTTTGGAGACAAAAACAACCTAAACGGACCTACTGGGATTTGTTTGAATGAACTGAGAGGTGAATTATTCGTATGCAACACTTCAGATCACACTGTTAGAGTGTTTAGATGAAAAGAAATTATTGCCTTGAAGTAATAGATTCAACTGATATGAAAGCCAAGTCTTTGAAGGACTCACAAGTTTATTTAATCTTGACTTCATGGGTTCAAAATTTTTCACACCACATGTGGTGTTAAGGCAAAATTACAACAAATTTGAATTGTTGTATGATGGAAAAATTATTAACGGTGCAACTCTTGCTTATTTGTAAAGATCAAACTTTCTGAACTTTCTGTGTTTTCTATTCTTTCTATTCTTTCTGAACTTTCTATTCTTTCTGTGTTTTCTTTGTTTTCTTCTCTTACAGATCTTCTTAGTCTTGGCACAAACTCTTCTGGATTTAGCACGTTTCTTACACACTCTCTTTCCTTTGGTGAATTTGAACTTTTTACAAACTCTTCTACCTTTGGATCTCTTGATGCACTTCTTGAAATTCTTTCTACGAATACATTTGGATGGGAAGTGTTTTCTCTTGGCACAGAATCTTCTCTTCTTGTGTTTGACACATCTTGTAATCTTCTTGTGTTTCTTACAGAATTGTTTGAATGCCCATTTAGCACAGAATTTTCTCTTCTTGTGTTTCACACATTTTGTGAACTTCTTGTGTCTCTTACAGAAACGAATGGTCTTGTGTCGAACACATTTAGTCTTGTGTGAAACGACACGGCATTTACGAATGAAACGACATTTACGTGGAGCATAGGAATCGACATACTTGTCACACTTCTTCTTCTTGAAACATTTCTTAATTGGGAATTTCTTGTGTTTCTTACAAATACGTTTCTTACCATGAGCCACACACTTTTTGTACTTCTTGTGTCTGGCACAGAATTTCTTGTATCCATATTTCTTACAGAATTTACGTTTTCCATAAGAATCGCAAACCTTCTTGGTCTTTCTCTTGGCACAGAATTTCTTGAATTTGTGTTTCACACACTTGGTAAAGGCCTTACTGTATTTATCACACTTGGACCATCTCTTGTGCTTCAAACAACGACCCTTTCCAACGATGGCATACTTGTCGCAAAACTTTTTACGACCCACGACTCTGTGTTTGAGACATTTTCCTCTCAAATACTTGTGCAAGACACACTTTTTGCGACAATGTCTTCGAGGTTTAGGTTTGTAAGGATCTGGACGGTAAGAGTCAGATCCTGCAACGTAGACTGCTGCAAAGAGGAGAAGTGCAAACAGCACCACAAGAGTTGCGGTTTTCATTTCAATAATTTGATTTTTTTTTGTTATGTGAAAAGTGAGAGAGAGGAATGCCAATTTATAGATTTTTCACAGAAAAGAAGAATTTGTGAAATAGTGCAGTGTGTCTCTTGAAAGAGCTAGGATTATTTCTAAAAGAGAGGAATGTCATAAGAATGAGTCAGAGACAAAAACATGAATGAACCCAAAAATGGAATGAAAAGTGAAATTCAAAATAATCAAAATAAGAAGGTTGAATGAACGGAAACGGTAAGCTCAATCTGCCTTGATTCTTCGTTTGTAACCAAATCATTGATTGGCGTACTTCTATTCATATCTAGGTAAACATATTCGAGTATTTTGTTTGATTTGTAATTATTTTCACACGTTTCCATTTACTATTTCTGTACATCTAGTTTTTAGATATTTTAATAATATTACTAATGGCATTAAACCACACTTCTCGTTCCTCTGCTGTGGAACATGAAAGATAATAAGGTTTTGCTGGAATTTCCACTTTAAACACAAATCTCTTCTTTCCACTCTTTTCAGGAGACAATTCAATCGTTGCTGTTTTGAGATCAATCGATCCTATAGGCTTACTCTCAACATCATCCACATAATAGAATAAAAAACTTCCATCCAGTCTGAAATATCTTCGTTTGTAAAGATTAAGCTTGGGAGATCGTTTTTCAAGATATCCCTGAATGTCATTTAAATTATTATTGGAACTTGTCAATTTCTTATAACGAGGAGATTTTGCATCGTATTCTTCCTCCTCAGTGCTGACGATGGAAGTCTTTGAATTTTCACGTGAAAGTGGTGTTCCTCTCAAATCATTGCCTCGTGGAGAGTTGGATCCGACTGGAGCCATCAAACTGAGTTGTTGTTGCAATGCAGACATTTGTTGGATTGTGTCTTGTTAATGGTCACAGAGAGACGTTTGGCAAGCATTTCTTTTTGTCGAGAAGATGCTGCTGAAATGGTGTTCAACTTTTTAGGTTGTGTCACAGAGTCGTCATTCTTCTTGGAGAAGGTGTCCATTTTCACACCCGTGTACTTTTTGAGGAATTTAATTTCACGCTCCAAAGTTTCATTGCGTTCCTTTTCTTGTAATAATAATAGTGCGTGTTGTTCTTGTGCTTGTTGTAAGGCAGCTACTGTCTTCTTTCGGTTGGCTTTGGCCTTCTTTAACTTGTAAATGATCTCGCCATTTTCCTTTTCCATTCTTGAAATTTCATCTTTGAGTGTGAGAATTTCAGTGTCTTTGGCTGTAATGACTTCTACTTTGAGTTTTTCAAGTTCATCGGAGAGAAGCTTTTCCTTTTCATTGGATTTAAGCTTTAGTTCTTCGAGTTCCTTTTCAAGTGTGACTACTCTTTGTTTGGCATACTTTTCACCTTCTTGCCATTTCATTCTGGAAATTTCCATTTCAGTGTTCTTCTTTCGAGCTGTGTTGAGCTTGTTTGTGAGATCTGTAACGTTCAATTTCAACTTTTGAATTGTGGCCTTATCTTGTTGTGAAGTCTCTTCATAAGTGGACATGGTTGCCAAAATTTGTTTTTGAGCTGTCTCCTTGTATTGTGTTACAATATTTCTAAATTCGTCTAATTTGACATCCAAACTCTTTAACACACTTTCGGATGACTTTTCACGAGTTTTGATATTTTCTCGTTTTGCAGAATTCAATTGTTCCATCAACACTCGATTCTTGTTTTTGAGTTTTTCAATGAGTGAATTCGAAGGATCGTCCACTGGAATGGCTTTTGATTCTGTTGCAATTTTTTCTTCTTCCAATTCAATATTTTTCTTTTCCAATTCATCTACTTTATCGAGAAGCTCATAATAGAGTTGTTTCATTTCATCGTATTGAATCTTGGCCACAGAGAGAGCTTCCATATTGGTTTCTTCCTTCTTTTGTGTGAATAGTGGAGATTCGGATGAACTGGAACTCGAAAGTTGAGTTTGAAGTTTTTGAATGGTCTTTTTCAAATCTTCAACTTCTGCAATCTTGTCACCCATTTCTTCTCTCTTGGATTCTTCTTCAATTAATTTTTGTTTCAAAGTTTGAATTTCTTGATGTGACTGTGAGAGAACTTCTTGGAATCGTTCCTTTTCTTTTTGAAGTGAATCTTTCAATAGAGAAACTTCTTTAAGCTGCTTGGTCGTTTCATTCAATGCATTTTCCAGTTGAACGAGTTGTTTTCTTGAATGACTATTCTTTTCATCTTCTTTAGACAATTGTGCTTTGAGAGTTTCAACTTGAATTTTGAGAGATGAAACGTCGTCTTGAAGTGAATTTCGTTCTGCAAGTAACTTTTTGTACTGTTCAGTTTCTTCGAGAATGATCGATTCACGAGGTGACGATGGAGTTTCAGGAGCATGTGTTGAAGTTTGTGGTGAAGTAGTTGTCGAAGGTTGATTTTCTTCATTCTTACTCTGTTCCAATGCTTTCTTACGTTCTTCATCATCAATTCGAATCAAATTTGGAGCTACTTCACTCGATAATTCATTAAGTTTAGAAGCTAATTGTAAACTTGGAATGGTATACTTGGTAATTACAGAACTAATAGCAGAAGGAGACAAGGTAATAAACGCATAACAAATGGAATTCACAAAAATACGTGAAAACAGCAAACAACGAAGTGTCGTTGCAAAATAATCAAAATCATCCGTTTCTGCATGAATGGCTTCACCATTTGTCGTAATGTGTAACATCCATCTCTGTGGATTTTTCGTTGTTCATCATAGGGTGATTCTGAATCAAAGTCAATGATTGTGACACGAGATTCTTTTGTGATCTTGGTTGCTGGATCACTTTGTAGGACCTTAATTTCGATAAAGACGGTTGAGGGTTCTATTGTAAATTGTGACAAAATTACCAATGTAACCAAATGATCATTATAGATACCATGGTATGGCCATGAGAATCATGATAACGATGCAAGGAGCCGTTGAATCGTGATTGCATTTCCAGAGAGAGATACCAATTGTTCATCCACAACATTTCCATATTTGGAGTAGCGATCATGTCATCCACACATGGATGGCCACACAACACACAACCATCACATCCATAGCCATAATCAATATCAATTGCTCCACATCATACTTACCTCTCGAAGCTTTTTCAAGTGCCTTATTCACACTCTGGAAAAACTCATTCTCACTTGTCACAAATTCTTCATGAAGACCTGTCACTTCAACCGTACTCGTTTCATCATTGACCAACACTTCTAAATGCGAAGATCTTCTTTCATTTTCACCAATCAATAAATCGGTCATGATGGTGTCACCATTTTCATTTCCGTGTGTTTCAAAAGCTGTCAATGAAACTGAAAATTCAATTTCAGGAGGTGATTTGTGAACAATGAAATCAAATAAAGATCTTGTTAAACGAACAGCAAATCCAGCATGATGGTTGGCAGCTACGACTGACTTGCCAAATAAAGTAAATGATTTTCCGGTATGTTGAGCTCCATATGAAAAGATGGTGCAATTAAATCCATCAATCACTCGTTGAAGAACCTCAGGTCCATAAGTCGACGTAAAGGTTTCGTCTTGTGTGGCAGTTGACTTGAGAAATTTGTCAAATGTAAACTCTAATGGTTCTGACAGACCATTCTATAACAAGTATGAGATCCACAAACATCAAAATATAGACATGATGTTGGCATTTGACAAGTATTGTGTTGAGCATCGAGTTGTTGGTGCATAACCGATTCATGATCAACCACCAAAAGTTCACATCATCCATTCGTAACGAATTTTTGATCCAAAAATTTCACATCATTTGTGTGAACACAAATCCGAAGATAAACACAACGACGTACCTTGATGAGAAAGTTTTTTCCATTCTATCATTGATGATCATTGAAACCAAAGTATATATATTGATATCATCATCAAATAATTACAAATAAATTTACCTTATGAAACGCAACACTTGTTTTTGGTTTATCTTCTCCGTTCTTACATTCTTCATCGGTTTTGAGAAATGGACGGAATCGAGGACAAACTCTCATTTGCATATGTTCTTTAACAGGAGGCAGCAGTGGGGATTGAGACATTTTTTATGAAAGGTGTGTCTGTGAAACAGGCTTTCGGTTTTTTCGAAAAATGAAAAGTGACAGCACTCCTCGAGTTCACCAATTTTTTTTTAATCAGGCTACTTGCAGACACTGCATCTTGCCTCAAATGGAACCCTTTCTATTGCGTGTTCGTGTGGATTGATCAATTCTCAAATTGTTGAAATAAGAGTCAGTTATCAAGTATTATTATTATGATTCAGTGAATATTAAAGATTTTAAAATTTTACAGAAATATTTCACATCATAGTTCTATTCCAATGTTTAGAGATTGATTCTGCAGTGAATCTTGTCAAAATGTCAATTCTACGGAATAACAAAAACATTCAGTTCTAAATACAATAACCAAAGAGATTCTCCATCAACGGAGATGATCTCCTCCAAATTTACATCCTTCATTTTTGAAACAATAAATACTACGAGGATAAACATTTTTCAAAAGACATCAACGCCCACTCATGAGAATCCCAATTCTCCTCAATCTCACACTTCTCCAACCCTCAATCATACTGTGAGCAACAGAACACAAATTACAAGAACTCTACTAAGAATACACCACAACCTTGAGATCATTAAGGGATCCTTTGCAAAGATTGCGCATGATCCTTTTATAGACTCGTATCAAACCAAGTAATTTCCGTACTCCATGATGCCGGGTAAAAAGTGAGGACTTTTTAGTCTTCTTTTTGAAACCAAGCACAAAAAAACAACCGCACACACGCTTGCTCTAACTTTCACGTTGTTGTTGTTAGTTGTTATATCATCATCATCATGAACGAGACAATTTTGGAAAATGTGTTTTCAAGAAGACAACAACGAAGAAGAAATTCGTTGACTTGTGTTCAAATTTTGACACAAAAACAATTTTCAAACAGGACGACGACACAAAGTTTGATTCGGAAACGAATTCGGGTGAATCAATTACGAAGGAAAATGCATTATGAAATGAATCAGCAAGAGGAGGAACAAGATCATTCCATGATGACACCACAACCATTATCGAATCAACCACAACAACAGTTATCGCCTGTTGGCTCACTAATTGCATCTGCTAACCAAATGTCAAATGTCATCCCATCCCATTCCCAACCACCAACATTGACCATATCCGATCAACAACAACAACCACTACACCTCTCACAAATCAAACAAGTTGTGAGCCAATTCTTTGAAAGTCTTCTCCAATCCAAAGAAACTCTTGAAGGTAAAAAGTCGCTTCCAATGACCGCTCAGGAAAAAGAGAAAATTGCTCAAGAAATTATTTCAACACCATTTTAATGCAAAAACTGACAAGTGTCAAATCATTGTTTCATTTTGAGAGTTTTGTGAAGGAAGATCGAGAAATATTTATTATGGTATCGAATGTTACGCAACCTAGATCGATTTATTTGAGTTGCTTTCCAGTAATAAATCAACAACGATGAGTTTGTAACAAGTCTTGTCAGTTGCCAAAGAATTATCTCTCAATAAGAATCTTGTTGGAGTCCTCAATGCATCGAATTGAGCGATTTGATAAATTTGCATTTTAAGGATTCTTAGATGTCGGGTTGGATAATAAAAGATTGGCATGTTTTTAGAAATCAAAAAGTAACGGTTGATAAATTTTACAAGCTAGCTTTGGTCTAAAGATGCTCAAGATCCAAGGTCATAACACTTACTTTCATCTTGAGGACATTAAGGGGTTGACTTCGAAACGAAGAACGCATCAACTTTCATTACAACCACCAATCCACTTACTGCCCTTGTTACCACTTAACAGCAAAGGTTTTGTCATTCATTTTTTTGCCACCTCCAATTACAGGTTTGGTGATAAAACAGCTTAGACCTCAGATAGCTTTTCAAAAACAAATTCGTTCATCAGCTGAGAAAAGTGTAAGTTGAGCATGGTTCATCCAACACGATCTCATAACGCATGTTTACCAAATGGGTCTTTATTTTCACTAGCCAAACCGGCCATTACACTGAACAACAATTATTTCAATTTGGAATAGTCAATTACTAAGGCACACAAAACAAATAACGAGTAGCTTGGATAATATTCGTCATTGTACTCTCCTTGCCAGCTCTTCTCTTGTCTTCCATGTAATATTAAATCCTTGTATTTCATTGTGATGCATACTCCTTCGAAACGTTTCAAAATTTCGCTTACAGTTGTGATTTTTTCTTCGTTCAATTGATCAGTCAAATAACTTCTAAAAGTGTGATAATATCCATTCTTTTCACAACGCTCGACCATTTCATCGGTCACAGATTGCATTGGATAGGAAGAAGTATCACATCGTGAATCCATCATAGAATGAGATTCGTGAATAAATTGAATTTGTTGAATAGAAACAGCTTGCTCACCAAATGTCTTTTCACACATTTCATACAAGTGTCGATCGTGGCCAATAAGGAAAGCATTGGAATCATAGTGATATTTCAGTGGCAGAACTTCGTATTTGGTAGAGAGATGTTCTTCAATTTTTTGTGCTATCCAGTCATAGAATTTCCACTTTTGTGTGGTGATATTACTCCCTTTGGAAAATTTGCTCTTGTTATTTTTCATGATTTCCTGTAATGAGTCTTGTTCGAACAAGAGGGGAGAGAATTGTTCTTTCTTGATTTTGACCTTTTCTAAAATGTTTAGAAATTGTAATCTCCATTCCATCATGCAAAGCTTTTCTTCCAGATCATGCCTTAGTAGTGTTGAAATGGAAGTATATTCTTTTGAAAGAAGCTCCTGCTCGGTAGATATGGTCAACAGTGGATCAAAAGGAGATAAAAGGCCCCAAAATTTAAATTCAAAATCCAGCTTGTCCTTTAAGGCTTGGTCTGTGACACTGTTTGGAAGAACTTCATTGTTCAACACTGGAAGGACAAAGGTTTTGAATATTTGAGGATTTCTTTCCGGGAATTCAAAGAGTTTTAACCCTGAAACTGGGTCTGTCTTGTTACCATCGTTCATTGGTGAACGAGCATGGTATTTAGAATACAATTAGGATGATCTTTCAGCATGTCGCTTGTCAATTTAAATTCTTCGTCTCCAATTCTTAATAACACATCTTCACGTACTGGTGTTTGACTATACGAGTTGTTTCTTCCATAATTTTCATTCTTCTTGAATAGAACAACAGATTTCAAAATGTACTTTGTACCCTTTGTCACCTCTACAGATTCGTGGTCTAATTGGTGAACAAAGAACACCGCTTTTCCTCGGGTTGGATGAATACTGATACCTTCCTTACATCCAGGTCCGTAAAATATTGTTTCTCCACCTTCCAAATCTTCATGTCCATTCAAGTAAATGAGCACAGTCACAAAACTTTTGCAGTCATTCACACTACGACCAGAGTCTTTGTGTTTTCCAAAGAATTCACCCTTCTTGTATCTGTAACATTTCCAATTCGAATCAATACCAACCGGAATAAATTTTGCATTCGGTCCTGCAAACATGTCGTTCAGTGCTCTTTCACCAATCTTGAACATGGTTTGGGCCAACTTTTCATCTTCAAATTCAAACTGAGCACTATTCCGTACGGAATAGTCATCTACATTGCTTTGCGAGGACGAACGTCCTACTTTGCTCTTCTTCCACTTGTGAGCTTTTGCTTTTCTAATGTATTCATCGGTTTCAAGAGTGGACAATACATGATCCATCGTAACAAGTCCCTGCATCATCATCGTGGGAGCTCTCACGGTAAGTTGCTCGGAATTATTTTCAGTGGTCATGTCGCCTTTGGATGAAAGGCTCGGAGTGAGTTTCAGTTTTTTAGTGGGTGTGATCATGTTGGTGTTGAGGATTTTTTTTCTTGTAGATTAACGCTTTTGTAAACAAGAGTTTCGCTTTTACAATATCATCATGCTTATTGTTATTCATTAAAATTCTCTCTCTTCCCTTTCCTCAACGCTGTAATAAATCTTCATCAGTACACTAGTGGTTGAATTGACAGTTGTTTATTGTACATCGTCTGAAATTCTGGATTTTTTATATATTTCAACACTCGACTAACCCACGATTTAGAATATTCAAGTCCATTCGTTTTTCAACACTTCTACGTATTCGGCGAGTGTGGTATTAGGTACCTCTTGTGAAATTTCAAATACAATTGAAACGGCCCTCACGACGTCTTCTTGACTGTATTTAAATTTTCGAAAGCCTCCTCGTCCTGTGACAATGTTCGATGAAGAGGCAGATGCTTCTTCCGAGAAATCAAATGGTCTCTGCTTTGAAATTTAACTCGACCCGACAAGTTGCCAAACAATACAATTGCTCGACAGTACTGTCAACTATTGGAAGAAACGAATGCCTTTGCGTCGAGGTTGTTCGGTAGTAGTGTTGTTGAGTGAACGGGGTAGTGGTGGTTGTTATTCATAATTGATGTGTCATGATGCTATTTTTTTGAGTGTGTGGCAACAGTAATATGAGAAACGGTTAGTTTTGGCGGTTTTGATGGAAAGAAAAATTATAAGCGTTTTCAATAATAATATCAATTCCAATCTCCTTCCTAGTGAGAAGAAATTAAAGATGATCTTTTCAACCCTTCCGCAATCACGGTCGTGAATAAACATTATTGGCTTATTCCGATTCATCATGAACTCATATGAAAACATTGAAAATTATTAAATTATTATTATACTATCATCATAATTTCAAAAGAATTAAATACAACCAAACCATTCCAATTTCAAAGCGAACAATGTTTGAAAATGATCCCGGAATGCATGATGATTATTCTTAGAAAAAATACAATACCGAATACAGAAAAGGAATCTACTTGCTCTCATTCACCAATCAGTAACGTGTTGGTGGTTCGTTTCTAATTATCTGGTTATTGCTAAATCCAAATAATATGGAAACACACAAGTGAGTCACTCCACATAATCTCGGGATTACAGGTGTATCACCCCCAACTCCAAAAAGGATTTGAGTTTTCATTTCTTGAGTGTGAATGTTCACTCCAACAATGCTCGTGTTTGATCAATGTTTCAAAGCATTCAAAAGACTTGATATAAATACATTCATTTGAAAGGACAACCGCGTCACTCGCATGTTGTATGAACTATGACGCAGTTGAGTGCATTCCAAGAACAGAGAAAATGGCAAGATATAAACGGAATCTCATGATCATTAGCGTCATCCAAATGACTTTCCAAAAGCAACTTGTTGGATAGAGATGGCGAGTAGATCTTAAATTGTGTTGGCACTCCTTCGCCCTATTCTCTCAAAATGACATCTGACTGCAAAAACAAATCACAATTCGCAAAACAAGAAATATCCATTTCGAAAACCCTTGCCATACAGATGAAATGAGAGAAGTCAAAGCTTGATATGACGCACTGTAATCCCAAACAAATTTATCGATTTATTTGTGTTTGTAGGATGTTGTTGGAGGTGTCATTCAAAAAAAACAACATCACTAATATCTGCCACTTGTCAAAGCGACTCCAACGCCTTGTCATCTACACAACCTTCGAAAATGAAATACAGCGTCGTTCAATTCATTCCTTCCTCCAACTCGATCAATGGCAAAGTAATCATGACTCAACAAACTGAAGCTGTCAGCAGTTGTGGAGGGTTAATGCAATTTGACATTTCTTGTAACTTTCACACTTCACGAAATTTAAAGCAACTTCGATCGAATTCAAATGATGATACAACAACTCCAGCTGCTTTCTTTTATTGGAAAGAAGCATCTTCTTCACCGCAAGTATCGAAAAAGAAAAATGTTTCGGTTTGTATGGATTTACAGAAATTGAACTCGAACACAATTTCACAGAAAGATAGTCGTGATGCTTCCACAACCAAGCAGCCAAAAGTTTCGAAACCAAACAAGATGAAGAATAGAACATCGACTTCACCTAAAACGTTAAGCTTTATTGATGTCTCTCCAACAATGACATCTGGCATTCAGAATCAATCCATGATGACCTCTAGAAAGAGAAGAACACAAAGTTATGAACAAGTATTGAATTTGAATCATGCACAACCCATGACTTTACCATTGACCACATCTGTCAGCTGTTCGACACAACAATCACCTCTTCACACGACAAGCAATGAAAACATGTGTCCTTCGATCATGGTCGATCATGGCTCTTACGTTCACCAACAGTCCTTGTGTGCAAACAGTCAAAATACCAATAACTCATCTGTCAATGAAATCCCTTGGGAAGTGAAAAGCCCCTCTTCCTCAAGCTGTCAGTCGTCAGATTGTGGCGACTCCAAATCAAAAATGCCAAACAAGGCCATCAAACGATCGTACATATTTTCCATCAAAGAATTATTAAATTAATTCAGTTACAGAAAGTTTACAGCCTTACTACTAATCTCGCAGTGGAAGGTTTGACCCAAAAAATGTCAAAACTCCACCACATTTGTTTTTTTATTGCAACCTTCTCAATCTTGCAAAGTCATCCTCGCTGCCAGCAGCTCGCCCAATGTCATGCTGCAGCATCATCACAGATCCCGCTCCGATCGTAAATTATCTTCACCAAATAAAAATGAAGAAAGGCTTGCTATTGTTTCGGATGAGTTTGGTTTTTCAAAGAGAAAGCGAGAACGATGGAAGCAGAATAATGATCCGAATATAACTTTTACAACCATGTATGTCCAACCAATTTATTATGATAATGGAACAACAGGGGTATTTCAGGGTGGGACGAATTTTTCGTTATCAATGTTTCGGAATGATGATGAGCTACAACATAACTGCACCGATATTCATACACCTTGCCGATCCATTGCTGAAGCAATGAATAATCTCCTATTTTTGTTTCGAAAGGGTGTGATTCAACAATTGGCTGGTCGTTTAATTCTCATGAAACCAATCATTTTCTCCTCCACTGAAGGGTAAAGTAATAATGCAACGAATAATTCTTCCACATATAGAGAAGATCAATGTGAAATCAGTAACGAGGATATGCTATTTCATTTGATTTTACAACCATTCAATGATAGAATTGCAATCAATTGTCAACACTCAGCTCTTTTTAAGGATCAAGCTTTCGCTTTGTTGACCTTCGAAAACATTGATGTGAAGAAATCCTATTGGAAAGTGAGCTATTCAACTCTAGACATACAATATATGACTATCAAAAATAGTATTTGGGAGGAAAATATTGTTGAAATAGATGATTTATCCGAACTACCTCAAGTGTGGATTGACATTCAGTACAGCACCCAGAGACGATCAGTATTTACGCTTGCTGCTAAGCCGTCGATATTTATTTCACATTCTTTACTTGAAAAAATAACATTTAATTCACTTAGAAATTCTAATATTTCTATTTCGTGTTCTCAAGTCATAGATTCAAATTTTGGGAATTCAAAAGACTTGCATGAAGTTTGGGATAATGTTGAATTTACAATTGAAGATTCATCTATTTTGAATTCGAATGTAACACTTGCTAGGTTCAGACATGTTACCTTCCACAATGTTTCGTTTCATGAAACTAACATGTTAGCGATAATTTACACCTATGACGTATTGTTTCAAAATGTGATAGCTCGAGAAGGACGTTTCTATTCTCTTTTACAATCTAATGGAAATTTGAACATTTGGGAGAGCGTTTTTGACTCGTTGGATTCAATTGAAAATTTTAAACACTTGTTTGATATTATTTCGACCAGCCCGATAGATATTGACTCATCATTGTTTTCTAACAACAAGGCTCCTGTAATGCATTTATTGGACATTTTAGCAGCAAATATATATTATTCCAATTTTTTAGATAACATTGGGCCATGTCTTGCTGCAGAATGGAACACGTTTTTAGTAGGATCATTCATCCGTATTGAGAGTGTTAACTTTATTAACAATACATGTACTGACTGTGAGGGATCTGCAGCACAACTAAATTTCGATTCCATAGAGATTGTTGAAAGCTATTTTCAAGGTAATCAGGCATTAAATGGAGGAGCACTTCGAATCAACAGTGCAGAATCACAAATTTCCAAATCAGTATTTTTGGACAATATCGCAAGCTACAAGGAGGAGCTATTTATATTCCTGATTTTACTGCTGTAGAGATCATTGACCTTAATGAAAATATTTACAGAAATAACACGGCTTTTTATGCTGGAGGAAGTTGCTATTTTGGAAAGTTTGATCCTTCTATATTGCAAGAATCTCATCTATCATCCATGATGGTGAACAATGAATTTATTAGCAACCAAGGAAAGGCATACGGAAAAGATATTGGATACTCTCTCTATCGTATTTCCTATGAAATGACAATTTATTACAGCATGGAAAATGTCACGACATACATTTCAAACCAAACTTCTTTGCGCTCGCCTCAACTCTACATGTATCCTGGTCAACACATTCCCACTATTGAATTCAAACTTTGGAACAATGGAACTGAAAGAGTATTATTTGTAGCGAGCTCTCCAGTGTTTCAATTGGAAGATCACTCTATTGCATTTATCAGTTATAATAACAGTGCTTCATCCAACACTCGGAATTTCATTGGGTTCAAATCATTTGCTATTTCATTGTATGAATTGGATCGTGATTCCATTCGTGGTAATATTTATCTAACTGCATCGGAAATCATTGAAGTTTGGATCCATATTTTGCCATGTCCTCCAGATACTCGCTTACATATGAATGGTAATCCTGTTGGAACCTACTCATGCATTTCCATTCCATACATACCTTACGCTATTATCATTTCGGTGGCCTCTATTGTTTCTATTCTATTCTTTTCATTGTTTCTAATTGCTGTTTATGGAATTTTTAGAATTTATAGAAACATATTTAGAAGATTGAAACGATTAGAATCAAAAGAAAATGCTGAAAAAAGAATCGAAACTAAATTATTGGAAAAACGTGTTGTATTAATGGAAAATGGTGACACTTCAAATTTGGTTGAACATCCAACAGAGAGAACCTCGTTATTAATTAACAGTACTGTAGAGAGAAAACGCAAGAGTTCATTCTCGTCACAGCAATCATCGTGGATTAGCTCTATTGATGAAATTGAAATTTTAAAAAGACTTGCAGAAGGAGCAAGTGGCACTGTTTATTTAGCAAGCTGGAATGGAACCCAAGTTGCTTTAAAATCTTGGAAAAATACAATGAGTAGTTCTGACCATGAAGTTGCAAATGACCACCATGAGCAAGAGTTTGAAGAAGGATTTGAAAAAGAGGCTGCACTTTTAGGAAGTATTCGTCATCCAAATGTTATTCAATTTTATGGAGTTGTCGTTGCTAATCCCACCAGAAAATACATTGTTGTGGAATATTTGGAAAAGGGAAGCTTAGACAAACTGATTTACAACTCCAAGTTGGGAATTGAAAAATTATCACTACGACAAAAAATTGATATTTTATTGGGAGTAGCGAGAGGAATGAATTATTTACATTCACATGCCATCATTCACAGAGATTTAAAACCAGGAAATATTTTGATAGGTATGTATGAATATGAGTTATCTTGCATTTCTAAAATCATTCGGATTGAATATCAATTTGGACAATTACCTTCAGATAAAAACTACATGGCCAAAATATGTGACTTTGGGTTGAGCAAAACTTGGAATAACTTTTCACAGTCTGCAATAACCACCAATGTTGGAACGTTATTTTACATGGCCAACGAAATGATTTCTGAGGATGTTGCTCTGTATAATCACAAAGTAGATGTATACAGTTTTGCAATTATCATGTGGGAATTGTACTTTGAAGAAAATCCTTATTTAAATTCGCAATCTCAAAATTTGCGAAATTCTTGGAACGGAAGAGAAAATCTGAAACACATTATTCATCTGAAGGGCTTGGTGCAGGTCTAAATGTTTTATTTCAAGTATTGAAAGGTGTGAGACCACTCATTCCTTTAACACGGAAGAGGAAATGAAGGAATGGATTCGAGAATTTATGTTGGATGAAAAGTCCTCTGAAGAGAGCCATCTTTCGAAAATGTGTGAAATGAGTTTGAAATATTTTGAACTCATGCAATCGTGTTGGAATCATGATTTTCACCAAAGACCTGAATTTAGTGAAATATGTACCAAGCTTTCCAATATACTTTCGTTGTGAGTTAAGAGACACGCTTCAAAAGTTTTGTCAACATGTTTGGAATGTCAAATATAACATGAATAAAACCCATGCAAAGATCATGTCATATCCTCGTCACGTATGAGTTGTCGATACCTCTTTCGTAATGCCTTCAAAGTAGCAGTCAACAGCACTTCCTTCGGCAAGATAAAGTCACAGTTCCTGAGAGATTGCAGAGCAGGACGAAATTTACATTGTCCCTCTCCACCATTTAAATCCAAAATATCCAACACTTGAACATGTGTAAGAGCTGACAATACCAATTTACCATGAGAAGGTTGACATAATACATCTCTTCTAAATCTCTTACAAGTTGGTGCTATCATGACAGTGGTGTCTTCTCGAAAGAAGAGAGCATAATATGCTGCACTTCCTGGATCTGAAATATATACATCCACATCTGCAAAATATTTGATTTGTTCAGAAATGCTTGCAAAACTCCCTAAATCGAGAGCTTCAATCCTGAGTTGTTTTCGATGATTCGAATTTGATTGTGAGATTAATTTCTGAACGAGAGGATGTTTCGGCAATTCTTGTTGAAAATAATCTTTCAATTCATCCGCGTTTGAAAGTGCCTGACCGTGACGACCCTTGGTGTCTTTCCTATTGATGGCAATGACAATATCTTTTTCGAGTAAATAGTTAGCAAATTTTTGTTTTTTCAAAAGTTTGGTATATTCTCTATCGAAAGGAAATATTTTCAAATTTCTATATACCAACTCTCGTAATTTCATAAAAAGGCCTTCCTTTCCATAGGGGTTCAGCACCAAATTGCTCAAAGTGTGACCCATATAAATATTTGAAAAGCACGATTGAAGAATCAATAATGGTATTGTCCTATTGATCGAGCTATTTGTCAATGAGTTCGAAACGTCAGGGGATGATAAATCTGAACGACATGGAGCCTTCTCAATTCCCCAAACACCCTCTCTTTTACAAAGTTGTAATACTGAATGATTTGTTAACAACTTTGCTGTTGACAATGAATAATATTCTGCCTTTGCTGGATCATACTTGTAGGCTCCTCTCCAATTATCTCCTCTCAAATCGAAAACGTCATCCAAAAATAAGATGTGATTTTCAAAGGGCAAAGCATCAGAGTGTGTTTGAAAATTTAACATGAGTCCAACAATCATGGCCAAAGATTCCGAGAAAATATGTCCAACATTTCCAGCAGCAAATCTTTGTAAGGCATACACTGGCTTCTCAAAATAGGTAAAATTATTTGAAGTGAAATGGGCAATAACTCAAATTGTTCTTCAACTTGTGACAAGCACGTATCATTTTTCGAGTCACATTGATTTTGTTTTTTCTTGGTTATTCTCACAAAAGCTTTTCCATATTCTTTTCCATACTCGGGTTCAAAAACTAAATCTCCATTCAAATTTTTAATATAGAAATTTCCTCGATCACTTTCTACGGTCGAACCTTGCACATAAACCCATGGTTTTACATTTAATTGTGTTAAATTTCCATGTAACACTCGATCCTGAGATTGAAAGAGTACAAATTCTCCACTCTCTGTTAAACATAAATTTTCAATGTGACACGAAGCCATCATGGTGTCCTCGGGTGTATATTCATATTCGTAACCAAAGGGAATTAAATTTGTTTGTCCAATATAACTGTATCGATTGCATTGATAATTTCCGAAATGAATTTTTCGAAGATGATTGTTGTATCGACGATGACGAGGATCATAGAGAAGGCTTTGCGTTGTATTTCCTTTCCTTATTCGAGTTTTGTAATAAATCATGGAAAAATACAAAAGCAAGATGATGAGAAGGGCGAGTAGAAAGATTCGGAAAGAGTTGTGATACGAAGGAAGTGACAGTCGATTGATGGAACGAAAGGAAGATGACCAAGTGGTTGACTGAAACGGCGATGAAGATCTTTTGAACATTTTTTTCAACTGAGTGTCTGCTGTTGATACACCAAAGCAAAGTTGATACTTGGGAGTATCTCAAAGAATCACAGATTTTGTTACATGTATCATGACTATCGAGTCATTCAATCGGCCACACCCTTATTACAGATAAGCTTTGTTCAGAGTCATTAATTCCCGCCTTTTTTAAACCGTATTTTAAGTTTAAAAAAATGTATTCGATATTCAAACATCAGAAAGAACTGGTGGAGGCAAAAGTTCGAGAGGAACAAGCACGAGTGGTGCTTCGGAATCCATCTCCAAAGAAGACTCCATACGTAACTCCCATCATTTATCACAACATCAGCATCGTGGTTGTGCCTCATCGACCGCTGTGCTACAAGATCATACTCGGGAACAAGCCAATTTAAATTCGCCTACATCAAAATCACCAATAATTATACGAGGGGGTGTATTTAAACAACCTCCTCGACCATCCGTTACAGATTCTCAATCAACCATGCTTAAAAAGTATCGGGATGTTCAGAAAAAATCAAAATTCTCAAATAATCATGAAAGTATTACCAATGACATGCTGCATGCTGCGGACACAGTGGGGAGAGTCATTGAACAATGTGATCCTGATGATGAAAAATACAATATACGGCTCTTGTTAGAGGAGCTCAATCGATTAGATATTTTGAAAAAGAAGCGAAAAAGTTTGGTACCCATGAAGCCAATTTCATACACAAGGAAAGATTCGAAAAATGCTTCGTCACCACCTCGAAGGAGCTCTTCATGTTATTGGGATAAGGAAAATGAGGCATCATGCCTAAACACAAGTTTTCATCCACAACGGCAGCGTCGATGAGGAGACCAGGTTCGGCGCCAAGTTGTCGAATTGGAGGAGGTGCCACCTCAGTAGCAAGTATTCCAGTCTCGGTGTCACGAACAGTGATCAGTTCAAATTCTCAATATTTGGCAAATGTCATTCCCTCGAGATGTATCGATAATTTTGTTGCCAATCGACCATCCCGACCCAGCTCTGCCAAACGACCTTCAAGTGCTACACATGTCAAATACTTGAAAGAGGGTAAAGTACCTCCACATGATTTGATGGAATGCGAGGAAGAATTAGGTATGAAAGAGCAACAATTGAATGATCTCTTGTATAATTTGGTTTGTGAATATCATTACCTTAAAGATCGAGGGAAAGAGGAAACGGAAAAGGAAAAAAAGGAATACATTGCCTTGAAAGTTAGCTTTCAGAGAGTTTACCCACTGATCAAGAAACATTTTCAAACGTACTTTGCTTCGAGAAAGGAATTCAATTGGAGAGATCAACAGGTCATTCAATTAAATAAGGACATTGAGGAAATTGCTTTGGAAGAACAAATAAGAGATCGGGTGGAGCAAGAGCACATGGATTTTCTAACCAAAAAGCTGAAAGTGAATCAAATACGTAAAACATTCAAGGCACAACGACAGCAGAACTTTTTGAAACGAGTGGTGTTAGCGATCCAAGGGCTCTTTCACAGTTGCAGCAGTTGTGCCATGATGACAAACTGGATGATGCTCTCAATGAGGAGGCCGAGGAGTGGGAAAATGCTGAATTGTATGACCCCTTAGATTATGAAAGGCCGTCTGTTGACATTCCTAAAATTGATTTAACCAAAACCAAGAAAAAGCAATTTGCTGATAATGTTTCAGTGGGAGGGTACAGCACTGGCAGTAGAATTTCCACAAATGATCGTAACGCCCATATGAAGTTTTTAAGGCTCATGACACCAGAAGCCTCCAATGGTCTGCGAAATACACCAGACATGCTAACACCAACGCTTTCTCGAGCAAACAGTGCACGTCTAAGTGGAAGGAGATTTTCCATTCAAAAAAAAGCACCAACGCTGGATGAGCTAGACAAGCGCTGTGACAAAGTCGTCGTCACTCAACAGAGTGGAGGGAATCCACTGGATGAAATTGACAATTTTGAAAAACGTTTGAATACTACCCGAAAAAAGGATTTGATGTGGTGATGTAACTCCTGACATCCTTTTTAGAGAATATTAAATTATTGAAATTTTTCCAAAGCTCTGTGATTAGTCTCATGCAAGGGTGACAAAATCGATAATTTCACAAATCCAACCACGACAATCTCGTATAGTATTTCGTAACAAGTCGATTCAAACGCGTTTGCTTCTTGACGTAGAATAACTTTTTCAAAAACCACCGTATCGTAGTAATTTTGTGCATTTCAAAAATAAAAGGTCGCAACAAATGAAACAGGGTGTGATATTGTCCGTCATATTCTTTCAAAAGTTGTTGTGCTGAGAATTGCATCATTTCCATGGTAATATTTCCATCAAAATTTTCATCAGGCTTATTCATTGAGGTGACATGTCTTTGAACTTCTGTGGCAGCAAACTCGAGGGCTTGGTACAGTTGTTGCTCCTTTCTCGCGCGAACTCCTCTGGCTCCAAAACGAATACACGAGCCAGCCAATAAATTTTTCATAAAGTGGCAACAAGTAATATATAAGGAACAATAATCATTATTTCCAGTCCATGAAATTAATTTTCTCTCCATGATATTGAGTAAGGAGAAATTATTTTTGAAAGTATCAATCATTTCATGAAGCTTTACAATTTCCTTCTTTTGTGACCTATCGCTTTGCGAAATCATATAGAGAGCTCTTATACGCTTCTCTGGCGAGTATTGATGTGAGAGTTCGGTGAAGAATTGAAGAAAATTTTGAGGTAATAAATCAATTCCGTCCCAACGAGTGAGCACTAGAACTTTTCCTAGTCGTGGCTTGACTGCTGTTGTGGAATATGATTGCTGTATCTTACTGATGCGAGCTGATTGCTCATTTTGTGTATCTTCGAATTTTGTTGAATAAATCAATACGAAATCTTCGGTTGCAGCATTGTGAGCGGTTGCTTCATCGGTATCTGGAGTAGCCTGTTGTTGAGTATTTGTTGCTCTTCCAATAATATTATTGGTATTCATGGTTTCTTTGTAAATCGAAGACGTTTTCTTTTCAACATGACGATCTAGATGTCTCACACAAAATTCCAATTTTCTCCAAAATATTGCCTCCAACTCGTACGGAATACTTTGAATCATTTTTCTGAGTCTACGTGAACTAGATTTTAAATGATAGGCTAATTGCATTTGACAGAGAGTTTGTAATTTGTTCATCATTAATTTTTGTTTTCGCTCTTCAAGCCTTTGCACAATTCGTAAATAGAGCCATCTCATCAATAATTCATGTTTTTTCTTTTTAATGAAAATTTGTTGTGTAATGTCATCATGATGACTCACTGATGGTATTTTGAAATCTTGGAGAGTGGTCTTTTCATGATGATCCGTGAATTTATATTCCGAATGTATGTCATCGTTATCATGTTGATTAAAATTTAAATAACGTTGTACAATTAAATAATCGAGGAATTTTCGTCTATTTTCTTGTCGAATGGTAGAACGATGTTTCGGTTGTTGTGAATTCATGATGATGATGAGTGAGCATGATCAGTTTGTTGTCATTTTTTTTCGAATAGAGAAAAGTTAAAACAGTCCATAAGTAGAATTTCATTGTAGAAATAACACGAAACTTCATCAATTGTTTTCATTGTGTGGCATTTTGGTCTTCAAGATGAAATACGCTCATAAACTTATCTAGAAGACCTCTTCTCTTCGGAAAAAAAAAAATGACCTTCAAAAAAGCTTGTGAATTGATTTGGGATGAAGACATTGAGAGCCTTCGGAAAATGAAAAAATTTTCATCCTTCATCAATACCACAGACGATGAAGGTTATACATTATTATGTCTAGCTTGTGAGAGTGGTTTGCTTGAAGTTGCGAAATTTTTATTGTCTGTAACAGGAATTGATGTCAATAAAAGCACAACAGTAAGTGGTTATCATCATCAACAAAGGAAGAAATATTGCAAAGTATTTACAGAGAGTAAGTGGTCGTACAATTTTACCTCACGCGTTTACAAAGATGAACAGGCCAAGGTAAGTGATTCTATACGATGAACATTCCGACAGAGGAAACACCGAAAAAGTCACCTCTTCAAATTGCTTGTGAAGAAGAATATATTGAAATTGTGAAATTATTGTTGCAACACTCGAATATTCGGATAGATGATGGAGCAAAACAAGCGGCAATTAAGAGTGGAATCGGTGATTTGGAACAGCTGCAAGTAACAACTCGTTTGCAACAACAGTGCTTATTTCTGCAAAGAGATGTCATTATTTCTCTCAACAAGCCCTCTGGCATGAATGAAAATGATCAGTTATTTGGGACTTCCATCATTGTATTCAAGCCTCTCCTCTCAAAATTACTTCCGTCTTTTCACAATCAAGTTATTGAAAACAAGAAATTTATAGAGTCATTGAATGAAAAAGAAGTTACAATTTTGCAATCCATTATTGATTTTGTGATTTTTGGATCTTCTAATTTGACAGTGAATAATGAAGAAACTAGTTTGATTGTTCTCGCATTGCTGAGTCAAGTGAAAGGAGATCTTGTTGATTTGAAAACGAAGAGTCTTGATTATATTATCGATGCCATTCATTTCGAAAATATTTTAGATATTTTGGATGCCCTTAATTTGCATCTGAAAAGAGAGGAACAGATATTTGGTCGTGAGACTTCCTTTCGAGATCAGTCAGTATTACAACAACTAAAAGACTATTGTTTAAACTATATTGGAGCCAATTCAGATAAACCTGGATTTGAGAAGTACATTGAAAATGATGAGAACAATAGGTGCACGTTTGAACTTGTGAAATCATTTTTTAAGAGAAAGGTTGTAAAAAGAGTGAGCATACATGAACTTCCAAACAACATTTCTCAAACTCCCTTGTATGATTTATATCAAGAGAAGACGGACATGGACGCAGAGATACAACTCTCAAATGGAAAGAGTGTGAAATGCCACAAAACAATTTTAAGCTCTAAAGTTCCTTATTTTCGAACTCTATTTTCTGGAAACTGGAACAATACTCTGGATGTATACGGTGAAGAGTTGGAATATATTATTCAATATTGTTACGGATTTGTTTCCAAGGTTCCAGACCATCTAATGATTCCTCTCATGAAGAAAGCTCACGAATATGAATTGGAAGAATTATTGAAAGTTTTGCAATCCGCCTTTACGATTTACATGGATAATTTCTTTGAAACAGCACAAAGTTTAGAAGATTATTTGGATGATCCAACATTTAATCAAGTTAAAACAAAATTGGTCGATTTTGGAATTCGTAACAAGAAATGTCTATTCACTAAAGTCAATGCTGATCTGCTAAGAAGGCTTCCCAAATTGGATACTGAAATTTTATTAGCGTTAGCTAACAACTAATTGGCCCTCATAGCGCCCTTAACTAAATGTAACTAAATGCATCACAACGAGGAACGTTGTATACATTTTCTAATCTCCATCTTTTCCAACGGTTGAGATAAGAACTGTTTCTGCACAAAAATTACACAACACAATCAATGGAACAAGAGTTGAACTTGCAAGGCATTATTAGCTTGTACGTTCCTTTTCAATGTTCTTGTTGAAACCTTATGAGGAGTCAGGAGAATCTTTCGATATGACAAAATGAACGCCTGCATTGTACAGGACACAAAGAATTAAAGAAAATGGTTTGTGGTGTCCCAGTTTCACAATAGAACCATACAACTTGCTGACCCTTCCTGTTTGGGATTTCACGAAAAAAACGTCAAAACGTCAACCAAACATATTGAGAACATCAAACGTAGCAAAAAGCAACGACGAAATGCTCTCTCTTTGTGGTGCATTGACACGATTATTGCTTTATGATTTTGTTATTCCGAGCATTCCAGAGCTCACAATTTTCATGAAGGAACAAGACGATAGCACGAATGAATTATTTGCAAAATTGCGATCAAAGATGTCAATAAGAACGCGAGCTCGAAAACCATTTTCCATGAAATTTGAATGGACACATACATTCGGAAGGGAATATGAAGAATCGTTTGAACCATTATGTAACAGCCCACATGACGTCACAATTTCGTACAACCACTCTTATATTTTAATAAGCCATCTTGACAATCATCGGATACAAGTTTTTGATTTACATTCCAAGCTCTTACTGACATGGTTTGGTATGGAATTTCCATTGGGATTGTGCATTGAGGAGAATTATGATGGTTCCAATCATGACGCTGTCATTTGTGCAAGTGGGAATTATGGTCAAAGAAAGATACGTAAATTTGACATGAAATGGGTCGATGAGATGGTGATGGATGGTTCATACACAGTATCCACATATATTAGTAATCCTAGTAGTCAACAACCAACACCACAGCCAACAACTCCTTCAATGTTGCCGGTAGCAACAACTTCATCTAATGTCATGATTCAAGAATTGACACCTCACATTTGGATGTCCTCTTGTTACTTTAGTGATCCTCAAGGAATTGCCATGAGGGGAAAGCAAATATTTGTATGCGATGCTGATGCTGAATGCATCAAAATATTACATGCGGATACTGGAAATTTAGTGGAAATGATTACACTGGAAAATGGACCATATGATTTAGATTTCACACCTGATGGAAAATATTTGCTTGTTTGTGAAACTGGATATAGTGCGAATAGAATTGTCATGTTGACATTACAGCATGATCATACTCCTGCAGACGATAATTTTTCAATGAGGAACGTCAAAAGTGTTGACGAAAAATGGAAAATGGTAAAATCATTCGGTAAGAGAGGATTAGCATCTGGAGAGTTTTCTTGGTGTCGTTCCTTAGTGATTGATCCAGTATCGAAACATGTCATTGTGAGTGATTGCCTCAATAACAATGTTCAAATTTTCACATTTGAAGGAAAATATGTGCAATCGTTCGGAGATAGAGGTATTTTTCAATTCAACCATCCCTATGGTATTTGCTTGAATCAAGTGAGTAGTGAGCTACTAGTATGTGATTTTCGCAATCAAAGAGTTGCCGTGTTTAAGTGAAGCTCGCTTAATGGTGGAGTCAAAGTAACAACGCATGCATCATTGTCGCAAGTGCAACAGCTCATCATTCTATTACTGTCGAGGCACAGCTCACATATGAATATGGAGACACTTCCCACAAGGCTACATAGTTTTCAAAATCAACAGAGATTTGAGAGCTGAGTGATGCAGTTTTTTGACTCTCACTGGTTTCATCTTCGTCATCACTACTTTCATAGAGAGAATACTTTGTTGGGTATGTTCGCTCTCCCGTACAGCATGCAATATATGGTAAATAAGGATGGAAATTAGTACCGTTCATCATGGTTATTGGAAGAGCGTCACTTTCGAATTGAGCAATTTCCTTTCCTTGTGCCTCTAAATCGAATATCTTAATTTTACCATCACTTGTTCCGGCTATTGCCAATTGAGTCAAGGCATCGAGATCAAAATTAATTTTCTGATTGGTGTCTGCATTTCTTGAAAATTCAAAATACTTGACTGGCTCAAATAAATTTCTCAAGTCCCAACAAACAATTCTTTGATCTTTTCGCGAAGATTGAAATAAATAATTTCCGTTTGATGAAAATTGAAGATGATTCACACCAGATCCATATTCGCATTGAATAATGTGTTGAACGACATTGTCGTGTTGATCATAAATACCAATGGTATTGTTGTAACATCCTGTTGCATACATGGACTCATTTACTGGGCTAAATGCAAAACAAGAGATGATACCGTCTGACCAAATCGTTTGGCACGTTTCTTTGTCTTTCCTCGAATGATATTCTTTTCAACAGCATGAATCTCAGTGTAGCTCGTAGAACTGCCAGCTTGTGCATCGAATACACAAATTCTCTGGTTGAGTCCACAATAAATTCTTCAAGAGCAAAGATGGTTGTTAGTTCATACAGTATTTTCAATAATATCAAATTGGTAGCGATGACGACAGTATGAATAACGAGGAAATAAGGAACATCATGTTAAAATTGCACAACACAAAACCACTTACTTGCTGCCTTTTGACAAAATTCCATTATATGAAACAGAAATAATATTGTCAACATCTCCCATGTGGTCCTTCACAAGAAAGCTATTAAGAAGAGAGCCGTTGAAAGCATCCCACATGTGAACAGGTTGCTTGGTACTCGCTGTTAAAAAATTGCAATTAGTTCCCAACGAAGAATTCATACATGGATGCCAACAAAAATCATTGATGCACCCTCCTTCTCTCACAGTCAAGCATGGTTTCCAAGATTCATCCAATTCAATTGTTGTTGAAGAGGTACCTTCTTGAACATTTGATGTTGACGATGAAGACTCGCTCTTTGTGGCATCCATATTCTCACTTTTTAAATTCATGTTAATGTTTGAAATGAACTGTTGTGGTCTGTCGTTTTCGTGTTGGCCAACATTACAATCTCTACATTTTCACACACTTACAACTCAAACAATCGAATTCTGTTATCATTACTGTTCGTCAATAAACACAGACCATCCGGAGACCATCTCACTCCCTTGGTGTAGATTGGAATTTGTCGAGTTTCATTGGTAAATCCAAATTCACCTCTCTCACTTTTCAATACCATTCGTGCACGTATTCCTCCTTCAGCAAAATTATATTTCACTACATGAATCATTTGAGTGATGGTTTCCGATGATGATGGTAACGTTGAGGAGTCTAAATAACTTGCTGGTGTTGTTGAATCCAAATCATCATCGACCATATTCATCATGGCATTAACGACCTCTCCTCCCTCTTGTACTTCCGATGTTTTATTTTCCATCTGTTCTACTTGTTCAGTATTATCATCTTCACCTTTAGGGAGATCGTTATTGCTTGGAGTTAAGCTGAGCATTTTTTTGTTGACTCACGAGCTCGCGCTTGCTTTGGAAAATGCTTCAAAGTATACTGTTGAACTCTTTTTACAATAATAATAAACAATGAAAAGAAAAGACCAAATGGATAAACACTTCCACAGACACAGCATTTCATTCCAAGAACAAGAACTCGTTACTCAAAAAAAAATGTCCAAACTCTATTCACCTCACGTGCAACTTCCTGCAAGAACTCCACAAAGCACACCCGTTGATAAGATCACTCACCTTTTGGAAAAGTATAGAAATAGTGTTCCGAGTCATGTTCAACGGTGTGTCTTGTTGAGTACAGGCTCATACAATCCATGCCATCAGATGCATATTAAAACCTTTCAAATCATCAAGAAGGCGCTTGAGAGCTCGTATGGCAAGTTGGTAGTGGGTGCTTTTATTTCTCCATCGCATGGACAATATGTTTCAGGAAAGTTGAGAGATGATTATATTGAAACAGAGGCTCGATTGGAAATTTGTAAATTATCTATTGATTCCGAAACAAACAAGCTGAAAGAAATGTATGGAGAGGAAAATGCAGATGATTTTTTGAGTGTGGATCGATGGGAGTCTGCAGTATGTTGCGAATTTATTGACTTTCCTGACATTACCTTCTCTTTGAGAGAATATATCGAACAACAATTTCCCAATGAGAACATTCAAATTATTTATATCTGTGGAAGTGATCATATCGAAAAGTGTCCTTATGTTTTGTCATTCCCAACTCGATTGAAATGTGGAGCTGCAATTTTGAATCGACCCTCCCATTCCAAATCGGCAGCCTCAAAACAATCTTCATACAAAGCAACAGAGCATATTTATTGGGTTGATACAACCATGGAGGATGAATGTAGCTCCACCTTGGTAAGAAATAAGGCAAAATTAGGCGAGTCCATTTCACAATGGGTTTATCCTGAGGTTGAAAGCTACATGAGGACTCATCATATTTATTTCCCTTAGAAGTATCGAATAAGGTTTTTTTGTAAATAGTTGACACTAAACGCGTTGAGGACCAATTATCATTCCTTGCACAACTAAACATTCATCACTGTAATTGCACTGGAATATCATTTGCCATCTTTCAATCTGGTTGTTGAATTGACATTGTTCCAAGTAACAATGTTCTGCGCCACTGAGCGACAGTTCTGAGCCAGGAGCCGACAACTCCTTGTAATGACCTTTATTTTTCACCATGAAGACAGCGTTCAGTGACACACAGCAACGAACATCTCTTCCAAAAGATATTTTCGTCCAAAGAACATGTACGAATTCCAAATTTGTAGTGAAATGCCGACTTGCTGAGGTGGATTCCTTGGACTATTTGGGATCAAACGAAAGGATGCGTTGAATTCATCACGAAAAAAAACTAGTCTGTTGGCACTCACAAACGAACAAAAGATACCTTGACATGGGTCGTGTGCTGGATGACATGTCATTCACAACAAGAGCACTGAAATGTTGTTTGTCTCTCGTTCTGATTTTTGCATTGTTGATGACGACAACATCAGGCAAACACACAAGAGTGAAGGTGAAGAATGGCCCAAATGCTTATCATGTAACGATTAACTTGGGAGAATCTGCATACAATTATGACGATGCCTCACAACAAGTCGATAATTATAATGATGAAAACAAGAGTCCTCTTCATGTGGATTCAGTCACTCAAAAAGTTATTTCGAAATTTCAACATGCACTCACCAAGCAAGATGAAAAGCTAATTGCACAAAAATATATTACATTCGCAGAACAAGTGAAGAAGGTGAGTGAATATTTTCTTGATTAATATATGATCAAAATGCGATGATTGGATATACATTTCGACGTATTTGGATGTTATATTTGTGTGGAACAATACCAGTTGTATGATTCCATTCCAGAAAATTCATCACCAGATGCATTGGCTCTTAAAGAACAATTGCTAGCAATTGTCAGAGATTTAACATTGAAATCTGAACATCCTGGAGTAGACATGCTTCAATCCACGTTGAAAGATTTCAAGTCAGCAGCAGCCTCTCAACAACAACAACAAAATAATGAAGCAGGTGAAGGAGGTGCTCAAACTCTTGCTCTTCCTGCAGCCATCAAAGCAGTCTCCTTTGCCATGAATATTGCAGATAAAATTGGAACCTATTCAGATTCGCTGTCAAAAGCATCAAAATTCTTGGAAGGACCTGTCGCCAAAAAGTTGAGAAAATGGGGCTTCAAAAAAGCTGCTTCCTTGGCTGAACGTTATGGACACAAGATGGACACGTACGCCACTGAAAAACTCAAACCATTCGAGGATAAAATCGCGAAAAAGATTGCACCCGTGGTGAAATCAAAAACATTTCAAACGGTACGTCGATCACTGGAAGTAGTCTCTGCTGCCATGAGTTTGAAAGGAGGTTTGAAGGCGTTGGGAATGGTGAAAAAGGTCAATTTAGGATCATTGAGAAAAATTAGAAAATCGTTAAAGGAAATGACAAAGTTTGTGAAAAATCGAAAACAAATTATGAAACTGATCAAAAAGAATCCACTCAAAGCATTGAAACGATTTAACAAGCTCAGAAAGAGAGTGAAGAAAGTGAGTGGTTTTTTGGACAAGCAGAACGACAAGAGCGATGTGTCAAAGATGGACGGCACTGTGTCACCAATTCCAAAAGCAGACACCCCTAAAATTCGAAGTTATTCGAGAACCAAGGACTTGCCTGACAAGATTGAAACTTCCAACAATGAAAGCAGTCCCGACAAGCGAGGTACACAAAGACCATCCAACACTCCTCATGTGCAAGTCATCATCACGCTCAAACATTGATGAATTAATGTTGGTTGGTCCAATAGTCCATGTTAAATTAAAGACTATTGTAGAAGCATTTCTCCCGGGTGAGGTAAATCTCACAGGGCTTATCTTGTATCAAATCACACAGAACGGACCATTCGCGTACACAAAGACAAGGTATAAGAGTTTAGTAATGACGAGCGCATTCCAGTTGATTTCGCGTGAGTGCTTGTCGCTCTCGATAGCCATAAACGATGTCGTTGTGCTAAAGGCAAGTTTAAAATGAACTTTGAAAATACATGTTCCATTCTACTTGGGAGTGACGCATTATTTGAGGTATTCTGGATTTAGAACCTTCATCAACCAGTCTCAATTATTGGTGAGCGAGTTGCTCACTCGAGATTGGACGACCTGACGTAATCTTGCTTTAACATCCTTTTCAAAAAATCACTCGAAACCACAACAAGTTACATCTTGAACATGCTGTCCTCCAGCCTGGCTTTCGCCCTCACAGCAAAAGAAGCCATTCAGCATCTTTAAAACCTGTATTACTATTGATATGCTTGAGTTGGATTCTAGGAATGTTGTGTGTCATGGCTTCACAACCAACCACCTATTTGGTCAACGCCTCTCCAAGACCCACTGTTGAAGTCAAAGATTTGAAAGATGCCTACCATGTGATTATTAATATGGATTCAACTCCAACAACCACTCCATCTGGTGCACCAACCAATTTACAAGTAGACTCAACCACACAACAAATCGTTTCCAAATTTAAGACAGTCATCACCCTCATGATGAACAACTCGTTGCTCAAAAATACATTCAATTTGCAGAGAAGGTCAAACAAGTAAGTGTGTGAGAAACATTGTTTCTTTTCTTATCCAGTAACGACACATGTATTCATGTTAATGCAACGTTTCAAAACCTCTTCCACACTCAGATCGCTGATTCCATTCCAGTAAATATCTCACCAGAAGCCTCTGCTCTCCAACAACAATTATTGGCCATTGTCAGAGATCTGACTTACAAATCTGAACATCCTGGTGTGGACATGCTTCAATCGACTTTGAAAGGTTTCCAATCAGCTGCAGCAGCATCCTCTCAACAACAGCAAGCCTCATCCAATTCTGTTGATGGTGCTCAAACTCTCTTCTTACCTTTGGTACTCAACGCTGCTTCATTGGCCACCAGTGCGATCCAAGGAATTGGAACTTATTCAGATTCACTCTCAAAAGCGTCACAATTCTTGGCTGGACCAGTTTCTCAAAAACTCAATCAATGGGGCTTACCAAAGTGGCTGCTTTGGCTGAACGTTCAGGACAATCCATGGATCGATTCGCTACTGAAAAACTCAAACCCTATGAAGATAAAATTGCAACAAAGATTGCTCCATTCGTTCAATCTAAAACATTTCAACATGTCAATAACGCATTGGCAGTGGTTTCAAGTGCAACGAGTTTGAAAGGTGGTTTGAAAGCGTTGGGATTGGTAAGAAAGATTAAACTCCCACCTGGAGCTCTGCAAAACGTTCGAAGTGCTTTGAAACTGGCTTCAAACGTTGTGAAAAATCGACGACAAGAGATTATGAACATGATTAAAAAGAATCCTTCACAGGCATTGAAACAATTTACCAAGATTCAGAATCGTGTGGAGAGAGTTCAAGGACAATGGGAAGATTTGAAAGGAAATGTGAGAAAATTCAGAGATGATCTTGTGAATGGAAATAACGGTCAAGAGGAAATGTCACAACAGCAGTCCACAAATCCAGAATCAACTCAACAGTCCTTCGTGTCCCCAGGAAATGGAGGTCGATCACAAGAACGATCGAGAAGAGGAAGTCCAGGATCGAATGGAAATCAAAGAAGAGGAAATACAAGATCTAATGGAAATAACAATACAAGAAGAAGAGGTAATTCAAGATCAAATGGAAATCAAAGAAGACGTAATGGCAGATCGACTGGAAACAACAGAAGAACGACCAATAGATCAAAGAACAGAAATGGTAATTCTTCAAGACGACTTGGACAAGGTCCATCCAGAAGAAATCGAGGAGGAATTCAGAGATCCAATCAACAACAACGAAGAAATAACAACATGAATCAAAGAAGAACAACCAACAACAAGAGGAATTCCAATAATTTTCCAAGAAGAGGAAACTCACAAACAGGATCAAGACAGAGATCTAGTAATTCGAATGTTCGAAAAGTTTCCAATCCATTCTTAAGAGGCGCCTCTGCCAATTCCTCGAAAAAAGGTTCATTCATGAATCGAAGCAGCAATCAGTTTCGTTCATCCTCTTTGAAACCAACAAAAAAACTCTCTTTTCCAACGAACTTTTCTACACCAAAGTTGAAATTTAGAAAGTAAATTTGGCAAACATTTTTGAATAATTCTTGTGAATCAAAATATCAGCAACAACAACGAGTTGTCCAACAACAATCTTCCTCATCAACCACAACTGCACCCACAACAATGACCATCTCTACAGCATTTAGAAAATTATTAAGTAGAAAAATCAAAGAGAAGAAATTTACAATTCAATATTTGGAATTTTAAAATTAAAAAAAATGTCTTTATCAAGTCTTCCACTTGAAATATTGCTTTCTGTATTTGATTTCATTCCCTTTCCATCATGTCATTCTCTTCTTCCAATTTCAAAATCATGGAATGCTTTATTACTACCGTATTTATCCCGAAAATTAAAACAATTGTTTGATAATGAGTTAGACTCACGAGAGTATTGGATGGTCATTATGACCCGTTCTGGATATTATAAAGAATATAAATATTCGGGAGATGAATATGATGAGTATTCAGTCAATTATCGCTATGATACCTATGATAAGTTTATAGAAGATAAAACAATTGCAACAGACCTTCGCATACACGTTTCAAACATTCCCGAAAATCAAAATGATACTATTTTAGAAGAGTTCTCATCAAGCAAATCAATGAGAGAATTATTACTTCGTTGTAACATACCACATTATGCCAATATGAATCAAAATGATGGTAGTGACATATGTGAAATTTCAGAACACAACTCCATTCCTGAATTCAATCCAGATTTACCTTTTTTACTTTCACCAAATATTTGTTCCACCATATTTCCAGAAACATTGGAAAGACTCGATACTGAATATGATACCAGCTACTCTGGTGATATTAACGGTGAACATGATCCACAGTGGAAAAGTTTGAAAACATTTCTGAATTCTCTAAATTCTCTCAAACAAGGAGCATTGTCAATATTTTCTGAACACACTGAGAACCGTGTTGAGTGGGAATTGTATTTTTATTTGATGCATAGTCGAGAGTTGTGGCATTTGGAAATGACAGGCAGCACTAATTCTAGTAGATATGCCTGTTACAATGAATAGATCTATTGACCTCAGGAGTTTGTAATGAATAATGAAAAATTATTGGTGATGGATTTAAAAACCATTAAGGTAGATCTGTTCGATTGCATTCCTGAATATAATCCAGATTTACCTTTTTTACTTTCACCAAATATGTGCTCCACCATATTTCCAGAAACATTGGAAAGACTCGATACTGAATATGATACCAGCTACTCTGGTGATATTAACGATGAACATGATCCACAATGGAAAAGTTTGAAAATATTTCTGAATTCTCTGAATTCTCTCAAACAAGGAGCATTGTCAATATTTGCTGAACACACAGAGAACAGTGTAGATTGGGAATTGTACTTTTATTTAAAGTACAGTAGAGAGGTGTGGCATTTGGAAATGACTGGTAGCACAAGTGTAAGTAGTTATGAGAACTACAATATGGATTAAACAACTCAGTTCAAGCGTTTGCTCGAACCTTGAAACTGTTGTGAACTTTTTTGAAAAGAACTTTTCTTTTCAAAAAAAAAATGTCTTTAAAAAAGAAAAAGTTATCTCATCAGGATGATAGCTGCTCCATTCAACACCAGCAATTATCATCAGAAAATCATTCCTCCAATAATAATAATAGAAATAACTCTCAGCAGCAGGCTGGACTTGTTTCCGATACTCTGATTCTAATCGGATCATTTATGGAAATTATAGATATCATCAAATCCATGTCGGGAGTTTGTAAATATTGGAATGAAGTATGTGATGGTGATGCTTTATGGAAGGGATTATTCCATAGAGAGTTGGGAAGTGTCGATTGGTTGATTAGCAAATTGAATAAGAATTTGCAGCAGAGTGCTTCTTCGGGTGGTACAGCCAGTATGCACTCTTTCAAAATTGAGTTGTTATATTTTGGCACCTTACACCTTACACTTAGTGTCAGTGCTGTTTTCATTTGACACTTGAGTGCCAAATGAATGAAGTGTGATTTGTATTTGACACTTGAGTGTAAGGTGCTATTTGTATTTGACACTTGAGTGTAAGGTGCGAAATGGATGTTGATTGAAATGGAGGTACTAGTTTGTGAACCTAACCATTCTACTTCGTGTTCATATAAAAAGGTCAATAACGAATCTATCAAACAAAAAAAAAGGCATGATTTAATCTCATGCATCTACTTTCCTTACGTATGTTAGCTTGGACCTTCGTATGAAAGGAGTTAGGAGGCACAAAAGATGATATGTTCCTTTCATTCACGATGATAGACTCAGCCGTTAAGAAGTATGACTACGAAACAAAAAGTGATTCCAGTTCCCTTAATTGTACCCTTCTGATTGCTTCAGCTTGACTTTTGCTGTTACCGTCATTCCCAAATCACTCAAATTCGATTACATCAGCCAACAACAGTGTTGAGCACCATTCTCTTGTTCTTCTCACCGTTTTTGTAACAATTGAACAAAAGTACATGTCACTATGAAGAAAAGCTGGCAAGTTTCACTCCCCTGTTGAACCAAATGAAAATGTTTTCCTGTACTGCAAGTGTTTTTCCTCAACATAAATCGTCTCTCAAGTTCATTCAGCAAGCTCTGACATCCTGTTCGACAACTTCATCTCAATCTCTTTCAACGCCGTGTTGTATGGCGCAACATCAACTCAGAAAACAGGTGCTGAACGGTGGAACATTATTTGAACCACTGCCTCACAACGCTTCACCTTAGAAAATGAGCGTGAGTCTATTCTTCCCTCCATAAACTAAATTTCGTAGATGATCATTTGGTATTGTCGTTGTCAGACGAATTGTCCAAAAATTGCGTTCGTGATACTCGATGATGATTGTGTAGTGAAGAGAATTTTGAGGCCCGTTGCTCACAACCGTGAAGACGGAGGTTTGTAATTTCAAAATAATATTTAAATAAATTAAAAAATATACAGGTGCTGATGACACTCGGCACTCAAGTGTCAGGTGCTGTTTGCATTTGGCACTCCAGTGTTAAGTGCTATTTGTATCTCCTTTTTGGGACTACGTGCCATTGCAAACGGCACTAAAGTGTAAGGTGTAAGGTGCTAAAAGGTATGTCCTCTCATTACACAAAACCATTTACATTTCAGGAATTATGAAAAACGGTATTTTGGTTTTGACGAAGACTCTGCAGGTGAGGATGATGACAATGTCGATGATGATGAGGTTATGAATGGAAATGAAAAGAAAGATGTTGGAGTTTTGAAAAAGACATCTTTGAAAAGAAGTATTGAGGAAGGTAAACAAACAATTATTTCTTTGGATGTACTTAAAGAGGTTCTTGAAGATTGTTATGGAGTGAATAGATTTTGGTTGAGTTTGTTCAAAGTAGTAGCTGCTATGATCCCAATACAGAGCTATAAATTGATGACTGAAAAACAAATTATTCAACCACTTGACAATGTGACGCCAATGGTGAGTTCAAAGAAGAAGGATGATGATGACGACGATGACGACGAGGATGAAGACTATGATGAAGATGATGAGGCTGATAATCAAGAGGAGGATGATCAATCAGACGAAGAAAAAGAAAAGAAATCTGCAAATCAAAAACCAAAAGACGACTTTTTCAAACGTGATTTCATGTTCAAAGGTAAAAAGAGCGAAGAGGCAACAGAACATCTCATTTCAAAGAATTATTGTTACTTTACAGTGAGATTGGAACAAATATTGGATGTCATTTTTGGAAGTGAGTTGGAAAATGCAACACTTTTACAACAGGCTCTGTATGTTGATATCAAAACTCACAAACTTGCTGTCATTTTGAGTATATTTGATAGACATGGAATTATTTTGAATTATTTCGGATCAGATTCTAATGCAACAGAGAAATACTTGAATAAGATTACAGGACAATTGGCCATTCATGCCCAAAACATTACCAATTATGTTCTTTCAAAGAAGACTCGTCCAGCACTTCCTAGAACTCCCTACGTGACAGAATGTGACACGATGTGTGTTGGTCTTACGAAATCTCATCACACCATTTCCATCTTGAAATTCTGTTACTCTGTTTTATGTGAACAGGAAGATTCAATTTATCAACCTGATTCAGTTCATCATAACGAGGAAAATATTAAGAAAGCGAATGATGAAGAAGAAGAGAACAATGATGTCAATGACGACAATGATGGGGAAGAACGTGAAAGCGATTTACCAAAACAGCTCACTTTGCATCCGGAAAACCATCATGGAGTTGTGGATTTTGGAATGCTAATTTTTACTTTTATCATGTAGCAAGATTTAATACCTTTTTACAATTTCAGAATGGTCTTTTGAGAGTAGAACAAGATCAATCGAACATTTTACATAATTTGTGTTAACAATGAAAAATTGAAATATTTATTTGTACCGTAAATTTACGTTTAAATCTATCAAGTTCTATTGGTAACCAGCTACATTCTGATCATTTTTTATGGTTATCAACCAGGTTATCTAGATACACATAAACAAAGATTTATATTTGGTGAACGGTTCACTAAAGGTTGTTGTTCACTCGGCACTCTTCACTCCTCCTAAAAACAATTGTTGTTTCAATACGCCACTCTCCTTCTGCATTTGCAAAAGAAATAATTTGAGTCCCTCCTCCTGTTCAACAGTGTCCCATTGTGGAAGTGGTCTCAATCTGTAGAGTTTGTTTGTTGTTTCAATTTCAAAATCGTCATCCATTCCTTCATATTTATCGAGTGAAATAATTGTTAATTTATCAAGATCGAGTTCTTCATAGGCTGAAAGTGATGACATTGGATTAGCAAGAACTCTCTTTTAATGTTGTTGTTTGTTTTGTTCTTTCACATCAGCATCAAGGAATGAATCAATAGTTTCACGATTGTAATGGAATGGTCTCTTATTTTCATAGTGAGATTTTGATATGATCTTCCAATTATTTCTTGGTGATTTAACTGTTGTTGAAGAGCCACCTTGTCCACTGCCACTTGTACTTTCTCTAAATGATGTCGATCTTGCTAAAGGTGAAGCTTGTGAATTTGCACTTGGTGTTAAATCTGAACTAGTCGATAACAAATGTGAAGTGAATGAGCTCAACACACTGTATCGAGACGAAGATGGTTATGAAGAAGAGCAGAATAATAGTACTCACCACCAATACACAAACATGAATCTATGGTAGGAACCTGCTGTGAACCAGTTAAGTTGAAGCCAAAGTAAGATATTGATTTCCCGAAGGCTTTACAAATTTTCCATCACATTAATGATATATTAATTTTGAATTTAACAAGGAGAGTAGAGAACTAATCGGTATTTGATATCATCATCATGATTGTGATTTTTGGTATCGCCGTGAACAAGGTACAAGGAACTTGATTACAACAATAACTTTGTTTCGACCAAAAAAAATGATTACACAAGACACTCATGACACAAAGGTCATTACCAATAATAACGATGAGGAAGCTAGTAGCCCGGTAACCATCACACCGGAAATGACCACTTGTTGCGAAATTAAAGTTCCTCAACGCAACAATCCAAAAGCAAAGCCTTTACGTTTTGTCGTTGTTTCCGACACTCATTTAAATCATGAGACGGTGGAGATGCATCAATATACAGGCGATGTTTTGATTCATTGTGGAGATTTTACGAATAAGGGAACCAAAGGAGAAGTGGATTTGTTTTTTCAATATTTATTGGATCAATGCGATGGAAAGTTTAAATACATCATCATGATTGTGGGTGCGTAGAAATAGTGTTTGAATTGAGAGTAGATCAGTATTGAATCATTTATGAATATCAATGCAAAATGTTTAGGCAATCATGAATGGGCTCCAGATATAGTTGTAAGAGTCAGATTTAACAAGTTTTTCAAAGAAAAGAAGGTCAAATCAAGTTATCATCTTTTACTGGATGAACATGTAACGATATTGGATGACAACAATCAAAAGATAAAGATTTTTGGAAGCAGATTTAGAGCATCGTGGAGGTTTCCACCATTGATGAGAGACTCCCTTAGGAAGACATCCTTTCAAATATCCAAAGACATTGACATGTTATTAACACATTTTCCACCTTGTAAGAATGGACTCGATATTGCACATGATGATGTTTCAAGAGGATCTCCCCAATTAACAGACATGCTCGATTCTAATTATTTTGAGAATTTAAAGATTCATTGTTTTGGTCATAATCATTGCACACGAGGTCATCATTATGAAGAAAAGACTGATCGAATGTTTGTCAATGCAGCATCAACACTTAGTAAGAAAAAAAAGATTGTTGCCAAGCCTTACATTTTTGACTTTTGAAAAAGAGGAACACGATCATGTTGTATCATTTCAATTGAAATTTAACAAGATTCATCTGCGCATTGTACTTTTACCAATTTACATGGCAGAAACGACCTCATCGTACTCCAACAACATGTCAGACCTCTTTTCTCGTCGTCGGTGACGGCCAATGTTATCCCAGAGCTTGAGAATCACAGCACAGTCACCACAGAACCGTGTTGAACTCTGGATTGCCTGTGTGAACAAAAAAGGAGAAAATGAAGTGGCTCTATTTCGCAAGTGCGTATCCTTCTCCTATCAAATTCAGGTCCAATTTTTTCCCTTTTTCGAAGAAGGATGCTGTGGGACACCAAAAAAACAAATCCATTCCTCCACACGGTATGTTGTGAATAACATCTCAACACTCGCTCTCTTCTCACACTCGGATACAACGTTGTTGCATCTCTCTAATATTCGCATCCACAACATGCAATATCAATGATGCCTATAATGTATCACTGCCAAAATAGCACTCTATTGGCCGGTGCACTTCTCCGACTCCAAAATTGGACCTTCATTACTCGTGTCAGAGAAATTCGCTCAACGTGGTAATAATTATTATTAAACCACTACCGTGCGTTTTGCTTTTTAAAAAAGAAAACCTCGACCACCTACAAACACTTTGTTAGATAAACAACACACTTGTTCTCGTGGAGACACGCAAAAGAACTTTCAATTCCCTTGTAATTTCTACAATGAAGAACAATTTCATCAGGTCACCTGCCACTTGTCACCCTGATTCCATGTCCTACCATCATCAACAGACCTTTTCATCAAAATGTTCATCCAATTCATCCACATCTTCCATCCTGCCAATACCATCCAACACGCCCAAATTAGTCAAGTCTATTTGCTCCTCGACGGAATCGACAACCAAAGAAATTTTTTCACGCATCCTCCACCAATCAAACAACCATGTAAATACCCTCCATTTCACACCCAAAGAATGGTCACAACTTCTATTCAAAGCCATACAATTCGGAGACGAAAATGTGGTTCGGGCCCTTCTCGAATGGGGAGATTACGAAAATCAAAGAATCCTTCAACAACTTTCACATTCATGTAAAAACGCCAAGTCCACTCTCTCAAATTTACCTTACAGTTTGGAAAGTGGTGATGAGCAATCGTACGGAGCCACTGCTCTCCATAAAGCATGTTCCCTTAATCGACCGCAAATTGTGAGCATGCTGTTACAGAGAAATGATGTGAGTCGATGTGTGAAAGATCACTCACAGTCCACACCAATGCATTATGCAGCATCGAATGGTTCGTTGGAATGTGTCATGCTCTTGTTACTGAAAGGAGAGAATGCCTCAGAAGGCAATTTTCGAAGAAATGTCAATGACGATCAATTAATGTTAGATTCTAAGGATGCTTACGGAAATACTCCTATTCATTTAGCAATGAAGCACAAACACTATCAAGTGGTCTCTGCATTGCTAGACTATTGTCCTAATTTGGTGAATTCGAGAAGAAGTAACTCACGAACGTTGCTGCACATGGTGGTTGAAAATTTTGATGTGACAGGATTGTCACTCATTACAAAGGAACATGCACAAGCCTTGTCCAAAATTCAAATCTATGCCAAAGATGAAAATGGTTTAACGCCACTCATGCTTTTGGTTAAGGAATTTTCAAGACTCACCGAAAATTCACATCTTCGAAAAAAGAACCGCTTTTCAATGCTCCTCCACCTTCTCTCCCTGTACGACTTGTCAGAAATGTCACTTGTAAATAGACACAATGACCATCATTGCAAGAATTTATTTCACATTGCTTGTCTTCATAACTGTGCAGATGTGGTTCGAATCATGGCCCTGTTCCTTAATCGAGAACTTTATTTAAACATGCTTAAACAATGCGATAAGAATGGCCAAAATCCATTTCACACAGCTTGTAAATATGGAGCAGATCAAGTGTTGGAAACATTCTTGCTGATGGTCCATAGTGAAACAGCAGACCACTCCAAAATTGTACAATCAAAATCAAAACATTGTAATATTAACTCTCGTGAAGAATATTTAGAATGTAAGGATAAGGAGGGTAATACACCATTGCATGTAGCTGCTTTATCGTTAGCTCTTGTGTCACCTGCCTCCAATGAAGAAGATGACGACTCTCCTTCGCCACGCGGCGTCTCTTTCAGCGCCAGTTGTTCAGATTTACCCTCGACCTCTACTGTGACAAGCACTCGATCAAGCTCAAATAGTGCTCTTTCATTTCCAGTGACGTTTGGAAAGGCCAATTCTGAGTCTTGTATTGCCAAGTTTTCAAAAAGTTCCTATTCACCACTCAGCATGACACCTTCGGATGAGGATGTAACAAGTACATTTGTGCGATGTATTGAGGTACTGTTTCCAGTGGTGAGTTTAGACATTGAAAATTCCAAAAAACATACCGTGCTGGAATTGTTAAATAAGACAATCTTTTTCGAGAATTCCAGTATTTTCTCAACTTCAATACAACACTAAATCCCATAGAAAAATTAACAATCACATCAATTTCTTGTCTATGGTTCCAATTCGATCATAATTATGAGCAACGAGAGCTTTGGCAAAAATTTCACCTAAATCTTCAAAACCCTGATTACAAAAAGCACTCGTTTCAATATAAGTGACACATCCCAACGCTCTAGCCAATGACTCACCCATCTTGCTTGACAAAGGTTCCCAAAAATGTTTCATTCTTAAACCTCTGCAAATGTCCTTTCGGGATCTCAAATCTGTTTTGCAAGCCACTAAAATGATTGGAATTTGAGGCTTTCTCTTTTCTTGAAGGTCTGAGATCCATTGATAAAGATCTTTGACATTGTTTTCATCTAAAACATTGAAACAAAGACAAATAAGATGAGCGTTGGTACAAACTGCGGTTCTTGCAAAAAATTTTCTGAGATTTTCAATGCTTCACTTGCAATTCATAATTTTCCATTATGGTTACTTACAAACCTGGTATGTCTAACATTTGAAAGGTGGCATCTTGATACTGAATTTTAACTTGACCAGTCGTGAGTGTGAATACTCCAAACTTGCCATGTGGATCAATAAATGAAGATTTTCCAGCTCTCTTATCCCCAATTACAGCCACTCGAAACAGTAATTTTTCATCCATAGTTTTCAATGAATTCATCAAATTCGAAAATTCGAACTGTTGTTTCAATTCATGGCTTGAATAAAATTGACAAAGATTACAAAATTTTGGAATCATGTCCTTGTACGAGACCATGATTGCGCTTTCGAATTCTTTCATTTGTCGATGTGTACAACTTTCGACATGTTTCATCAATTCAATTAAATGATATCGAAAATTACTTGACATCTGACATTGATCACTAAAATAGTTTGGAATCACATCATGGTTCCGATCTTCATGAGGAACACAATAAAGACGTAACAATTTCATTTCATATTTAAATATTTCCATTCTTTGAAAATAATAATCTTTCCAACAACAATCTTCGCAAGCAAGTTGTGATAATCGGAATGATTTTGATACGAGTTGTAATGTTGTGAAATCATGAATCGAGAGAAAGCTTAAAATAATTCGTACCACATCATCACATAAATATTGTTGAAATAGAGAGTGTAATGGTTTGGAAGAGGAGGAGAAGGATGAAGAGGAGTGAAATAAGGTACGAAAGATTTTTCTCACAAGTAACATTTTTTTCAATATTAATTAATCACAAATTCGAACATTTTAAAAAGAGAGTTTATCATTCTGAAACTAAAATTCCTTTTCCTTTGAATTTGCATTTTGGTCACGACCTCCAAAAATCACTATTGAACAACATTTTAGAGAATTTCACACTCTTCCTTCTCATTTTCCATTATTATTTGACACTCTTCCTTCTCATTTTCGAAAATAAACGAAAGAATAGAAACCGTTGAGGACTCCAAAAATAGATAATGTCAAATTGTTGAGCACGAAAAAAACGTTTAAAACCGTTCTTTCTTAACGCTGTGGTTGGATGAACCTTGGGTTTTAATTCACACTTTCAACATGAGATTATTTCTACGATAAAGTCTTATTCGATGGAACTGAAATGAATCCGGTATCGCTTTGACCATTTCACAGAGTCGTCTTTGCAGTATACGCACGCTTAACCACTGTTGTTTAAGGAACGAAAGTGTGCCACTTGTCATTGAGCGTTGTGACATCATTTGTAAATGCGTTCGAGTGGTGCTATACCCCGAGATTAAACCTTTACGTGCAAGATAAAACAAGCAAAGTACTATAGATCTTTCATGGTTTCATTTCGGCAGATCTCTTCTTTTCTGTCGTTCCACATTTTTATTAACATTCATTTCACTTTTCTTTCCATTTTTGGATCGATTCATATTTATGTCCATGACTCATTCATATGACATTCCACTCTTTAAGAAATAATCCTGGCTCATCCCAACCAAGCAACCCACTGCACTATCTCTTTCTCTCATTCTTCTTCTTTTCTGTGAAAACTCTATAAATTGGCATTCACAATTTCCTCTCTCTCAATTTTCACATAACAAAAAAAAATCAAATTATTGAAATGAAAACCGCAACTCTTGTGGTGCTGTTTGCACTTCTCCTCTTTGCAGCAGTCTACGTTGCAGGATCTGACTCTTACCGTCCTGATCCTTACAAACCTAAACCTCGAAGACATTGTCGCAAAAAGTGTGTCTTGCACAAGTATTTGAGAGGAAAATGTCTCAAACACAAAGTCGTGGGTCGTAAAAAGTTTTGCGACAAGTATGCCATTGTTGGAAAGGGTCGTTGTTTGAAACACAAGAGATGGTCCAAGTGTGATAAATACAGTAAGGCCTTTACCAAGTGTGTGAAACACAAATTCAAGAAATTCTGTGCCAAGAGAAAGACCAAGAAGGTTTGCGATTCTTATGGAAAACGTAAATTCTGTAAGAAATATGGATACAAGAAATTCTGTGCCAGACACAAGAAGTACAAAAAGTGTGTGGCTCATGGCAAGAAACGTATTTGTAAGAAACACAAGAAATTCCCAATTAAGAAATGCTTCAAGAAGAAGAAGTGTGACAAGTATGTCGATTCCTATGCTCCTCGTAAATGTCGTTTCATTCGTAAATGCCGTGTCGTTTCACACAAGACCAAATGTGTTCGACACAAGACCATTCGTTTCTGTAAGAGACACAAGAAGTTCACAAAATGTGTGAAACACAAGAAGAGAAAATTCTGTGCTAAATGGGCATTCAAACAATTCTGTAAGAAACACAAGAAGATTACAAGATGTGTCAAACACAAGAAGAGAAGATTCTGTGCCAAGAGAAAACACTTCCCATCCAAATGTATTCGTAGAAAGAATTTCAAAAAGTGCATCAAGAGATCCAAAGGAAGAAGAGTTTGTAAAAAGTTCAAATTCACCAAAGGAAAGAGAGTGTGTAAGAAACGTGCTAAATCCAGAAGAGTTTGTGCCAAGACTAAGAAGATCTGTAAGAGAAGAAAGCACAAAAAGTTTGATCTTTACAAGTAAGAGTTGCAAAATTGCAATTTTTCCGTACAGCAATGGTAACGAGTTTTTTTTGCCTTAACATGAGTTTGTGTGAAAGAGTTTTTTGAATTGATCCAAAGACGAAAGTCAAAAATCATCCGAAAAATTAAATAATCTTGTGAGGTGTTTTTAAAAGTCTTTCATTGTATTAATTAACAGATACCGTGATAAGATCAATGGTTTCTTTCAAATGTCATTTCGCATATTCCACTGTGCTAACATCGCCCTTCCCTCATGAGAAACAAGCTTTTCCAGTTCCAAGCAGTGTCCTCGTGCATGAGCATCAAGTGGATCCCAACTGTGCCGACATGTTACTACTAAACTGCACCAAGTTAGAAATCAAAGAAATGTTAGAACAAGCAACATCATCCATTCTAGCTCCCTCATGGAAACTCTTCATCTCAATCCTCCTTCGACTCGTCATGACTTGTTTCATCATTGGAGAGTTTGTGCCACTACCCATTTCAAACAACAATTACATCAAAACGTTATACTTGTTTATTGCATGGGGCGTGTCGTTTCAATTTGACATTCGTGTGTATGAATTGTGTTTTTGCATGTGTGTCAATGTCTTGTTCATTGCACTCAATTACAATGCCTTGTCGAAAGGAATCTTTCAATTCACTTCACAAGATTTCTTGTTGCAACCGGTGTGGGAATTTTTCATGTGGGGATTCTATGTGTTGCATGCCATGAGAAGTTTGGGAGATTATTCGTGCTCGAGTGTGAGACCAAAGAAGCGAGAAATTCTTATCATTGGCTTTTTCAAGTGTTTTTGGAATTTTTGACAACATGTGGGTGTTATCGAGCATGTCGTGTTTGGTGGTGTTCATATGCAAATGCTTGTTATCATTGGACGACGACAACAATACTGTATCATCATCTCCACACAAGGATGTAAAGTTTGTTGTGTTTTTCATGGTCATGGGATTGTGTATTGAATGGACTGGTGTGTCAAGAGGTCAATGGAAATACCCACAGAATCAATTGATCTGGGAGAAATTTCCAATTCCATTGTGGTTCGTTGGCATGTGGGGAGGAATTGGATTCTTTCTGTATCGAGCCGCTTTGCCTTTAATGTGGTGGGTGGTTCGTTTGTTGCAGAAACCTAAAAACAAGCCACCTCAATGATGATAACAACAGAGAGCATGGTGTACTCATAATAATAATAATAAATGGATTCAATAAATTACATTTACTTTTTCTTTGCAAAGTCCTTTGGAATCATACATTTGATGAGGAGGGATTTTGTTATTTGATACAAAAAGATGTCACCCAATATATCTCGGTGTGACTTCTTTTTAAACACCACTTTGGCATACTTGGTGAAAATCTTCTTCTCCTTATTATCATTTTGCAGCACCTTTGGAGTTTCATATTCTTTTTGAGCTTCACCAAGCGATGAAGTGGTTGGTTCTTCGAGTTCCTCTTCATCAATTTGTTCCTCAACCATCCAGTCATTCATTGAATCAATGTATGAAACTTCCTCAGTTGGGAATCCAATTTCATTCTCAATGATTGTTTTAAGTTCATCTTCAGTTGGAATGTTCTCCTTTGGTACAGCTTTCTTAAATTGATTTCTAAAGCTAATAATCACAGTTCTATCTCTTAAATAGGTGGTTTCGCTGTAGAGAGAATTTAACAATCTGTCACGCTCTGAAGGTGGAACAGATTTTCCATTCTCAAAGCACAAGGTAAATTTTTCCCATGCAGCCAAATTGGTTGATTTGTTTCGTTGGCAAATGTTATTGGCCTTTCTACAAGACAAGTAATATTGATCCAACTGATTGCAAACCACTCTCTTCAATCCAATATCTTCACCAATTCGAACTGGGAAGTTTTGCAACTCTTCATTGGGAAGAGTCTTGATTGCAGAGACTGCAATTGGTTCAGAATTTTGATGATCACCATCACTGACAAATCCCAATTGAGGGAAGTTTCCATTCATAATGAGATACTTTCCACAACTCTCCTTTTTTTGATCTTGATCTCTCACAAAGTAAATGTGAACAATTTGACCGTAACAAACTGGACTATTCTTGCTAACTTTGCTATTAGCAGGTTGCATGATAAACACTCCATAGTGAGAAGGCGATGAAGCATTTTCGTAGACTGTCTTGATGTAGTCTTTCACAGTGGAAGCATCAATATGAGAGACAGCTCCCATGAGTGCACCACCCGATGGCTTTACCGAGGTACTCTGAACATCAGAGGCAGAAATTTGAACAAAGGCATTCAGAAACGTCTTGGCTGAATATTCATGAGTATTGAAAGTGAGCATTCTTCCGTGAACAGATTTCATGGTGAATGGTCTTCCATAGGTGAGAATGAGTTCATCCGATGAACTTGTATTACCTTCCAATAGACGCATAATGATGATGATAGTGGTTGATCTATTTAATAGTTAGAACGATGATGATGAGCGTGAGTCTGTGGGGCTCAGTGTTGGATGAGAGAAGGAATGAATCAAAAAAGATGATCTAACAACAGAAATTGTTCAATTTTCTTGAGTGTTGGATGGGGGTCGACGACGGTTAGAGGAAGAACCAATGTTGATGAATTTTTTTTTTTGAAAGCTCTGCTTTGGGAAACACTTGTTGAACCTTCGATCTCCACTTTGATGTAATACTGCAGCCTATCTGAACCAGAAACACATTTGCATCTAATGAAACAGAACAGATTTTAGTGCACTTGCGAATTTATTAAGGGATGTATTTTGTGCCCATCATAAAATGAAATGTTAATAATGGATGAATGAATTGTGGCCACAATCACCAACGCGGAACATGTCTGAACATGACGTCGTTTGAAACAGTCGTTGCCTTTTCTCATTCTTTCGTGACGAATAAGAAAAAAATGTCGTCACCCTCTCAAGTGAGGTTGATATTAGTGTCACTTCATACTGTTCAACATGATTTAGACACCTCCTCCTACAACACGACCAAAACATCTGTTATTGATGAAAATTTATTGAAAAAGTTGAAAATGAAGCTACTTGAAACTAAGAGAACGATCACAGCCAAACCATTCATTCCGTTCAATACCCGAGTTAAAGATACTTTTGAAATTAGCTCCTCAGGCAATATCTATCCATGTCATATCGTTTCTCCGTTTGATGTAAAGATTTCATATTCAAACGAATATATTTTGGTGAGCGATCCAAAGTATTCATGGTCTCGAAGTTGGACTATCAAAGTTTTCGATTTAACCACAAGACTCTATCTCAAAACTATTGATACCTCATGTAAACATCCTCCATATATATGTGTAGAAGAGAGACCATTTCTCGAAGATTCAGGTCACTCGAGTGATGCCTTAATTTTTACACAAGCGTTGTCTGAAGGAGAACTTGAACAAGGACTTTACAAATTCAATTTGAAACAATTGGTTGAAAAGGAGGATGGACAAAAGAAGCCCATTTGGTTCGTGGATGTTGGTAAACAACATGTTGGAAGTATGACTACCTTTGATCATCGTCTGTATGTCGTGCTTCACCATGTCACCATTCAAATGTTCAATTCGAAAACAGGAGAATCACTTGCCACAATTTTTGGAGATCCTTCTCCTCAATCATCTATCGCAGATCAACCACAATTGTTTGGACTCGAAGTGAATGTTCACACTCGAGAGTTAATGGCTTGCAATCGTGCACAACTTTTATTCTTTTCACTTGACCAACATTCCAAAGGACTCGAAAGAGAAACACCAAAAACATACATTAGTGGTGATTCTTTCTCGTACTCACAATGGTGCTTCTATGATCGTGCCTCAAAGAATATTCTTTTAGGTGGGAGATGTTTTCAAAAAGACATTCAAGTGATTCATGCAGAGTCCATGACAAGTATTGCCAAAGTGAATGTGGGACATTCATGGATAAGTGATACTATGAAAGGTATGTGTGTGAATGAAAGGACTGGAGAGTTGCTGTTGATTGAGGGAACTCAGATCCTTGTAATTGCTGGAAATAATGACAGCACGGAACCACCTCAGAAACAACTGGTTCCAATTGCACAACAAGATTTCTACAGAACTTTCATGGAGTATTCCAGTTCGAGACAAGTGTTGGAATCAAGAACAGTAATTACTGATCAAAATTCAGAAGAAACCAACTGTTCAAATGTTTCAACCAACAGCAGTTCTTACTTGAATTTGTGTATTGTGCTTTAATTCTTTGATTTTAAAGTATTAATTACGAACAGTATGAATTAGATGCTTTCACAAAACATGTCAGATTCTCAACAGAAGGAAACAAACTCTCAAGTCAAGTTGTTCATCATTTCACTTCATGACAACAATCATGATTCATCATCCATACTGGACTCGGGCATTGCACAACAATTGTTTGAAAAATTAAAATTGAAAATGACAAGTGTCAGAAAGTTTAATATATGTCCAAGTTTTTGATTTAACCACAAGACTCTTTCTCAAACAAGTGGGACCCTATTGCAATGGTCCTCAATATTTATGTGTCGAAGATGAATCCCAATATCTTGCGACAGACAGGTCATTTGGGATCCAACCAGAGGTTATCAACATTCAAGCCATTCACTGAACAACGCCTTCATTGATTTCACCCTCCAAATTCGTAAATTAAACATTAATTATAAAAATCAAAAAAAAAATATTTCATCACCGACATGACACCTAGTCCGTACTCACCTACCAACAACAAGAAGAGAAAACTCTCAATAATACCATCATCCAATAATTTAGCAATCTCTGTTGAATCAATAATGAATACAAACAATAATTACAACAACATTATCAATGAACCATTTATTGATGATATTATTTTTGAAATTCTTCATTTCTTGGATTCATTGTTTATTATTCAAGTTTGTATGAAAATTTCAAAACAATGGAGACAAATATCAATTCAAATTCCTTTGTCATTGTCTTTGAACAAACACTCTGAACAAGATTCTCTTGAACGAATTAAATATATTGCTAATAGCGAGTGCTTGAAGAATTTGACTTCTTTGCGTCTATATCGCAACCATTTTGGCGATGAAGATATTAAATACATTACCAACAGCAAATATTTGAAAAATTTAACTTGTTTGGATCTTAGTGACAACAAAATCGGCGATGAAGGTATCAAATACATTTCTAATAGCGAGTATTTGAAAAATTTGACTTCTTTGGGCCTAAATTACAGCTATTTTGGAGATGAAGGGGTCAAATATATTTCAAATAGCGAATATTTGAAAAATTTGACTTCTTTGGATCTTAGTGAAAACGGAATTGAATGTGTCAAATACATTGCTAATAGTGAATGCTTGAAGAAACTGACTTTCTTGGATCTTAGTGACAACCAAATCGGCAATGAAGGTGTTAAATATATTGCCAATAGCGAATGTTTGAATAATTTGACTTCTTTGCGTTTATGCAGCAACAACATTGGCATTGAAGGCATCAAATATATTGCTAATCATGAATGTTTGAAAAACTGGACTTTGTTAGACCTAAGCGAAAACGAAATCGGCGATGAAGGTGTCAAATACATTGCTAACAGCAAATATTCGCAGAATCTGACTTCGTTGGATCTGAGAAGGGACAACATTGAGAGTACAGGAGCAAATTATATTGCTAATAGCAAATATTTGAAGAATTTGACTTCTTTGAATCTGAATGGTAACAGAATTTTGAATGAAGGGGTCAAATATATTGCTGAAAGTGAACATTTGAAGGGGTTGAGAGTTTTAGATCTTAGTTTCAACCGAATTGACAATAGAGGGATCCAATATATCGCTAATGGAAGTTTGAAGAATTTAACTTCCTTGAAGCTACGTGACAACGAAATTGATTATGAAGGTTTAATTGCAGAGAATGTCTATCTGAAGAATATTGTTTACTTGGACTCATGAAGATTAAAACGAATGGCTTGAATATTGCTATAATCATCAAAATCGTTCTCAATCCAACCTACAAATCACAATTGAGCGTTCATAAATACTTGGCCGAATTCATTTATTACATTAATTTTTCATGTTAAAGATAGAAAAATTCCTTTCACAATTATTGGAGGAAAGGAATTAAGAAACCGTTTCCTTGTTGACACGTTGGAGAGCTGTTTTGTCGTAATCAAATAAGACAAGGGGATAAATAGTTCAACATTTTACTTGGAAAAAGTGCAATTTCAAAAAAAAAATGAAAATGTAGGTTTTGGATGTTCATTCCTATTTTTTTTTAAAATTAGTTTTATCCTAACCATGTGATGATGATGATTCTAACGCAATGTCGATCAATGATACACTTGTGGCCTGAAAATAATAACAATCCGATGATTCCAAACACAAAAACTAATTTTAATCTAATTTTAAAAACAATTTGCTAATTTTTATCACTTCCGGACTTTATATCAATTAGATTAAAAGTAGATGAGTATCCGTTGACCAATTTCGAGGTGAAACAAGTAGTGGAACAACATTTTGAATTTCGGAAGGAAAAATTTGGAGTGAGAGAATTTAATTTTAAAAGAAATCGAGATCCCTTGCTGGATTTTGAATGTCGTTTATTGTATTATTTTGACAAGCAAACAACAGTGAAATATCAAAGTGAAGAAACGATTCGAAATTTACTTAAAGAGTTGGAGCCTTATCGGTTAACCAAGTTGGAAAAGATGCTAATGGTGAATAATCCTCCATCGTCACTTGTTGAAATTCACTCGGTATGTTTCAGGTGTGATTTTAACGTATTTGCGAGGAAATTATTAATTGGGCAACATGGTCAAACACCCATTGAAAATGACATTCCAATTTTGAAAAGATTATTGATAGCTGTGAATCACGATACAATGAGGATGATATTGTGAAAATGCTAGAAATTATTAAGGCTAATTTATTGAAAACACCAACAACATCTTCTGTATCTACAGATATATCTGAGAAGAAATCCAAGAAAGACAAGAAAAATAAGGCTGGAGATAGAACCACTTGGTATGAATTTATTTCAAACATTGACGCCACAAGAATGAAAAAGCAAGAAGCTCAAAACAAACAAAAAGAACAATCTAAGGAAACAACTAGTGCAGCTAACAAGACAAGCAAGAAAAACGACATGATGGATATTCTGTAAACCAAAAGCACCAAATATACCAATTTATTCGGAAGAAAGTAGCTGTGTGTACTATCTTTCGGTTTGCCACGAAAGTAAATCACGAATATAAGGCGAATCAATCTCTGAAATTTTCAAGCTCTCAATGGCTTTTGCAAGAACTTTCCAAGCCTCTCTCTTTTGTTTCTCTACTGTCTCAATCTTTCCATTCTTGTCTAATAGATTCAAATCAAACAGCTCTTTCAACGAGACACACAACGACCTAAATACTTGTTTGTTTTTGGTCTCTTCAGGAATTTGCTCGATCAGCTCATCTAAGAAAATGAATGGCACACGCACCGCTCGTTCCAGATTGTGAAAATTGTTGAAAAATATGGTTTCATCCTCCTTCTTAATCATGGGGAAAACAATTCCCGAATTGAAATAGGTGGAAAAGTGTGAAAATTCGTAGGTTTTCATTCCTGTCACTTCGAGAATTTCTCGACCCGAAATGGTGCTCACAATAATTTTTTCAATTTGGTTGTCTGTATTTTTCCTAGCCAATTCTGTAAAATTGTACTGATTTGCCTTGAGCTCATATTTTGTTCTTTCAATAGCATATTGAAAATTGCAAAAATCCTTATGCAAATAATGTACAGACGCAATGAACAATAAGAAATATTCTAGAGCCAGTGGATGGCCCCAATCATGCTTAGTGCTGTTGTTAAAGATTTAGAACTTCTCCAATTGGCCTTGTCAATAAAATGGCCATTTCCATTTTCATCTTCAATGACAATGTGGCCCTTCTTTTCAAACATATTGTCCATTATTTGTTCTACTTGTTCTTTCGAGAGAAGCGGAAATTGTGACGTGGTAAAAGTTTCGTTTTTTTGGTATGAACTACCTGCATAGGTGGATCGAGTGGGACCTAGCTTATGAACCCACTCATTAACCATTCCTTCAATATTTGTACCAATCATGATAGGTGCATAGATTGTATTGGTTCTGTCCTTAAATATTGCAGGTAGATCGTTAAATACTCGAAGTAAAAAGCTAAATGGTTTTAGAGTGTAATTCTGCATGGTGTATCGCAACAACTCGTCACAATCATCCAGAATCATGAAAAGATATAATTCTTCGTCACTATTCAAGCGAGAGTCGTATCTAATAATTTCGGTAGCCAAGCTAATATCTTCAGGAATAAAGTGAAAGCAATGATCCAGAAAATGTCGATATGGCATAACCAAAGGCTTTTCAATCACTTGTGTAAAATATGAATAAAGCATTCTGGCTGTAATCAACTTTTTTGATTGATCATAATTTAAGAGCTCTTGTGCCCCAAACATCTCCTCTTCCTCCTCTAAAGGACACATATTCAAAAACGGTAAATACAAGTACATGATTTTCTTAAATTGGTGTCTATATTCTTGTGCGCACATTTCCACAGCTTCGATGGTATTTCTTGTTCGACCAGTGCCTTTTCCTCCCGTTACAAAGAATGCAAAAGCATCTGCATTCTTGGCTCCAACGGATGGCTGTTTGTTCACCTTCTCCAATCCATCTTCAATATATGATCTTAATTTGGTGAGGAAAAACGGATGAGGTTGATATTTCATCACATCAGACATGTTTAATTGCATGACTAGATTCTCAGCAGCGCTTGGAATGGCTGATATTTTCTCAATTTGCTCTTCTTCAATGGGATTGGAAGAAGGCTGTTCAAAGTATCTTCTTAAACCTTCGGAAAAAGTTTTGGCATTGAATGAAAATGTTGATAATCCTTCATCCATTGTGGATTGCCTTGAGGAGGACGCTGGTCTTCGTGTAATATTGGTTAAACTGGTATGATAGGATCGTTTCCGATGTATATTATTTGTTTCCAACAAACCATTCCCAATTTGATTATTTTGGATGAGGTGGTCATGATGATGATCTGAATGTGATGATGAATTGCCATAAAGTCTACATGTTGGTTTTCCCGTGTTGATGCCATGACAATAAGTATGGTGAGAGGCATCCGAGCAACGATGATGATTCAAAGCAATTATTTGAGCATGTCTTTTCATTTTTAATGTTAAATGTTTGGGAGGGAATTCACAAGCTTGTATGTGGACATGAAAATGTTCCATGATTTTGATTGAGTTTTAATCTTACAAAAGAAGAGTGTTGTTTTGTAAGAACATGTTAAACTTGTTGTTTACATTCATCATGAAACTAGTAAATGTAATTTGGGAAGGGTCATGACATCAGCGAGGTGCGTCTTGCAAGGAAACGTAATCTTAGGTGTGAAAAAACACTTCACCGTTGTTGCATTGGCTTAGACTCGAGTTGATCAACCGAGGTACTGTCGAATGATACAGACTTGGTGGCGTGCGTTCGTGGCAAAAGTGTTGTGGAATTTGATAAAACCACCATGTTAAACGAAAAATCTTCAAGCTTCGGTTTTGCACTGATTCTTTTTCTTGTGACCAACACGGCCAAATCTAATACTTGGTCTCCTTCTTGCATGCACGCTTGTATGACCAAATGATTCTTCTGTGTGTGTTGTAAGTTTGAAAAAAACTGTCCACCTTGAAAGTTTAACAATTTCGTGAGGATAGTTTTTTGTTGCTCTGGGGTTTTGGAGATGACAACTTTCTTGTATCTTCTCTTGTATTGTGTGACATACTTTTTAAATTGTTCCTTGTACATTTGATGTTTGAATGCTGAATTATCTTCCATACTGAGTGGAGAAATAGAGTTAGAGTCAAATGTTGGTAGATTGTGTAAGGTACAGGTTTGAATCTTATTTAAGTCATCAGAAGAAGCGCTTGATCGAAGGCTCTCCTTGCTGCCGTTGTGAGTGGAGAGCGGAGATGCAGATTGTGGCATTTCGCCTGAAATGATTCCAATATTTGACGTTGAATTTGTGATGATCTGCTTTTTGAAATTTTCGTGTGTTGTGGAGGACATTATCGGAGGCAAGCCACTCCGTAAATCGCTGTCTGAATACACTTGTTTCCTTTCCTGATGGTTTGCTGAGCCCTGAGTTGCTGTTGTGCGTGGTAGATTGAACAGTTGAAGCGAGGACAATGGAGGTAAAATGGTTGATGATGATGGTGGTGTTGGATCGTGGGATGATGAGGAATGCACGTTACTTGTTATGGTCATGGAAATTGTGGAACCTGTTGTTGTTGTCGTAGTTTTGAAATTATTGCTCATGGGTGTTGTTATTGATGATATGGAAGGCTGTTTCATTTCCTCGTTACTGATACTAGTATTTTCAACTGAGTGTTGTTCACGATTATGTTGATTATTATTATTGCTATTACTATTGTTATTATTAACGCTTGTATTTGATGATGTCTCCGGTGGTGTTTTTGAATTACAATCCGAATCGGTGCTCATAGTGTTTCTTCCAACTACTACAGGAGGATCTAATCATGAATGAAATAATACCATACACTCTCTCTTCCGAATACTCTCAAGTAAAAGAACAAGTCAATCAAATTTTCTTGTTTCGGTAAATCAGTGGCCGTTGGTTCGAAGAATGGGTGAACGGAGAAGAAGTGGTGTTTTGGGATGTTTTTTTGCTCTTTTTCGAAACGGGCACTGGGTACAAATTTGGAACCGTTAGCTGCTTTGGACTTTGGGTTGCACTTGTGTGTTGGCAAATGATGTCAAAGGTCATGCTCGTAACTTGATTACTTATCAAAATCAAGCTGGTAATCAAGGCAGTGTAAATACTTTCTTTCATTTATCGTAAACAACTGCGTTCCTCTTTCAAAAGCGATGTTTGTGACACAAATGTCATCCTTAATGTCGAATACAACACCTGTGTCCATCACTCTTCCCGCTCGTCAATTCAATGTGGTTAATCAAAAAGTATGTGTATTCTTTAGTTTCAGATCATAAAAACCAAGCATTTCGGTCGAGTCACAAAAAATCGATGACACTCCCTTTATAATTGTTTATTTTCAAATACTACTGCATGACTATTCGTAGAATTGGTTGAAGTTTGTTCAGCCAAATACAATTGATGATTCTTGATGTACTCAGCTACCTTGTCAGCAACATAATACTTGATCGAGTGATTTCTTCTGACAAGTTGTCTCACTTTTGTTGAGCTCACATCATTGATAATCCATTCTGGTATGACATGAATGTTTTTTCTGTGTTTGTACAAAACATCGTGTTCAAAAATTATTTTCGAAATTGAAATTCCATCTCTTTCAATACAACACACACCATATGTTGAAAGAATATATTCCACTTGTTCTGGAATCCAAACACCTGGTTTCACAAAAGATTCTAATAAATCAGCTCCACACAATAACATGATTCTCACTTGATGTTGCAAACAACTCTCAGGAGAATAAAGCTTTTCAATTTCCTCGGTGAAATGTTTTAACACAAATAAAGTTCGACTGTATTCGTTTTGATTCACTTCCCACAAATCAATATCCACCCAATCCGAATCAGAGACAGCCAATTTACACATTTCCACTCGATGATGAGCCTCTATAAGTGTTGGCTTTCTTTTAGCATAGTCCTGATGAACTGGAGAGATGAAACCTCCCAATACGGAGAGCTTTTCTTCGTTTTGGAGATAGTCCCGAGCTGTTTCAAACATTCGGAGGTGTGAATTGGTGATAGGATTGAAACTTCCACATGCAATGAGGATGATTGATCCGTTGTTGTTGGCTGTAGTGGGAAGTGCTTGAAGTTTGTGAGACGGAAAGAGGTAGGCGTGTTGAGACATTTTTTGTTGGAAATTTCAAGTTCACTCTCACATTACAACGCATCAAGCCTTTTACAACATCAAAATTTCTAAAAAAGAAACTGTGTTGGAGGTCAAAAACAAATCGGCCACTTTCATTCATTGAACCATACACATCATCATGGTGCGCTTCACGAAATTGCGAGACGAAGAAGATGATGCATCCTCTCAAGAGACAGTAATAACTGGCCACATCGGAATTGCTGATATGGGTCATACAAATCATCATCATTCCACGAACAATGCTGCAATCACAACAACGAAACATGAGGACGGCCCATTGAATACACAAACAACGCCACAAACATTGCCAAACCCCACAAATCAAAGCCCTACTCATCATCGGGACCAACCAGTGCCTCAGATTATTCTTTCACTCTCCTCTTCGACCATCTCTTCTCCTGCCACACTTTCCGACTCGCTACTGAGCGTTTCGAATCCGAGTGTTAGAACGTTGCACTGCAATCACCATCACATTCAGCACCATCACAACAAAAATCCTCAATTTGCCAAAGCTTCAGATTTGAAAATTACGGTAGCTCCTCCAACGAATCATGTTCAAGCTCATTTACTGTCTCATGGCTCGCCCAATGAACAACAGCAATTACACAATATTTCATATCACATGGAAAGAAACGACGAATTGAGTTTCACAAATGAGGGTTATGTAATATTTCACAACTCTGTAAATATTCACAATGATGTGGCAAATGTACGAGAAAAAGGCACGCATGTGCTTGGTAATATCAGGTCGCAACATCACAACAGTTCAGACAATCTCAGAGAGGAATCGTTTCACATGGGTGATGAGGAGCAGGAGTATGATCTTGTCACAGACAAATCTCTGGACAAAATTGAATCAACAAATTCCCTTAAAACAGCTGGGAGTGAGGACGAAATGAAAACATTAGCAACCAATCAAAAAACAGCCTTATTGACTGCGAACAATGTAATTGCTGAAACATGTGTGTCTACTCCAAAGAAAATGATCAGAACGAAAAGTAATGTCACAGATATCAGTAGCACAAGCTCTCAAAGCTCCGTCATGGATCCTATTGACTCCAGTAAGCGTCCAGCGTCTACGGGTATGTGTAAAAATCATCTTGACATGAAAGGAAGTGGTAAATGCACCTTTTGCAATGAGTTCATCTGTCAGAAATGTCAAGTAGATTTGAAAGAAATTCCATGCATTATGAAAATATTGTACCATAGAAATGTCATACAAAATACCATTTGTTATCAATGCCATGAGGATCACGTAAAAGATCTCAATATTATATGGTTGGTTATTGGGGGTATTTGTTTTGGTGTAATTTTCCCTCCGTTATTGATTGCAGCTCCATTGATTTGCATTTTAAGGTCTAGAAATGCCAAGCTGAAAAAAGTAGGATGGATATCGTTTTGGTCAATATCGTTCGGGTTGTTTGCATTGATAATGATAGCATGCATAGTCGTAATAATACTGAAATCGAATAATGTTTTTTAAGAAAGGTTATATGCCCAAATCTACAAAATAATGACATCATCTCCATTGCTACCATCACTTATAATACTATCATTGTTGTTGACGATAACTACATTTTCAGGTGGGATATAATCATCGTCATTGTTATCAATAACAATTTCTGAGATAGAATTGTCGAGATCATCGTCGCTAGAATCAATGACTTCAATAGTAGTTGTGCTGATATTTCTAGTGCTGCTCTCATCATCAATTAAAATTATGTCATTAAGATCAGAGTACTTTTCGTGCCGATTGTTTAAGACTGTATCTCTTTGTTTTGTTGGATTGGAATCAACGGAGGGCAATGACAAACTGATGTTTTTTGTATCCAATACACTTCCTTTTCTCTTCAAGTACAGTTTTGGCTTTTGTGAAGTTGATGTAGATTTCGTGGTGTCAGTGCATTCTGATTTAGATGATGAGGCCGAAGCCGAGCTACTAGTTGAAATGGACTTCTTCAAGAAAGATTCCATGAATTTTCTAGATTTTTGAATACCAGCATAATTCTTTTTCGAATCAATTTCCTTCTTCTTCTCTGGTTCTTTCACTTTTATGAAAGTTCCTCCACATTTTTTCTCATGATCTGGAAACCAGTCGTCGTACTTGTTTGGAGCTCGATTCATGGCTCGCTTCACTAGCATGGAGCACTTTGCACATTTCCAATGATGTTGTCTATAATAATCAACCTCATCATGAAAACTATGATAAATCGTTATATGAATCCCAGTATTTGCTTCCACTCGATTAATATAATTCATCCACCATTTAAAGTTATCACCATGTCCTTCCCTGTCAACCACATTGGAATCAATGAAAAGAAACGCATGAATCATTTCATGAATTAAGGTAGATATAGTATCTATGGAAGGTCTAAATTTCAATAGCTTTTCAGAAAGTGAAATTGTGCAAACTCTTTGAGAAATCTGTTCCTGCTTTTTCACAACATCACCAGGCGTTTTTCCAGTATAAGTTTTTGTTATAGTCAATTTTTGGTATTGACTGTAGCAAATTCCAGCACATAAAGTCATTTTACTACTCCATCGCAATGTCGTACAAGCACCGAGTTTGTTATGAAAATATTTCTTATCAAAATGTGTAAACAAAATATGAACGTCGGGAGTTGGTGATTTTAATTCTGATAAAATAATTGCATCATGGATCATTTCCATGGTTTGATTGGAATAGATCGGAATGTCATGATCGTGATGATGAACAGGATTTACATATGCCTTGTTGTGGTTGTTGTGATCATGGCAATGGTTGTTATCGTACGAACAATTTGGAGCACTAGATGAATGTTGGCATGGCCCTCCAGCGTTCAAATTTGAAACGTTGGGCCGGTTGTTGCTCGTGCCAGCAACAGGGTGCGTGAGTTTTAAAAAAACCGAGTTGTTCAAAGGAGGCATTTTTTGATTGATTTTTTGGCTTGTAAAGTGTCCTAAGGATGTTTTAAAGCACACCAACACAAAGCCTTCTGGCCACTATCATCACAGGTCGTTGGCTCATTGTGCATTTTATTTTATGATTGTATTCAATTCATCTTCAAACCCTTGTAATTAAACAACTGATTAATGCATTTGAGGCAAAATCACCTTTGAGGAAAATTGTTAAAAAAAATACAAGTATGCAAAAAAAAATACGTGATGCTGTTGGAAAGAAATGATTCCGAACTGGTTAAATGATACTCCCAACAATGGGCATCAGCAGCAAAATACATCCACTCAGCAAGGATATGCAAGCTCAAGCCAACAAGAAGCACAACACCCGACGACAAATATCATGAGCGTGTCTTCAAACCAATCACAAAACATTAATCAACAGCCACAACAGAAAGCTTCATATATTAGGATAAATCCGAATACAACAACACCCATCATCAGCAATAATTTTAATTATAATAATTCATCGACTCAAAATTCGTTGATGAATTTATTTTCACTACCAACCAATCGATCATCCCTTTCACAACCACAACAACAACTTTCGCCACCACAACATCACTATTCCACAACACCCCTTTCTCAAATTCCACAACAAAATCTTCCCGTGATGACAAATACTGCAGCACTCATGAGCCAACCACAAGCCAACAACATTGCACCAATCGATTATAGTCAGTATCCACACAACACTATTTCACAACAAATACGACAACCATTTCTTTCACCACCAACTCCACAGCAACAATTTATAGGTCAAGCATCAATTCTAGATTCTAGTTCTACCGTTCGCGCAAGTAGCCTCCTTATGACATCAACCCCTGACCAATTTCCTTTTTTATCTCTTTCATCTAACCTAAACATCAGCTCATCGACAACTTCGACATCTTCCTCTTCCAGCGGCTCTTCATCATCATATATGGTCCCTCCTGCTTTCCAAGACCCTAACCTTTCTAAAAATATCCCGAGTGTCACACAAGGTAAACACGAAACATCATGTTTATTATGCAAAATTCGGCATAGAAAATGTGACTATCTCTATCCATCTTGTACTCATTGCTCTAAGGAAACTCGAACATTTTGCCTGTATCTGCAAGGAAAAACCCAAAAGCCAAAACAGCATGAGGAGCGAGACCATAAAAATGAACTATTCATGATAACAGGAGAGGAGGAAGACAATATCACAAAATATATAACCAGAGAAAATATTGACACAATTTACAAAAACGTACATAACAATATTAGCAGCATCAAGTGTGGACCTGAAATTACGAGCAAATTATCTTATTCGTTAAGCATGAAACTTATGGCGAAAATTCTTCCAAAGGCAGAACGGGATCTCCTTTCGCAATTGCTTAAAGTTTCACTTTTTCCTCACATAGCAAGACAAGCCAACAGAGCGGGTTGCTGGATGGATTTGGTCGCCAACTCCTGTCGCTGGGCTCTCTATTGACAGAACAGTGAACTTGGAAGCTTCAATTTCAAGATTTTTCTTTGCCAGCGTTAAGCCAGTTCTCTACAGAAACTTTTTTTTTTTGAGGGACATAAATCGTGTCCCTGAAGCCCGGAGTTCACTTTCGCTGGCCAGTCTTGCTATGAAACGAAAAATTAGTTGGAAATTTGGAATATTTCTACAAATATTTTAATACACTCGAAGACACAGACCGTGCCATGATGTACATTCTTCAATGTCTCTGTTTGCAAAGAATTGGAGAGAAAAAGTTGGGGAGAGAGCAATTTGAGAAAGCCAGGTCTAAAATGTCAGCAATGTTTGATCACGTTTCAGATTTTAAATTAATGGCAGTATATGCATTGGTTGTGGCATACCTAGTGGGTAAGTACTTTGCAATAATGCACAAGTTTGTTGACAACTAATGTACTTTTTAATCATACTAAATTCAATTAGGCGAAGGAGACAAACAAAAAGCAGAATATTATTTGAATCATGTGAAATTCTATGTGAAAGAGTTTCAGCCTACATCTGAAAATGCTCATTATTTGCTGAGAACTGCTCTTTTTTCAGAGTCTTTTCTTCAAAGTAACAATCATGACCAATTATTAACTCATTTCGAGAATGTTCTACTCTTTTTCACTCCCAAAGAAGCAGCGTCATATAGTTTGTCTAAAGATGCTACAGACGCTGTTTCTAAATATATAGCCAGCTCAAATGAGCAAATGTTTTCGGTGAAAGAACCCAAAAAACCAAACCCAGAAAAAACTGAGCTAAAAAGACAATTGTCCGAATTGAAACATCTTGTGGAGCAAAACAGGCAAGAATATCCTATGGGATACCACCAATTATTTGATTCTCTTTCTACAAGCTCGGAAGGAAGTGAGTATGACGATGAGTTTACACATACAAGCGAGAGAGAGGAACCAAATGAAAACTTAGAAAACAAAATCAAGCAAATTAACATAGCTGTAGAGAATATCAAAGCAATTTTCGGAACTACAGATTATATTGGCAACATGTTCATGACATTTCTTTATTCAATTGTGATTTTGAGAAAACATCGATCATTTAAGGGCGAAATATCACTTGAAGCAATCAAATATGCCGATTTAATTTCTAAAACGACACAATACGAAGATTTTATTTACTCATCCTTTCCATGCTCTGTACCAATTTCTCTTGCATGTAGGGTCCATTTGCAATCACTCAAGAATATCTTGATCACAACCTCTCTCATTATTGCCGAATACGCAGAAAAATTAGTTTCATTTCTCAATATGGATTACCAAGCATTGAAAATGCTTGCAAAACGATTTCCGCTTGTGGATCAAAAATATAACAAGTTGTTGCAGGATGTACAGGTCACACTAGAGAACTTCCAGCAAATGAAAGACAAGGAACCTTCTCGATTTATGTCATTGCAACACCTCTCGCAGTACATGAACGTTTTCTAAGAAATGGAATTTTTCAAAAGTTACCAAGAACAATTTTGTGAGCATGATTCTTGGTGTGAAGCAAGATAAATTGCAATTCAACAACGCCTAGGTTCAATCATTAACTCTCTTTTGATTACCTATGCATTATCTTGTTTTTCACACGATCGAATCTTGCCGAAATCCAAGATCGCGTAATCAAGATTACTATTACTATTGCAAGTCACAGTTGGATCTCGCTCATGCATCCATGTAAGCAAGAAGAGGAGTTCAAACATGACTATTTTCCAAACCAAGCAATTTCGGGAAAAAATCACAAAGACCAAAAAAATGCTTCAAAATGTACCAAAACAACGCTAGCCCAAATCAACCTCCGCAACAACCACAACAGCGATGGATACAACCATCCATACCACAACAAGCTTCTTCTTCCAAAGATGATAAATCATATTCCCAACAACCTTCTTCTACCTTGCAACCAACAATTTCGCCGACAAGTTTCATCGGGAATAGCCTCCGAGCAAGCACTTTGTTAATGGCTCAAAATGATTCTCATCCATTGTTTCCTGTGTTTGATGCAAACTTGTATCCTGGGCAAGAGGAAACATCCTTGGCTCATCAACCAAGGAGCATGGTACCACAGCGAACGACGACATTACTCAACCACGATCATCACCAGGATTTGGGTTATCTTTCTCAACAGCAACATTTATCATCAGCAAGTAATGCTCTTATGGATCATCCACCATCATCAAAAGCGACGCAATATGTGTCACCACCTTCATCTGTGAGTGGTGTTGACTCGGACGGATTAACAAATCTTCGACCGACAACTAGCCTCCCAATTCCAGATCAATATTTGGCTTCAAATTTAATTGTGAGGGAACAAAATTCTCAGGCAACCCAAACAACAACGCCACAATATGCTCCGCATTCCAAAGCCGACACCTCTTGCTTGTTATGCAAAATACGACATCGAAAATGTGACTATTTATTTCCATGCTGTTCTAATTGTGTAAAAGAAAATAGATCTTTTTGCCTGTATGCTAAGAGACAATGCCAAATATCTCATTCATCGTCAACAATGACATCATCGCCGTTTTTGCTGAGTGAGACAGAAGCAGAATCCATTTCATCGCTCCTCCCTAAAGACAATATTGAATCCATCTGCAAAACAATTTATAATAATATCTCAAGTATCAAAAGTAGCCAAGAAATTACTAACAAACTATCATATGATGTTTTCCTGAAAATTATTTTGAAAGTTTTACCCACCACAGACAAAGAACAAATTCTACAATTCATGAGAGTTTCGTTATTGCCTCAGACCGAAAAATTTGTTGGAAGTTTGGAATACTTTTACAAATATTTTCACGTTCTTGGAGAAAATGATTGCTCGTTTATTTGGACTTGCCAGGCAATGTGTTTTCAACGGATTAATGAATTTGCCTTAGCTAAAACGCAATACGAGAAGGCACGATCGAGAATGGCAATTGTTTTTGATAATGTTTCAGATTTTAACACTATGTTAACCTATTCCTGGTTGGCCATTTATCTAATTGGTATGTTTTTTAAATTACAACCACAAGCCATGACACAATTTGTTAACATTTAACGTAGGAGCTGGTGAGCGACAGAAAGCAGAATATATTTTGAATAATGTAAAATTTTATGTGAAGGAATTTCATCCTGAAGCAGAACGTGCTCATTGTCTTTTGCGAACCGTATTACTGTCAGAATCCTTTTTGCGAAGTAATTATCTAGATGAACTACTAGAGAGTTATGAAACAGTTCTTACTTTTTTCACACCAAAAGAAACGATCAACTATAGCTTGTCAAAAGATGCTGTGGAAAACGTTTCAAAATATGTAATAAGTTCCAATGAAAAAATGTTTCAAGTCCAAAAACCAACCAAAACAAATCGTGAAACATCTTCTCTCAAGCAGCAGTTATCGAAACTGAAAGAAGTTTTTGAATATAATAAGGACAAACAAGATTATCAAGATTTGCCTTTAGGTTTTCATCAACTCATTGACTCGTTATCATCAAGTTCTAGTAGTGACGGAGGGGATGAGCTGAATTCAGAAAGGCAAGTTCCTGAATGTACTACTGAAAACGTGGAACATACAATTAAGCAAATTAGCGTTGCTGTAGAGAATATCAAAACAATATTTGGACCCAGCGACTTTGTCGGAAATACATTCATGACCATGCTCTATTCCATTGTGATTTTGAAAAAACACAAATCATTCAAGGGGGAAATATCGCTGGAGGCTATCAAGTATGCAGATTTAATATCCAAATCGACACAATTTGAAGATTTCAAGTACTCGTCGTACGGTGTTGCAGTTCCCATCTCTCTAGCGTGTCGGGTTCATGTGCAATGCTTAAAGAATATTCTTTCTTCAGTCTCGTTAATCATTACTGAATATGCAGATCGATTATTGACATTCATTGACATGGATTACCGTTCACTTGATATGCTTGCCCGGCGCTTTCCACTCGTCGATCAGAAATACAGAACTCTCTTAAAGGATGCTGCACTCACTGTGGAGAGATTTCAAATGATGAGACTGAATGAACCTTCTCGATTCGTAACGCTCGAATACATTTCCCAAAACTTAGCTCTGTAGAAGCGTTCGTTGTTATTGTTGTTGTGTGCAACCAGTAATAACATGACAAGTTTACATAGCTATCATAGTCGTCTGCTTGAACTTCGGTCAAAAAACCATTTCCATGGAATGGGATCAAAGAATATTCTCTCGAAAAACAACATTTCGTTGAACATGACATTGATTTTGAAGGGAATGTACAGTACACATGGTCACAGACAGGAGAAAAGATTCAATGTGCAGTAACGGGATCCCGAATATTCATTTCGGAAGCAGAATGGGGGCGTACTGTTTTTCGAAATCATTGGACATTGCATAAGTCACCGAGCCCAGTTTTGTAGAAAATCAGCTTCGCACCAGAAATGTGGCATTTCTCAAAACAGCGTTTGTGGTTTCCATCTGAGGATCCCATGATTTTCTCCTCGTGTAAATTTTTTCCAAATGCGAACGGCATACGAAGGAAACAAAAGCGCAACAATGGTCCTCGAATGCATGTATTGCAGCACTTGCTAACAGAAATGGCCATAAAGTGCACCTGTACGACACATTGATGCTATTCATCACAAAGAAAAACCCCTAACGACAACAACAATAACCGAACATGATGATGAGAATGCCATGCAGCAGCAGTACTGCAACTACTACAAACACATCCTTTGCCACAAACGTAGAGACTGACCGTACCTCCCTCGATGCCACAGAAAACAGTTCAACCAGTTGGTTTCTCTTCATGAAACAGTTGTTTCTTGATCAAAGTTCGATTGATCCTTTTACTGTCTTTGATTTGTATTTCCCCTCCCAACAAAGCATGATGATGCAGCAGAGCCCAATCATCATGACCATGAATGAATCTAGAAACGTATTGATCAACACAGAAAATGTGATGAATTGTTGCCAAACGACACCTTTAGTCTTGTCTCCAGCTACTACTACTACCATAGATACTACTGCCGGCAGTAATTATCAAGCGACACGAACGAACTGGGAGGCACCCGTGAATCTTGAAGAAAGTACTGCAGCTTTGTTTTCGGCCAACACTTTTTCAGAAGATTCTGAGCCATCAACCTTCATGAATCTTGAAGAGAATATGCAATGCATTGAAGAGTTGAAGCATGTCTTGATGATGAATGGTTTTATACAACAAGAGCAACCGTTAGCATCGTCACACATGATCTCGAGTGACCTAGGTACATTCATGAGTCAATCTTTTGATTTGTATGACTCATCATTGGAAACCGATGAAGAGACCAGTCTTCCTTCATTCTCTGAGTCAAGTTTTGATTCTAACAACAATCACAATACCAATTCAACAATTCCTCCTTCGCCTGTAATCTCTCCCTTATCAGTTCCAAATGTAAATTCCCATTTAGAATCCTCTTCCTCTTCCACCTTTATTAAGGAAAACTCTGAAAAGCCAACTGGCAAATCTTCGAAAGCAACCACCTCTAAAATTTCGAAACCATCCAAGATGACCATAAAAAGGAATGTCAAGAAAAATCCACGACTCATTTTTGAGAAGGAATGCAGAGAACAACGACCTCTCGAGTTTGATATCATTACCACTGAAGAAATGGCTCGAAAAGTATCAGGAACTGCCTTGAAACAAAGGGGAAGACCAAAAAGGAACAGAAATCAATTCATAGGTCAGCAACACACTCAATATTCCAATGATTCTCCATCATCGAGTGCTCCTGTTCATTTTGTTTCGAATTGTTACGACAAGTGCAGTAAAATTTTCAAATAATCATTTTAAGGTTGTGGCGTGAAAATGGAACTTGCGTTCATCCTCTTAAAAAAATGGCGCAACATGATGATGCCAATCCTTACTTGTTGCTTCAAACACTCAATGATGACGTTTTCCGAATTATTCTTTCCTACTTTACCATTCATGAATTATGTGAATTACACATGACCAGTAAATCGTTCATACTGGCAAATCTATCTTGCGAGGATTGTTTCTGGCAACATCATTACCGAACAAAATTACAAAAATTCAAACAATGGACCGCACAAAGTCTATTTGATCCGGAAACCAATTCAAAGATCACTACGTATCCTGAGCATATCTTAAAATATGATCAAAAAACGTCTAACTTTAAATACAATTTAATTGAAATGAATCATGAACTGGAACGAGCGACCGAGGAACATGTGAGCCAAGTATTTAATGAATTGAAAACATTTAAACATTTACACAGCATTCCATTCTACACTAAAAAAGAATTGAAAGAAACATGTTCAACAATTTCAATTGCACAATATTTAAAACAAGTTTATGGTGATTTACAATTTAGAGTGATCGTGAATGGCAATCCAGGAGTCGGAAAAACATGTTTCTTGTTTGCAAAAAGTTATAATCTACGACATTCTGATATGGAATATATACCCACTGTGTATGAAAATTTTATTTGGCAATATACAAAGGGACAAGACCAGATTGATCTTGATCTTTGGGATACTGCTGGACAACCTGAGTAAGTGAAAAGTTTGGACATGTGAAATTTCAAATATCTATGAAATTAGTTATGACAAACTCAGAGTACTCTGTTACCCGAACGCTAGCTTATTTTGCCTTTGTTTCAGCGTTGAAGACATTTCCAGCGTTCGAAACTTGTATCATAAATGGATTCCAGAAATTCAGACACATTGTCCCAATACGCCCATTCTTTTGATGGGATGTAAAACGGATATTCGTTCAAATGTTGAAGTTTGCTCTCGTGTGAGAATCAAAGATTTATGGAGACCATTATCGTTTCAGGATGGAGAAGAAATTGCAAGAGCATTGGGTTGTGTAACCTATGTAGAAACCAGTTATGTTACAATGGAAGGCTTCGATGATATTACAGAAATATTTGTAAATGTCTTGTACGTTCATGCAAAAGCGAATGAGAAGAAAAAGAAATTTGGATGCAAGCAACAATAGAGTTTTACAATTTCAAATGGCAAACCGAAAAAATGTCTCAATTTGTATCATCACGAACAGAGGATGGAAAGAGAAAAATTAATGACCATTCGACAAGTAGTGCTCAACAAGAGGATGATCATATTAAAAAGAGAAAGGTTTCCGATAGCGATCGTTCAAATATGACCACATCCGTTCAATTTTCGCAACAACAAATATATGAGTACATTAATCAAAGAAATTTTGAACAAGCTTTGGATTTGTTGATGAAATGGATGAATTCCGATCAAGCTACTGCCGATGATAGTGGGCACATTTTTGAATATTTAAAAAAAATTCACAAATTTGGGTTTAATAACTTTTCGAGCGTATTCCGAGATTTGGAAGATGATCAACATCAAAACGATTGCAAAAAGTTACTTCTTGCATGCATGAACTGCGGACGATGTGGACATGCAGCTGACTTTGATAAGGCAAGGTTATTATTTCAATCGGATTCTCTTAAATCTCACTACCTTTCTCAAAACATGATGGGAAATCTTTACTTTGAAGGAAAAGGTGTACCCATCAATTACATCAAAGCAAAAGAATACTACGAGTTGGCTGCACAACAAAATTATTCGAGTGGTGTTCACAATATGGGAAATATGTATTACTATGGTCACGGAGTGGCTCAAGATTATATGAAGGCCAAAGAATGCTTTGAGCTAGCGTCCCAAAAAGCACTATTAGAGATTACATGTCACAATAATTATGCATTTGAAAATCATTATTCAGAAGCAATGTGTGCACTCGGAATGTTATTTCAGTTTGGGTTGGGAGTCGATCAAAGTCATGAAAAAGCGAAAGAATGTTATGAAGCTGCAGCGAAACATCACTCAGCCAAAGCTTATTATAACCTAGGTGTCATGAATTACTTGGGACATGGAGTACCCATAGACATGGTCAAAGCCAGAGAATACTACGAGTTGGCTGCAGCACAAAATCACTCTGATGCCATCAACGAAATGGGAAACTTGTATTTCAATGGAGATGACGTTGTCCAAAGTTATGAAAAAGCAAGAGAATACTATGAGAGAGCTGTACAACTGAACAACACTGAGGCCATGCTTACCATGGCAGAAATGTTTGAACAAGGTTTAGGAGTCACTCCAAATTTCGAACAAGCTGCGAAATATTACAAAATGGCTTCAGATCTAAATGACCCTACTGCGCAATATCATTTGGCTGTGATGTATGCAGATGGTATTGGTGTGCCTCACAATGTAACACGAGCAATTTATTATTTCGAGTTGGCAGCAGCACAAAGCTTTTTCGACGCTCAAGAGAAAAGTAACGAGTTGCGATTGAAAAGATTTTGTTTGAATTTTAGCAGTGCAATGCTCAAAAACGCTGAAGCTTCGATTTCTTTTTCAGATGTGAACATTGTTGCCTTGGATGAGCTGGAAAACGAATAGACTTGTCACCTTATGGTCATCCACACGGTGTTATTTTAGAGTTTCTTGTTTCAACACCCAATTCACGTTTGTTACCGTTTTAATTCCAGAAATGAACATGTCAACCTGTCACCACGAAATTCATGCGCAAAAAATATGACAAACAACAGACCCTTCTTCCCCAGGGCCCATATGATAGACGATGAAGATGATGATGATGATCAAGAATATCATTCATCAGCATCTTGTCGATCCTCTACAACCGATCAAGATCAAGAGGTGTCATCTCGCTCAACTCACAGTACAGGTTGTTCTCATGACGGTTCATCACATCAATCTTCTCAAAGTTCTTGCTCTTCTCCCAACTCAGACTTCATTCTTGAGAAATTCCAAAAGGAACTACTAACAACTATCAAACAGTTGCAACAAACAGACGTAAAATTCAAGAATTTCTCAAAGCAGAAAATGCTAGAGTTTATGATGAACAATATTTCATTAGATGATGCACAAGATGAGGACGAAGACAATGAAACTCAAGTCTCCATTGCCGAAACGGATGTAGATTCGTCTCTTGAAGTGCCAACCAGTAGATTGAGAAAAGATTTTCACATTGAAAGAAAGGGCTTCAAGTTGGGATCTGGAGCGTTTGGAACCGTGATCAAAGGCGAGCATCGAATGGAAAACAAAATCTACGCCATTAAATTGGTCAAGTTTTCCAATGAAGAAAAGGGTGCCTCCAATTCGTGTCATTTGTCTACCAACGATAGCATTCCTGTCTCTATTGGAGAGGCCAAGGAGGAAGCAAAGAAACTATCATCTCTTCATCATCCTCGTGTGGTGAGATATTATAGTGTTTGGATAGAACCCCTTGTTGACGAAATTGACGAGCTCTTTGACCATTCAGATCAGAAGCAAAACATTACCGGCCAAAAAGTACTGTGCATGCAAATGGAATATTGTGAAACAACAATGAGACACGCAATCAAAAAAAAGCTGAAGAGAGGCGACGCATGGAAATATTTCATGCAGATATTGGAAGTACTTGTATTTTTAAGTGAGAAATCGATTGTTCACAGTGATTTAGTAAGTAATTCATTTCTGTGTTTTGGAATGAACTTGCGATTGGATTTTCAACATGTAGAAACCTGATAATATTTTCATCAATGGAGGTGAGATTAAATTGGGTGATTTTGGTCTCAGTTATCATCACAATGACAGCCAAAACATTAACGAGGATCGTGGTACGGACTTTTATATTCCTGGAAATGAATCCAGAGAAAACAATTTGAAAGTAGACATGTTCAGTCTTGGAATTATTTTTTATGAAATGTATGTATTAATGTTGAACAATCATTCGATGAGAATAATATTCAATGTGAAATCATTATTACAAGGTTAACCTATTTCAAAACTGGAACAGAAAGACTTAAAAAATTGAAAAACTTGAGGGACAACACTCACTCGTTTTTATCTCAATGCCAAGATTTGTATGAAATTGAAAAAGAGCTCATTGAGAAAATGCTTGATGTCAATATCCAGACAAGACCTTCAGCAAAAGATCTTCTCACATATTTGTGCAATCTAACATTCACATGTCCAAAATGTTCATCATCTAAACCAATGTGTGGAACTGCACCTTGGATTACCCACCTTACAGGAGTCACTCATGAGCCTCTTGTTGTGCTGGAAAAACTGCTTGAAAAGTTGAAAAAAGTTGGACATCTTCATGAAAATCCAATTCAAAATTTGAACTTGATACTGCAACAATTAGGAGGACAAATGTCTGAACAATTCACGAAAGATGTGAATGGAAATTTTTCAGCAATGGTATCCATTGATTTTTCAAACTCGCCACCAGAATTTACCTTGACAAATTTCACGGAGAGTGCTTCTTGTTTTCGAACAAAAACTGAAGCCAAGCAAGAAGCATGTCGAAAAGCTGTAGCACAACTGATGGAGCAATTAAGAAAAAACAGTTGTGACGATGATAAACAAGAGAGCTTGCGTTGAAGCGGGTTCAAATTTTGGCCATTAAATGTATTAACAAATCTGAACTGTCATCCTAATATCATATGCCTCTTTTATTGCTTGACCTTTTTCATGGATGGCTCTCCGTTTTGTCCAGTTCTTGATGGTAGAGCATGGCTACCATTGGCATCTGTTTCTTGAATTGACCTCTTCTGTTGTTGACTACTGGTCGAAGAAGAGTGCGCCGGTGAAGATCGAGAAGTGTGTGGTGATGATTTTGCAAAGTGTGCGTCTGCCAAATTTCGTGCCTTCTCCATGAGTAATAATTTGTCTAGCAACTTGGAGCCACTGCAAACTTTTACCAACTCGTCCTGAGCAACTGTGACTGTTCGAGTCACAACATATTTGCCATCCATTGGATTGAAATAAGTTTCAACGACTTGGTTATGGCTATTTCTGACATGATCCAAATTAACTTTGGAGTCACCGACGTAACAATGAAAATTCCAAGAAACTCCGTCATCGGCAATGCAGTATTGAAGAGAAAGAGACCCCTGATGGTGAGCTAGCTTGAAATAAGCAAATGCTTTCAACTCCACAACTTTTGCTTCATATTCACGCAAAAATTGTTCTCTAGAATCCAATATTCTCTTATACTTTTTGCTGTCGTACGAATCGCTTGGCAACAAATAATATTGCAAATCATCTACAGTGACATTCTCTAGCATGTTTTCAAGGGTATTTGCGACTGTTTTGAATGCATTGGGCGTGTTTTTATCCTCCCTAATAAGAAGGAAATACCATCCTCCATAATTGGGCAAATCGTATCCACACTCAGCAATAAGAGCCTCGTTTGCTTCCAATCCTTTAAATCGAGCAACAAGACTCTCTGAAATCTTTTTAACTTGACATACAGAGAATAGAGTGAGCTTTCTCTTAAATTGAAAGTAAAAATAGAAGCAGTTATCAGCAGAATTACGTGCATTCTCAACGATTGGCGAGTTGTTCACAGGACACACGAGAAAATCACATGTTAGCTTATTGGGCCATTTCCATTTCATTAAATAGTCATTGGATCCTGGCTTGAATGCGCTTAATTCTCCAGATTTAGGGGTAAATATAAGTCCATCGTTTTTGTTGTACCCCTTATAAATGTACTCGCCTGTTTTTGGATCCTCTTTGATGCAATTAAGAACTGTCATCAACTCCGTCTTGTCATAAAAGTGTTTTCGAATTAATTTGAGACTCTTTGGGGTGGGTTTTCGCAAAACTTTTTGGTAATAGTAATAGTGAGGATCAGTGACACCGCTTGTTATTTCTTTGTATCGAGTTGTCATGGATTCTTTTCGCAATGACACAATCTTATCGACTGCAGTATTTGTTTCTTTGTGAATATATTCCTTCACAAAGCTAATGACATCATAAATAGAATAGTTATATCTCTTTTCTTGAATATTGTAAACAATTTCTCCGTCCAAAATTACCAAGTCTTGATATTTAACATCTGCCATCTTCACAACCTTGCCTGAAATGGTACTCTTTGTTGGAAACACAATTTCTTCCAAGCATAAATAAAATTCAAAATTTCTGTCAAAAAAGAAAGAAAAGCACCATCCGCTCAACCTCTTCAATGTTCTCCGCGTATTTGTGTTTGTGTTCAATAATTGAACAGTGTTTGTTCTTCTATTGTAAAGAAAGTTAGTGTTTGCAAGAATTGTCAATTGAAGCACAACATCTTCTTTTGCACCTTGCTTTGCATGATGATATGTACATTCAATGGCACAGTTTTCCAATAAGTTAAATTGGTCCGTATGATCATCATCATAAACCCAACGAGGAAAATTCTTGCTGCACAGCATCATCATCATGGCACGAATTCCGTCCGACTTTTCCGTAATGTAATACTCATTGTTCCTCAATTTTTCGAGAGAGGTCCTCGATATCTGAACAGCCATAGGACCAGGAAAATGATTAGGATCATTGAGTTCAAGGTTTTTCTGCAGTATTGTTTTTAGCTGATAGGAGCCATGTTCTCGTTCAAGAGCAGCACTTGAAGTGTTATTATCAATCATCTCTTGCAAGGCTCCAAAGGCTTCATGCGCCTCATTCTGAGAGAGAACACATTGTATGAAACTACTAGATGCTCTACAAAATTCGCTTGGGTTCAAACTCTCCATTATTTCATTCAATAGTCTTTATATCGGGAAGAAAAAGTTGATGAGAAGTTCGCGCGATAATGATGAAGCAAGTATGTTGGGCCCAAAATAAAATTCGCTACTCAATTTGATAGTTGTTGTTGTGTTTTCTCTTTGGTAGCAATATCAAACAAACACAAAAAAAGTACACCACTCAGTGTGTTGTTGTTGGCCAATAGGTTCAATTTTTTTAAAGTTATTTTTGAATTTGCAAATTGAATTCTTGAAAACTTGGGAGTCACTGTTGAAATATTAAAGAGAGGTTAAAAAGCAAAACAACCAGAAGAATTGTGAGTATGACATGAGTGCAGGAATGAGTTACTTGAATTTTGTTTTCAAAAGGGGAAGAAATTCGAAGACGTACCTTACTGAAATGGATCTCAAGTTAATGAAAATGGGATGCATTCTCCATAATTTGGGATTTCAATACACCTTAGACAAATTGGTTGTTGTGTATGAGGCAACTTTTATGAGAAGTTGACATGAGTCAAAGAAGTTTATCAAATATTCAGTGTGCTTTATACTTTCGTTAGACATAAAAAATTAACTAAGGTCTAAGCACTGTCGCTCATTGTAGTTCGCTATTGAGACTGTTCTTCTTTCTCGTTTAGCTCATGATATCTACGTCTGACTGCCTATGGCGTTGATCCCTCTCTTTACAAGTTTTTCAAGAAGTGGTTCAACGGTTAACAAATATCTAACAGTGATGTCCGACTAGCCATACTAAGCACCAGCGTTCCGAGAAAACAAAGGTCTGAAACGAAATCAGACTTCAACTGTTCATACAGATACAATGTTCCATCATTCAAACGACCACAAAGATATGTTGCATAGCTTGAACGTTGTTCTTGATGTTTGGTGCAACCATTACAATAAAACTCTACTGGCAGGATAGATTTCACACTTGGTATTTCCACCTTGGTGTTCATCGTAAAAGGGAGACCCATTACTTCCTGATACATAGTTGGTAACCATGCCAATCGTTCTTGAAAGAGGCGACTATAATCTCTCTTTCGATTTCTGTCTTTTCTTTTAGGAACGTTAAAATATTGATCAATCACCAAATCCAAACAGCAGTTTCTAAATTGCCTCCATGATTCTGGATACAAGTGAGACCTGAGCTTATGTTCTTCTTTGAAACGTTTTTCATCAGCAATGCAAAGATAATACAAGTATTGGAAGTAAAACTTTGCCAGCAAAGCCAACGGAGACAGTTTTTAAACATGAAGAAGTCTTCATCCACTCATCCAAACTCATTTATTGTTTACAATACATATCATTTTGCTTTTTGAAGACAACGACCATCCATGTTGCTACTTTTCATCTCTAGCAAAGCGAAACTTTTCTACCTATCAAAATCATTCCAGTTGACATTTTGATATCTTCCAGTCACTGTTGTCTTTTTGAAAAAAAAAGAATCTCTCAGCCCAACGTTAGCATGCTGTCAGCCAGGAGCAGATTGTTGTTACTCGTTCTTCCGAACACTCTTGCCAACAAACAATACAACAAGAGCTTGCTTCCTGAGCTCTATTCGAATTTACAACGAAACCAACGAATCTTTTTCTCTCATCACCATTCAGTTACCAACCAACAACAACAAACATTATCGAACGTGAATGTTCACGAAACAACACACTACCAATCTCATCCGACCTATCAACCTGGAGTTCCACGAATTCATCCCACAGACCCAAAATGTAACGCCTTGGAAGGAGAAGTGAAATATTCTCCATTAAAGTCCTTGTGGTATGCTGGCATGTCCTATACTGCAATTATTGGTGGAATTCTCACGTTCGATCCTTCATTAATTCTTCAAGATTTAGCTGTGTTTATTGGAACGTAAGTGGAATTGTACATTATATAATTTCTCACACACTTGTTGCTTTTGAAATGTGGTTCCATTCAGTACTGGAATTTCAATTCTTTTTGGACACTCATTGGGCATGCATCGTAAATTCATTCACAATTCGTATGAATGTCCCAAATGGTTGGAATATCTATTGGTCCATTTTGGAACCTTAATGGGAATTGCTGGTCCAATAGGAATGATGAAAGCTCATGATTTACGTGATTGGGCACAACGTCAACCTCCCCAACAATGTCATCCCTATTACGGACAACAAGAGAGTTTTTGGAAAGATGCGTATTGGCAAATGCATTGCACATTTCAATTAAAACATCCTCCTCAAGTCGTTTTAGGTGAGAACATTTCACAAGATAAGGTCATTCAATTCATGGAAAAAACTTGGATGTTACAACAATTACCTTGGGCTTTATTGTTTTATGCATTGGGAGGATGGCATTGGATCATTTGGGGTATTTGTGCTCGAGTGGCTGTTTGTGTGCATGGTCATTTCTTTGTGGGATGGTATGCTCATAATCATGGACCTATTCAATCGCGCTCGTATCACGTTCAGAATGCATGTATTCAGGGATATAATGTGAAGGGATGGCCCTATCTTGGAACGAGTGAATTTGCTCAAAAATTGCAAGCGGTCATGACTGCTGGTGAATGTTATCATAATAATCATCATGCCTATCCAGGTTCTGCAAAATTGGCATTAAAAGATGATGAATTGGATATTGGATTTAAAGTGTTGAAAATGATGGAAAAGTTGGGATTGGTATGGAATTTGAAATTACCAAAGGATTTACCCTCTCGTCCAGAATTACAAAAATTAGATCAAGAATAGAGAGACGGAGGATTTTCGATCAAAACTCAAACCAATGGAAAGTATGATTGAAGACAAAGGGACCTTGTGAAGAATAAGGGAATTCACTATTATTACTGTAAAATTAAATTATAAAATATATCTGCACGTGATGTGTTACACATTTTTCACACCAGGATTCGCATCCGTTTGGAACATGGGTAAAATGGTAGATGGCTGTTTCTTTCGTCTCGAGAGTCTTAGGATGAGTGAAAGACAAACACAACCAAAGAATGAAAGGACAAGAGCAAATATTGGGAAAATCCAAAATGGTGCAGCGCTTTTCGGTGTTGCAACACCATTGTCGTTGGGTCCTTGCTTGTTTTCTACTTCATTTTCCTGGACAATGTCAATGTTGGATTTATCCTCTGAACGCAAGTCGTCTTCTTTCTTTGATGATTCTTTTTCGTCTCCGTCTTCTTTCTTTGAGTTGACTTCGTCCTCTTCTTCTTCTTCCAAACCTAGTTCATTAATTTCTTTTCCTTCAGAATCCTCGTTTTCAGCTTCTTTTTGAGAGATTGGTACAAAACCTTTTCCACTAAAGGTCATGGCAACGAAATAGGACTTGATACTCGATCCTGGTACGATCACACGGAATACAGGATCCACAGAGGTAAGTGCAAGTGTTTTTCTCTGTGCTGGATTTTTGTTCATTTCAGCGATTGCTTCATCCGATAAAAAGACTCCTTCTTGATCAGTGTTCTGTCCTCCTTCTCCTGATAATGTCACTTCCTTAGTAAAATCAAATCTCATGACACTATCTTGTTTGAATCTTAACTTTTTTCGTTCCTCTTGAACGTCATAAATTAGGTTCAACGATCGTTCTCGGATATCTGAAACTTCAATTCCTTCAGAGAAGAGATTGGAAAAATTAATTTCAACTTTCTTAGATGGATGAAGATTGATAAATCGAATAGACACTTCATCTGATGAAATTCCTCTGGTTTGTAAGGATAATATTTCAGCATTGGTAGGGAAATTTTTGTTGAAAATGTTGAATGAGCCAAGAACTTCACCATCAACCATATAGCTCTGTGGTTGTCGATTTACCAGTAGACTCTTCTTATGCATGGAAACAAAATCATCATTGCTTGTACCAATTAAATAAGATACAGAGAGTCTGAACTTGAGAGGTGATTGATCATTGTTAGCTTCAGACATTCCTCTCATGTCATCCTTCATGAGTCTTCTGTGAACAAGAAATTCAACTTCATTGTCTTGAGCAGTAACACCCATGGTATGGTCTGTGAGGATGGATACTTGTTGTGAATCAGCCATCTTCAATACAGCGCCAGAAGTTGAAGGATAGAAATGGCCAGGATGAGGTGCAGCAGGATGAATAACTCTCTTCACAAAATTAAAGCCATCATACACAATTAAATTTCCTTTGACTTTTTTTGTTCCAACTCCAAATCTAGCGACAGTTTCTGAATTTTCTGGAAGAGGAGACAGCTCAAATCTGTAATCAATAAACTTTTCTAACACGCTATCTTTCATGTTGTGAGGCAGGGTAATGTAAATTTTTACACGCTTAGTGTCTACAAATATCTTATCCATAACATTTCCCTTTGAAACGTAAACAAAGGAAAGAGATTGTTGACCTAACGGAGATGGTCCATCGTCATTAGGTCTGAACAAGTAGCTACCACTGTTTTGTGTTTTGTACTCTAAGAATTGATTACTGGTAATATGCTCTTTTCCGTCATGCTTGGTGATTACCTTATTGACATATCCGGTATTCTTGTCAATAGAGACGACATAAAAATCATTCTCGATGGTAAGGTCTCCACTGCGAGCTGAGTCCATCGACTTGACTTGAACGTTGGCCTTCTCGAACTTTGAATAATGATTTTGGTTTGGACTGTTCACATACAGCACATTGGTATCAAGTAAATCTCCTTCTGTATCCTCTTGACATTGGAAGGATATTTTCTCGAATGCAAGGCCATCAATTGAGGCCAAAAATTGTATGGTGTATGGGAATGCAGAGGCTTCTTCTTGTGGATTGTGTACATTAGGTATCACTTGATAATCTATTTTTTGACGAGATGAATCTTGGACTTTGGCATTTGTGCATTTCGTGTTCACAGTAATTATTTGCTTCACTGCATGAGATAAGCTATTATAAATGACAATAGTGTGAGGTTTTCTATCAGAAACTTCTAATGACTCGAATAATACTTTGTCCGAAGATATTTCTAGAACATGCTTGGCTAGCGATTTGTGAAGTGATCTCATGTCCTGAATGGCTGAAGCTAGTTGAGACATGTAGTCATTATAGACATGTTGCCTACAGGTTCCTGTAATTGAATCGTGATGCTGCACCAGCGACACGGTTTGTCTTGATCTCTGAATAGAATTGTATGTGTCAACCCAATTGAAAGCAGTTTTTTGATGTGTCATTTTCACTCTAGCAAGTGCATAAAGCATTTCAGTAGTGGTGAGAATAGATTCTGCAGTTCTAGCAGAACGTTTTAAATTTGGTAGAGATGTAAAATATCCTGTCCAGTAACTGTCAGGATAGTCTGCATATGGAACAAAGTCCTGTTTTACAACTGGAAACTTAGTAGTCGATCCATAGCTTTTAAACAACTCCTCAAAGTATTCTGTGGCAGTGGAGTATTGTACCTTCATTCCAAGATCGTGGCTATTGATATAATTAATAATTCTATCCATGCTAGAATATTGGGCATGAGCGTTTCTAAATTTAAAGTCATCACCAAAAGGTACAAATATAAAGTTGGTTCTATAGTTTTGTGCTCTTCTTCGCATGTCCTCAATAAATTCCATGGACTTTCTTTCCACATTTTGGTCATTAATTTGCTCAGCTCCAGGCTTTTCGAAATCAAAATTTCTTGGGCTGGAATAGTGAGTGTGTAGAACCTCTGTGAAAATTGTTTTGTTGTCGCTAATATTCCAAATAAATTCTAAAGCCCTTTCGTTTTTCATGACACTTTTGATTGAAAAGTGAACTCTATTAATTACCAGAGCATCAAAACCCATTTGACTGAATATTTGTGGAATCCTTCCATCATGCCCCTAATATTGTTGCATAATGACATTTAATATCATAACCACTTGCTGCTACTTACGAATGGATCTATTTCGAACGATTTTGGTAAAAATATCTAAAGATATTATTCAAAATTAACATACCAATTTGCCATGCTACTCTAGGTCTAATTCCAAATCGACGCAATAAATATTCGTGACCAACTGTCATTGAATTAATAATTGATGTATAGGAAGCACATGCTTCATCTGTTTGAATCCAACCACCTCCTACAAACTCGAATCGATTTTGTTTAATCATTTTCTTGACGAGTTGCTGTCTTGTGGCTGGTTGCTGCTCGAACCATTCTTTAAAGTACAGCACATCACCCCATACAAATTTGGCGTGTGGCCGTGCAATAAGTTGCTCAATGATGCTATCAAGAATGAGAAATGTTTCGGATTGATATTCTCGTACTGTTCTTAGCCATCCCTGGTCAATATGCGAGTGGGGAATGACTGTGAAATGTTTCGAAAAACAGGATTATCAATTTAGAAGATCGGATATCACTCAATTCAACTTGATATTAATATTGATTTTAGAAACGTACTGAAAACTCTCAACTGAGAAGAAGCTCCAATGACTCCTTCCCTGGAAAATATACAACAAAACAACACCACAACCAAAATTATTCCAATCAAACGATTTCCAAATCCAAATCCGTTTGTATACTGTTTTTTCATATTGTCATTCCTATCAGCTGTTGATGTATTCATTGATTTCGTAAATGATGATGATCTTGTTTGCAATCCCGAATCATCACTCATTTTTTAAAGAAGGCTTCCTTGTATGATCCAAACAACAACGATGAAAAATAAAACCTCATCGGAATGGTGAGAAAGAATCTCTCCTTCTTCACTTTGAAATCTTCATCACGAGTTCTCATTCACAAAGGCTTACATCACTCACGAGAAGTTTTTAATCCTTGTATTGGCAAGTGCAAATTTCATGTTGAAGTGAAGAAGAAAAAAATGTTGCCAACTACAAATCATCATATTGAAACTGAAATTGAGGATAGAACTGAGGATATTGCTGGCCGTAGTGGTCATGGACATCGTCATACAGTTGATAAATCAACAAGAATAATTCCAGATACGAAATTGGGTGGATATGAATTTTGGAAGTCTATCGGATCCCCTAAACATGTTGTAGCTCCCATGGTTGACCAAAGGTACGTGGAATTCCAATATTTGTTGTATTATTCATACCATTGATTGTGTAGCGAGTTGGGTACGTACTCATCACACTTTTTATTATTAATAATTGCAATCATCACCAATTTTTATTAATTTAAATATAAATTACATTATCGGACACATTGCATTACTTTCTTTGCTCGCTACTGTGTAACTATGAAACAAAATAATTATGCATGATGCTACTACCGGGATACTCTCGGGCTCAACAACAGCATTCCGAATTTTGGCACACAACCATGGAGCTCATTTAGCCTACACACCAATGTTTCATAGCAAAGTTTTCAAGAATGATGAAACCTATCGAACACTTCATTTCCAATTTTTAGAAAACGAAGGACCAGTTTTTGCACAATTTTGTGCCAATGACCCTGATACCTTTGTTGAGTGTGGATGGTTAGCATGGGAAATGAGTAACCATAAAATTTCAGCTATTGACTTGAATTTGGGGTATGTGTTGGAGGCTTCATGAATATTATTTACCAATTTACCGTAATTGTTAATTTAATGGTTAATTCGTTTCACAATAGATGCCCACAAAGAATTGCAAAAAAGGGTAGATATGGATCATACATTATGGAAAACTTTGATTTGGTATATTCTCTCATCAATAAGGCACATAAAGAATTACCAGTTCCTGTTACTGCCAAGATTAGAATTTTTGAAGATATTGAGCTAACTTTGAAATATGTTGACACTGTTGTTTCAGCAGGAGCTCAAGTGTTATGTGTACATGGAAGAACGAGAGATCAAAGAGGTCACAATCAAAATTATGCTGATTGGGAGGTCATTAAATTGATTCGAGAACACGTTCCTCAAATTCCTGTCATTGCCAATGGCAATGTTCGAATGTATCAAGATGTACTTGATTGCTTGGAATATACTGGCGTAGACGCCGTCATGAGTGCAGAGCCCTTACTTTGCAATCCAGCTCTATTCAATGGAGGTACTCACATTTGCCCTATTGAGCTTTGTGACCAATATTTGGATATTTGTGAACGCTATCCGCCTCCAGAGCATAGTTTTGTAAAGAGGCATATTTTTCACATTCTAGATCGACCAATAGGAACTCAAAATCATTTTAGAGCCATGCTTGGTAACGCCCATAACATGGAACAATATCGAAAATTTGTGAATTACTTGAAAGGCCAGAAAGAAACTCTTTACTTGGATGCTCCACAGTATGAACCTTCGATCATGGTCGTGAGAGATCCTGCAAACCATCCCATTGATAAAAAGCCAAAAGGACGAGGTTGTCAACAAGTCGATCTAAACGAAGAGGAAGCGTCCAGTGCATTGGATCGAATTGCTAACACATCAAGGTAAAGTTCGCGCCAGTCAGTTCAACTACAAGGAGATTTAAAATCTCTCTTTGCCAATTTTGAGCACATAAAAAATGCAAAAACATTACAAAGTACCTCTGTTAGACGAATACCATTTGTTTGTGGAGGAGAACAGTGAGAGTATTGTCATTCCGAGAGATGGTGGGGATGAGCTGTCGTTTTATTTGGAAGAAAACTTGTTGGGAGTAATAATTCCAGCTCTGCAGGAGCTGTTGAAAGATTCCTCAATGGTGGCATCTCCAGAGTACGCAAGTGACGACATGAAGCAACAAGAACATACAAAATCAACAAATGTTTATTCTAAGGTGGATCCTCTCAGTTGGATTGCCATGTACCTTATTCGAAATAATCCCAAACATTCATCGGAAATACAAAATCATCCCTATTATAAATTATTGAAAGAGCATGTGGAACATATTCGACCCTTAGTGGAGCAGAGCAGAAAAACATTACAAAAATCACAAGAGGATATCCGTCACGAAATCAAAGACTTAGCTCTTCAAAAGTTTAAAAGCAAATAATATTAATTCGGATTTACACATAAATTAATTTCCAGTCCCATACATCTTAAATAATATTCAAACATAAATTATTCAAAGTCAAAAATTGAGGTAGCATATCTGCCGGAAATATTTAGAGAATCCAAGAAAACGTCAGCTTTTCGATTCTTTTCCAATTCCACTTTGAGATCTTTGGATGTAAGAGATTCCACTTCTTTTGTCATGGCCATAAGAGTACTGTCTGAGTGAGTGAGAAGCTTTTTTGGACCGCTCTGAGCAGTTCCACTATTGGAAAACTCAGCTGCTTTCTTTGTTTCCATTCGAAGTCGCTTCATATATCTACGAGCAAGAAAGGATCTCCATTGGCTTTGAATTTTTGTGGCTGCTTGATCCCGCAAGGCTCTGTCTTCCAAATATTTGACATACATTTCCTCAAGGAAAATTAAACGATCTGCTTCCCTTAATCGTTCCATATATGCAAATGATAAATTCATCTTCAACACTCGAGGAATATTTTGTAGGGCGCTGTCTTCACTGAAACGTATAGTGTGCTTCTTATCATTGTCTCGTTTCGATTGATAATGTTGAACAAGACTCACAGCACTATGTGTTTTTTGTTTTCGTTCTCCTTTTTCATTCATAATGTCATTGACATAATCGTTGAAGGACAGTTGTGAGTTTTGTCGAATGTCATCTGGTAGTAAGAGAGGGTTAGAATAAACGGAAATTCCAACCACTTCAAAGAGAGGAGCTAATTCTGTCAGCTTTAAAAAGTCGGTATCATTTCTCATTTTCAGCATGTAGTTTTCTCCATTGTACAGAAAAACGGTCTTTTTAGTGAGCTGACTTCTCCATAAAATTATGGATTCTACCAACTCTATTGTTACATCTCTTAGATTGGCCACAATGGTTGGTATTTCATTTTTGACCATTGGGTCCTGAAGCTTACTCATGAGCGAGGAGCTTCCAGGTCTATATCCATTGAAATGCATGGCAATTTCTTTGAGTCGCTTAATATACACTTCTCGTTGTTCCAAGCTTGTCAACACGCTGTGTTGAATGGAGCGAACTCCAGTTAATCGTGTAATTTCTCTGAAAATATTGACATAATTTATGAGAGTCTCTGGATAAAAATGTCTCTTTGAAAATTCTCTCCTTTCAGAGTCCTCAATATTCATTTCGTCCCACAAGTTCTCAATGAGGGATCGCGTACGAAGAAATATTTCTCTGAGAGAATTATCGAATATTCCCATTTGTTGCTTTTCTCTCTTTTTCATGTCAACAAGTTCTATCAATTGATTGAGCATGAGATTTTCAGTTAAGGAATTGAGTTTGTTGTTCGTAGCTTTCTTTAGAAAAGATCCCATTCCAGCTTCATCCACTTTCTCATTAGAATTATTTACTCCAGTTAAATTCTGGAGTTTTGCAGTTTCATCCTCTGTTGGAGTTTCAAAATTTCCAACTTCTCCCAATGCTGACAAGGGATCATTGTCATCCAGTGACTGTTGTTGATACAGTAAAGCTTTTGGACCCAATTTCTTTTTGGTCAAGCTGGACAAGTCACTCAAATTCTTTTGTGCTTCATAGAGAGTTCTTGTCAAAATTTCATTGAGCTGTCTCTGATTCTTTTTCAAGTTCTCTTCGTCGGCCCTTCGATCATAAATATTCATGATGGTATATTCAATTTTTTCATTTCGGGTAACGACTTCCTTAGCTCCAAAGTCACTTCTGGATTCTAATCGAGAAGTAAAGGTCTTGGGAGTGACATTTTGCCCTTTCGGAAGCATGCTTCCCGATATTGGATTGGCATGGAACGCTTGTGTCTTCATTCTTATTTGTATGTATATTCTTTAAAGCGAGGTTCCAATAGTAATGATGAACCAAAAGATTTCCGATTTGCCCTTGCTATGAATTTCAGGCTAAAGATGAGATAGTTGTGGTGTGTTGCAATCGTCGTAAATTTTCTTTTGTAACGGTTATTGAAATTCAAATTTACAAGAGAGATCAGCACGTGCTTGTTGGTGTTTCAAAGAGACGGAGTTCGTGCATCAATCAGCCACGCTTGAACTCGTTTCAATGAAATGATATCTTGAGAGTGGTCGATCGATTCGTGTTTGATCTATGGAGCCTTCTTGTTTTCAATTCAACACGAAAAGTGTGAGCAAACATGTTTGACTCTCATGACCCGAACCAGACTGCCGAACAGAAACAAAGCATCTACGGATTTGGCGCCAAATTATTTCAAAAAAATAACGAGAAACGATTCAAGTGGTTCCGTAAACCTCATCATCATCATCAACAGTTTTGGTTGGAAGAACAACCCGTTCATCAGTTGTTACCGAAATTGAGAATTATAATCTAGTAATACATGGTGATATCATTGAAATAAGCCGAGCCACCATCATCAATTATTTCAACGACAACAATTCAGAAATGAGTCATATTAAGGACAGCGGAGTAATGTTAGTGAAGAATGGAATAGATAAGAGAGGAACGTATATAATGATGCCTAACCCTCCATCCAATTCCATTACTTCTCCTGTTCAGCAAGTTACTTCATCCACAACATCGGCCCATCATAGCCCACCACGAAAATATAAAGCAAATAATCATCCAGTGGTACCGCCTCTGGAGATTGATCAGCTAAACAGCACGACATCAATTCTGAATGCCCTAATATCTTCTGAGGAGCTGAATCCTTTTACGGAACCAAATACAGCTACAGCCATAAAAAAAACCAGCCTCAACATTAACTTGAATGGGGTGTCATCATCATCTGCACGAGTAAAACCGTTGGCAGGACCTCCCTCAAGCAGAGGAAACAGAAACTCATTGTCCAATATTGCCAATAGTGCTAGATCCAACTACAAAACAACATCTTCAACAACCAATAACAATAATGCTGCCTCGTCCACTCTTACAACACCACGCTACCAATACTACCAAGTGCAGCCTCCTCAGATTGGGAGTATGATTTCTACCACATCAGTCTCAAAAAATGGATCTCAAACACCTCGTGCCACAAATACGAGTCCCAACTCAAAACCCAAGCTTAAAAAAACTCCCTCAAAAAGTTCAACAAGATCCATCATTAAGAAACCCTCCGAACCTTCTGTACCAACGGTGACAGCTAATCTTGGCATGTCATTCATTTCTCCAAGACCACCTTTAAACTCAGCTCGAAAGCCATCCCAACAAAATGTAGTAACGACCACAACATCAGCCGCCGTAGTGTCTCAGCCGCCTCAAATTACTCCAGATGAGCAATCCGCTTCTGTTACTGTTCCAACAGGAGGCAATGCAAGAAGATATAATTTTTCTCAAATACCAACAATTCAATCATCCAACAATCCACCTCCAGCCTCTCATCATCAAAATAATACGGTCGGAAGCCTAAAGCTCAATCTTAATTTACAACAGCAACATAAGGAGCCTACCATAGAATTTGAGGGCTTTGGTTCTGGAGTACCAGAATCTGTAAAAACTGCTCGGAATGTATCAAGTAAGCCTCAAGCAACAATGCCTTTAAGTGCTAGAGCTTCAAACTATACGGTAGATACCTCTTCCAATTTCCAACAAGGAATATCTTCATATGCTAAAGAAGAGAAGCAGCAGACTATTTATGATGTTAGTACAACATCAGGACACAGCTCACGGGCTTCATCTTCTAAATCTATACGAGGGCTGCCAAACACAACTGTAAATCTGAAGTTTATGGATCCTATCACTCCTGCAGCTGCTCTCAAGTCATACAGCGATTATTTAACGGATTATGAACAATCAGAAATTTTAGATTTCCACAAAATCTACTGCATTGGAAGCACTGCCAGAAAAATCAAAGGAACTGTAAACGCAAATGAAGATATGAATTTTGGATATGATGACGAAAGAGGAGACTACAAACTGGTACTTAATGATCACATTGGATATAGATATGAGGTTGTAGGATTTTTAGGAAAGGGAAGTTTTGGTCAAGTTGTAAAAGCCCACGATGTAAAGGAAAACAAGTTTGTGGCCTTGAAAGTTATTAGAAATAGAAAACGTTTTCATGCACAAGCTCTGGTAGAAGTTAAAATTTTGAAACATTTGAAGGACAATGATAAGGAAGGTAGACATCACTGTATCGAAATGTTGTCCTACTTCACGTTTAGAAACCACTTGTGCATTACATTTGAGTTGTTGAGTATTAATCTGTATGAATTCATCAAGAACAATAATTTTCGAGGGCTGAGCTTGGGACTAATAAGGAAGTTTGCATTGCAAATTTTAAACTCGCTGCAATACTTGTATGAAGAAAAAATCATACATTGCGACCTCAAACCAGAGAATATTTTGTTAATGTCGCCATCTAAAACAGATATCAAAATGATAGATTTTGGTAGCTCATGCTTGGAAAATGAACGAATTTACACTTACATTCAATCTCGCTTCTACAGATCGCCAGAAATCATTTTAGGAATTTCATACGGAAGAGCTATTGATATGTGGAGCTTTGGGTGCATATTGGCAGAGTTGTATACTGGATATCCATTATTTCCTGGTAGAAACGAGTTGGAACAATTATGTTATATCATGGAAGTAATGGGAATGCCATCCAAGAAATTGATTCAGCTGAGCACTCGAAGGAAAAAGTTTTTCGACTCCAATAATCAGCCTAGGTTAGTTATCAACAAGAAAACCGGAAAGAAGAGGATTCCTGGAAGTGTGACGCTACAACAAGCTCTTGATTGTCCCGACAAAAAGTTTGTCTCGTTCCTTGAAGGTTGTCTTAGATGGGATCCTGCCGAGAGATTTACTCCCGATGAAGCTTTCAGACATGAGTGGATATTGGAGTCATTAGCGCCCGTGAGGCCACAATACTCTCTAGAATCAAAGCAGGAGGAACGAAATGAGAATGACTACTATATTTTAGATAATAAGCATCATGTGTTACCAGTAAGTGTTATTGATTTTCTCTAACTCACCTTTTCAAAATTTTACATTGAATGTTATTCATGTCATGTAAATATTATGTACAATATGAATTTTCCATGGAATTCAAAAGCCAATTGGAGGCCAAGATTATTAAATTAATTTTTCAATGCCGACAACCGTTTTTGGAGTTCAATATCATCTTCATCTTCAACAACCTCTTCAGGCTCTTCAGTTTCCAATTCTGTTTTTCCGACTTTGGTTGATCTCAATTTTTTACCAAGCACTTCATCCAATACTGAGCTAACTTCTTCGTCGGCAGCTTCTTCAACATCCTCATCTTCCAAAACATCGTCCATCATATCGTCGACCATTTCTTCAATGAGTCCTGCCTTCTCCATTTCTCTTGACATATTTCGAATGGTCTCGTTAAGTTCTGGTAGTTTCATCATTTGATTCATTGCTTGCATGACTTCTGTACTTTTTTTCAATGCTCCCATCACTCGTAACTGTTGCAATTGTTGATCAAGTTGCAATATCACGGAATTAATTTGGGCTTTTGTTTTGTGCAATCGCACTTTTGATTTTCTAGTCTTGATTAATTCTCTTGCCAATAATTTTGCTCCGTCTTCTTGACCTTTCCGAAGTAAATCCTTGATATTCTTCTTTGCTTTCACTTCTTCCATTTCAATTTTCCGAATATTTCTGTCCATGTTTCGAACTTCGCCTCGCAAATTTGATTTCCATTCTTTGGCTAATTCTTCTGGTGTCTTTTTATGAAACACATCGAGTAGACCCATGATGTTATAATGAATAATTATTCGTTCAAGAGGATGATCCAATAATAATAACAACAATAATTGTTTTAATAGTGAACAAGATCCGATGATCGTTGTTGTGGCTTATTTTTTGATGATGATGGTTAGAAGTCTTTTTGAACCAACAACAAAAAATGTTTTCAGAGCGCTCTCGGAGCTTGTTGGACTGGTGTTGGCACACAAGCCTTTTCATCTTGAGATATTTGTTACATACCATCTATTTAATTTCGGAATGGTATTACTCCAACTTCTCCACGAGTGATTGGTTCAACCACTCGACGAACCGCAAATTCTCAAAACCAAATTCCAAAGACTCGCCAAGAAGAGTTTGTATCATCGGAGCTGGAGTTTCTGGATTGGTTCAACTCAAAACGTTATTGACTGATTTTTCAAATGTACCTTTTGAGGTCATGTGTTTTGAAAAGAGTGATCATGTTGGTGGATTATGGAGATTTGATGCAACCAAAAAACATGAGCAATTTTCTGAATTTATCCATGCAGATCGTGCTTCAAATATGAAAACGTCATTCTCTCATGATAGAGATTGGGAACACATTTCTCCCATGTATTCATCATTGCATACCAATACGAGCAGAGATTTAATGGCATTTTCTGATTTTCCAATGAATGAAAATGTCCCTGATTTTCCTTCTAGTGAACAAGTCTATCAATATTTAAAAGATTACACTCAACAATTTAATCTTGAAGAACATATCCAATTTAAAACGGAGGTGATAAAAGTGTCACAACAGCCCTCACGCAATAATACAGTATCCACCTGGTTTGTTACAACCAGAAACGTAGATAGCGGAGAAGTTACTGAGAGAGAATTTGATGCCGTAATTGTAGGAAATGGAAGAAACAGCAAACCAAGAATTCCATCATTTTTTCGAGATCTTTCATCTACATACAAATTTGGAAAAGTACTTCACTCGAAATATTACCAAGATGATTACGAGATATTTAAAGATAAGACAGTACTAATTGTTGGAAGCGGTTCCAGTGGAAGTGACATTGCTTCAAGAATAGCTCTCGTTACAGACAAGACATTTATTTCCGTTCACAAAGGTGCTGCACTATTACCGAAATTTCATGATGGAAAGCCAATAGATCACAATCCAATACGAAGACGATATTTTCAATTTCTTCCTAAATCAATACAGACGCTTCTTGCCAATTATTTCATCAATAGCAAGCTGCCAACGTCGAAGCAATTTTATCCATTCAACCACAACACAAATCGAAACCATACTGTAGGATTAAGCTCTGAGCTAATTATTGAAATTGGATTTGGAAGAGTAAAGGTGTTACCACCAGTAACATCATTTACCGAGATGGACATTTCATTTGAGAATGGCAAAAAATTGGTTCCAGATTATATTGTTCTATGCACCGGCTATGATTTAGATTTCCCATTCCTGGACAAGGATGTTTTGAGAATGGACCAACACTGCTCAAGGACAACCATGCTCTATGAGCACATGTTCCACATGGATCAACCAAATTTAATATTCCTAGGATTACCTTTTACAGTTCATCCTTTTTTAGTATGGTAGGTTAACAATTATGTACTTCAATTATTAATTTTTGGCATATTATTTGAAGCGAATTGCAAGCTCGATATGCAGCAATGGTTCTCTCCGGTCTCTGCTCAATCCCTTCAAGAAATGAAATAATTCTAGCAAACCAAAACAAAATCTCACAACTGGAACAAGCAGGAATTGACTCAGTCAAATTTTTTCACAGAGAATTTCATTTAGAGTATTGCGATAAAATTGCAAGACTTGGAGGATTTTATGCTCATCCATTCAAATTTGAACACTCGCCTTATTTTATGGACTTGATGTTTGGTCCATTGTATGGATATCATTACAGAATCGAAGGCATTGGTCACATGGCGTTGGAAGAAATTGAACGTGTCATGAAAATGTACAAGCAAAGAAACAGCTCTTATTGTGAAAAGACTGACAAGCAAAGATGACATTTCCAAATTCGCGCCAGCAAGATAAGAGGCCTTCTTCATTCTCAGTTGCTCCTCATTGCACAACAGTCTTCTATTGCTTCTTACTACTGCATCATTGGGGAAAAGTATATCTATCCTGCTTCTCTTGTTGTATGCATGGCATCACATACGCGTTTGTTAATGTAAAGGCAAGTAGGAGAATTGTTTCGAACCCCGTGAATGTATCAAGTAATTCTTTCCATTCCTTACAGCGCTTTTCAGAAGTTTTGTCCATGAATTTTTGAGTAGTAGATGTAAAGAAAAGTATATGTTGTGCTTGACATGTACATTTGCGTCACCCATAGCTCACCTCTAGATGTCGGTTGTGGGTTGGTTCTCCGTTCTAAGACCTGCACGACAAATGTGAACAACGATTTAAAAGTGTGAAGTTGGAATTGACGTTGAAGTATTGAGAGCGACTCCGCCACATCCACAATTTGGTGAGGCAGCCCAGCAGCATCAACTTTTGATTCATCCTTTCGAAAAAGAAACAACACAACAACAACACATAATCTAAACGACCATTGTTGCAACCTTGTGCGATTCGGTTGTGAAAATTCATCCCATAGAAGAGCTTTAACAAACTTTGAGTTACTTGGTCATTGACTCCAATCATCAAGATGGTTCCAATAACATCATCCTTGTCCTCACTCAGTGTTTCTTCATCAGAAAGAACCAATAACCAAGTCAATGATGATCATCTCATTCATTCTCCGACCACATGTAGAGGTTTTACACAAGATTTTACTGTTCGCAACAACCACGCTTCTCATAGAATGAAAGGAAAATGTCCCAATCATCGACTTGTCGTTCATCAAGAACAAACACAACAGAATGAACATGTAGTGGTCTATCCACCCACGAGCAATTTATCAACAAATATTGGTGGATCACCATTGAAAGGTTGTTATCCACCAATGGAATATTCACCTACAACAGTCAAATGTCAAGATCAGCAACGTGAATACCAAAACAGTAACAACATGCAAATAATGGCAACTAGTAGCAATCCCGTCAAAAGGTTCAGCTCTGTAACACCTTCCAGTAACAATCTCAACAACTATGCTTCATCAAATTCCATTTCATCCTCCACGACACACAACGCAAGCAATTTCGCCACTTTTCAACATTCACCTCAAATTATTCGATGGAATTACAAAAAGACCTCCTCTCCTCCTTCCATTATTTCATCCTCTTGCATGTCACCTTCTAACAAGATTTCAAAAAAACAACATTCCAAATTTGTGAATTATGGCTCCAGTAGTGGTCAATTGTATTTTATTAACCAACCAAACAACACCACTCGTTCGAAATCTGTAACAACACCACCTGCGTCATCACCTCTCCTTCCTCCATCTCAAAATGTTAAAAAGTCACCCCAACCATTGCATACTCGTCGAGGAAAAATTAAGGAATATGTATTTGTAAAGCAGTTCAAGAAGGAAGACTTGAATCAAGAACAACAAGAAAAAGCTGCATCACCCATGTCTTCTTCATCCAATAGTGTTTCGTCATTGGGAAATTCACAACAAGAAAAAGACCTGGATTTCCCTCGATGTACTTCAATGAACAACCATTCACCCATGAATACAACGAATACGGACAGTATCCATGTAGTAATTGCAAATGATTCGTCGTTGGTTCCATCAATTTCAACCTCTGTCGAGAATAATGGAACGCAACACAAACCCTCCATGGTGAGAACATCCATCTCATGGGCTGAAATTTTGAATTGAATTATTCAATGCCATTGAGGGGACGTTTTACATTAAAGTTGTTGGTCATTAATGTTGTCTTTGGACATGGTTTCAACAATTTTACATCCAGGATTTGAGTTCCAAGACTTTCAAGATCCCGTCCATAAAATCAAGAGAATTACCAATCGTTTCCCTTATTACAAACCTTGTTGACTAGCTCGATAATTTGAATGATTAACATTGAATTCTAAGAAAATATCGTTACCAGCAAAAGAAATCACGGTGAGAACATCCATCTCATGGTCTGAAACAACGTACCACGGATATGTACAGGCAAAAAGGCTACAGCACTGCAGGTTCCCAAGTTGTCTCCAACCTCAGTACTGGTGCAGCTCGACGATGCTTAACTTCTCAAATCGGACGGGATGAGGTGCATTCATCGTGATATGGCCGTAGCCATCCAAAACCAAGTTTTCATTCCATTAAACAGCACTAAGGCAATTCTTGGTTGTGTTTGCCTAGAAATGCTCCAAAATAACACTGTTCCCATCTCTTTCGGTACAATTCATCGCTATAGTTGTTGACATATCCATGAGATTCAAGGGCTTGTGAACAGATTTCTTCATCTTTCTGAGACACGAATGGCAAGTGTTTCATGACGCCACTATGTTGTTTCACTGCCTCTAAAACAAATTCTCTATCATGCACAAATTCAGGCGTCATGAAACCCCCGCTAATTTTGATTAATTGAAGTACAAAGTCTTTGTCTATTTTGAGCTCTGGGGAAACGTGTTGTAGCGCAAACGAAGTGTCGATAATTGCCTGCGTCACAACTTGTTTGTCTTTTTTAAGATCGTCTGAGGCATATCGTAATGAATCACCATTGGCTCTCACAGCGGTCAACATAACGTCCTTGTCATTCCTCAGTTCTTGTGGCACGTACTCAAGCGTATAGTTGGTTTTAACTGCTTCCATGACAATATCCTTGTCATGCTTGAGCTCGTCACAAGCATCACGCAGAAAAATCCCTTTTTTCTTAACCGCATATAACATTACTTCCTTGTCGCGCTTTAACTCTGGTGACACATACTCGAATGCATCTACATTTTGCTTTAGTATTTCCATAACAAAAGATTTGTCATTCTTGAGTTCGTTTGAAGCAAATTCCATCGATCCCTCATCTTGTTTTACCGCATGCATTACAACTTCTTTGTCGTTTCTTAGTTCATCAGAAGCAAGTTTTAAGGCAACTCCACAACGTTGCACAATGTAGATCATGACTTCTCTAGAGATTGGAAAGAAATCTGTATCCCGTTGTTGTTGCTGATCGCTTTAAGTTGGTCATTGTGGAATAGCAATTAACCCGGTTAAATACTTTCTTGTAACGTTTGGAATTTTTTTCAAAATTTAAAAAAACAACAAAATGTCAAGTCGAAAGAACTCGGATGATGAGTTTGGAGAGGAAGTGTCCGAGGAGGAAATGTTAGAAGAGGAAGATGAAGAAGAAAATAATTCGCAGCAGGAAATTCAAGACTTTTCTTCTTTAGCTAGTTCAAGCCAATCTGATACCACTATTCAAATTGCCAATATCGGAGATGATGACCGTCCATCTTCGGATGATGATGATAACGCCTATGTCATGGGAATTGATGAAGCTGGAAGAGGACCAGTGATTGGACCACTTGTTTATGCCTCCATGTTTTGCAAAACCAAATATAATACTGATAATTTCTTGAGAAAGACATTTAAAGTGAATGATTCTAAAAAACTGACTGCAAAAACAAGAAACACTATTTTCGATTTACTTCGCCAAAATGCGAAAATTGTGCATTACATGACGTGTATCATTACTTCTGATGAAATCTCTCACAAGATGCTTTCTAGGAAAAAGTACAATCTCAATCTCATTTCACATGATTGTGCCATTCATTTAATTAAAACGGCCAGTGAAGCACTCAACAAAAAGGGAAAGTATTTGAAAGAGGTCTATATTGATACAGTGGGAGATCCAACAAAATATCAAACCAAACTTCAAGAGAAATTTCCTGAAATTGAAAAAATTGTGGTCGATAAGAAAGCAGATTCTAAATATCCAGTGGTTGGAGGAGCTTCTATTGTAGCCAAAGTTAAACGAGATGAAATCATTGATTCCATTCAATCCAAGAAATACCCCAAGCTCAAAATGGGAAGTGGTTACACCTCTGACAAGTACACTAAGGAATTCTTGAGAAAGACACTCGATCCTGTATTTGGATACGATCACCACGACGTACGATTCAGTTGGGCTACTATTAAAAAGCTATTAGGTGACACGGCAGTGAATGTAGAATGGGAAGACGACGGTGACGATGATGATATGGGAGAGAATGCTTTTGAGAGTCCCTACGCAACAAGATCACAAACAAAACTTTCCTTCCACATTGGAGCTGCAGAAACTCAAAGACATCGAATCGATTTCATGAGTAATAGAAAAATAGAGCTGGTCTCTGACTTTTAGTCCAAACTATTAAACATTGACACCAAATTCTGGAAATTCCATTTCAAGCAAAAGAAAAAAATGACGAGAAGACGAATTCCAGCAAAGAGTTCCAAAAGATCCAAGAAGGAAATAATTTCGAGCGACGATGAGGACACAGAAACCGACGTTGTTTGCAATAATGATCATCATGTTGATGAAATTAAACACAAGAGAAATCATTCAGACCATTACATGACGATGGATGATCAAGACGATGCAATTATTATTATTTCCGAAGATCATGATGATGATTCAACTCAACCCCGAAGGAGTACACGACAAGTTAAAAAACCAAAACGTAGCGATGAAATGGAAGAAGAGATCACTGTACAAAAGAAAGAAGCATCTTTTGGAAAGAAAGGAGCTAAATCTAACTATGCGTATGTGTTTATTGATATGGAATATTCATCGGATGAATGATCACAAAATAATTGCAAATATTTCTTTGAAAATAATTTAACTCAGCAATCAGGTGGCAAGATTGTTTTACAAAAATTCTGTTTTGAACAAAGTTAACTTGGAGGTAAATAACAATACTGAGATGATTTGACCTAATTGAATTTCTCTCATCAAATATTTGTAGGATATATTTTCATACGATATTTACAAACTGTTAAACGAAGAGCATCAAAAATATCTGACACAGTTTTTAGTGCAGGATGGTGTGGATGTTGATGAGCAAGGTTTTGCTAAACGAAAAATGTTTTTAGATCCTAATTTTAAGGCGTCCATTTCAGAGTTTGAGAGGTTGCTTTCAGAAGGTTATTTAAACACCTCAAAAAAATTCAAAGATGTCATTGAAAACGTGATTGAGGTAAATCAGAAGAAGGGATACGTGGAAGAAGGTATGGAAAGCTACTGGCTAGCAAATGCAGACAAAATTGATACTTCATGGGTAAAAAATTTGGAAGATTAAAGAGTGAAAGACCTTGAAAATTGTTTTCATTTTCAACATTTTCTCCGTTTATTTACTTTGGTCTTGAAAATTGTTTGCATTTTCAACATTTTCTCCGTTTATTTACTTTTTCATACTTTCAATCGTTTTTTGAATAAGGTTTTGTGCCTTTGCGATTGCATTTCTTGTTCCAATCAATAAAATTCTCTGTGTCGGCTCTCCCTTCTCTCCATAAATAAGTTTCACAATCTCACATCCAGAATTGGATTTAATGCGACTCAATCCAGCGTTATTAACAAGCTTTCCTGCCTGTGACGAAGGTAGCTCAATGTGCTTCTCTCTTAACAACAATTCACTCACTTCCATAACTTCCTTGTACTGACCAATTAGAATAAAACCGCCATCACCAGCTCCCATTGAAACTGTTGGATATTGCATAATTAATTCTGCAATGTTCTTTCCCTTAGCTCCAATAATCTTTCCCAAATAGTGTTTGGAGACATATTGCTCTGATTCTTCCGAGCTTAATGACACAAGTTTACAAAGTTGATCTCTGTCTTCATATTCAAAATTACATTCTCGATCCAACTTTAAAGGAAAGAAAAACAATCTCATGTGTTGTTCTTTATGAGCATTATTTTCTGACTTGCTCTTGAAGAACGGATCGAGTGGTACATCCACATAGTAATATCCATCATCCATTTTCCCATATTTTGACATGTGTTGTTTGATATATTCTGGAATGTGTGGAAATTCAAAATCTCTCAAACAGCGATCATAGAGATGGCTTCTTCGTACAATGGTTGTGGACAGTGAAGAAGAATCTTTGGAGGGCTTGAATTTCTTGTTATACACAAATAATCGTTGCGTTTCGTAGAGGAATAACAAATGTTTCACATCCATTGAGGCACATTCAATTTGATCTTGACTCAATGGCCGAATCTTCCAATACAATTCTTGTTCGATCACATTTTTCTGAATTTCATATTTTGACGAATAGTCAATCATTGAAAAATCGTGCAACAATCTCACAAGACCCTTAATTTTGAAAAACGAGGAAACTGGATAATGAGATGTCATTACAAATTGATCCGTTGAAGCAGAAGGATAACTACTTGAAGCACTAGTTGATGGTATTGTATTCACATCACTTTCATCTGAACTTTGAGTATTGTTTGTGGCTGAAGGAGATGTTTGCGGAGAGGTGTTTGGATAGCCAGACATGATACACCATCGTTGGTTAAAAACAATATCCAACGGTAAATAATTATTGGACTTGTTACCAGTTGGTAGTGGTTCAAAGATTTTCACAACATCTGATCCTTGAAAACGAGGACTCTTTGGAGAGGTTACTTCTCGTGAAATGTTCTTTACAAGCTGTTGGATGTTTTTGCAAAGATCCTCCCAATTTGTGTTAATTTCGTGACATGTCAGTTCCTTGTTTTTCAAATATTGATCCATATTTCCTGAAAGCATTTCTAAAAACAGCTCAACATAATTTAGTCGAATAAGTGAATAAAAGAGATCAACACTCGTTTGGGTTTCTCGTTGTTGATGATGAGAGATCATGGCAAAAATAATCTTGTCAAACAACGTTGCAGTGTTGATAATCCCAAAATAATACAAATTAGAAATAAATATAATATTCAAATATCCAGTTCTTTCAAACATGTTTAGAGACACTAAATTTCTGACCAGTTCCGAGCTCATTGGAAGTATGGATGCATTGTTGTTACTTTCCTTGCTTGAGGTTTCAGGATCAAAGTAATTGTTTTGTAGATATTTTTCAAAATGAGCTTTTGAGAGAGTAGCATTAAATCGTTCCAAAGTTAATTTCAAAAGACTTTTCTTGAACTTGTTGATAAAATATTGCTTGTCCTTTCCAGATGCAAAGAATGTAATGTCATGCAATTTCTTTGACACATCTCGACACACTTTTGAGGCCATATGAGCATCTTTTCTGTCTTTTGATTTAAGAGAATGAGCAGTATGAACAATGGCATTAGACCATGACTTGGCACACAATTTGAGTAAATCCGAAGAAATATCAGCATGTTTGGAAGAAATCTTTTTGATAAACTCTTCTAATTCAACAAAAATAAACTCTAGAATTGAGTCATAGGAGGAAGCATGAAAACTATTGGTCATGGCATCAAAGTAACAATACCATTTCACAAAATGACTCATGTAATGCGATTCAATAATACTGAGGTTTCTACTTGAAGTTTTTGGAATATTGTGGAGGATATGGCTTTGTTTGATACAAATATCTGCGACTTGAGTATCCCATGTGAAATTCAGACGTGTTCCATTCATTTGATAATAGAGTACATCCTCGTCTCTTCTTCCATCATGTATAATTTTCAAAACTCGAGTCGATTCTAATAGTTCACGCAAGTTGGTTTCATTGGCAAGAGTTTTACCACCGATCTTAAAAACATCAATAATATAAATATCAATTTTTTCTTTCTTGTTCAACAAGGTTGCTTTTCTATTGACAAGTGACAGTTGAATAATGCACAGGGTACCACTTTGTTTTTCCAAATCAGGAGATCCTTCACAATCTAACCCAATACAAGGGGTATTGGTATTGAAGAGACGAGTTTGTGCATAATTTTTCGTTAAATCATTTTCATGTTGAGATGAATCTAATAAATCCTGAATGACATCTCTCAATAATTCGTTATATTTTTCAATGGAATCAATGAGATGAATGTCATGACCAATAGAGAGAATATTTTCACAATGACCTTCTTTGAAAATGGATTCGACCACATTGTCATCATCATTATGAATGGTTTGTTGATGACTCGATAATAACATGTTTTGAAAATGTTAAAGTAGTAATAAAGAAAGGAAGAGTAATGAATAATGAGTTGTGATCTTTTTCATCACCAGAGAGGATCTTTCAAAATTTAAATCAAAAATTATTGGAATGAGATCCAATGCATGAAATTATGGACGTGATGATACTATTCAATGATCCGACCACAATTTATTCTCTCTGCAGAAAAACCGACAGATAGACGCAAGGCGATCGAGAGGTTTTTTTTTTTAATTAATGAAAAATATGATGAAGATGGTGCAAATCCTCTAGAAATTACACTTGCACTGCGAGCGTAAAAATGAGCCGAATTTTTAATTAGTTTATTTATGATCCGCCAACATGTATTGGCCACGAATTGTGTACAAATAGAGCTAATAATATTTGTGAATTTGATTTTACTTGTTCCGATGAGATCGTTACATCGTTCCTGACTGTTTTCAGAAATTTTTTTTGGCCAAGCCTGCTCATAGTACATTGCCCACTGGCTCGTAGTGCATCGTAGTGGACGTTTGATTGGTGTATTAACATTTCTGGTGACGTTCGAGGACATGCACAAAGCCTGCTATGGCTACTATCATCACGAAGATCGTTGGCTCATAGTGCATTTTACTTTCTCGAGGAAATTGGGAACATTCAAAACTGGAGGTGAAGATGGAATGAATGCATGCCGAAACTTCACAATCTAAAATGATTTCAAATCTAAAAGTGCATAAACGACAAAATCAAGGTAGTTTTAACTTTCAAAGCCTTAGTAAACGATAATGATGCCAGAGAATCAACAACTTGGAATTTATACAACGCATCCTTGTTACTTGAAAGTTGAAAATCATCATGTCGTTGCGGAAATTAACTGCATCTATAAACTCGTTCCTTGTCTTGATCCGAAAAGTAAAAATCAAACACAAATGGAGACAAAGAAGAACAATTTTGTGATTTCTATTCTGGTTCATTTTCAAGTTCAAATAGTATTCGGCAACTTTGAACCAATATTTGCACTTTTTGAGTTAATTCAATGGAAATGGTCATCAGCAGGGTAGAGACTAAATTGAGTCAATTCTTGAGCACAACAGCGGTTACTATTAACTCTTAATTACGTAGCAATAGTGGATTGGGTTAAAACAACACATGTTGATGACCATGGATTCAACAGTATAGGAGAGAGTGAATACTTATCTTCATCAGAGAGATAAAAGTGTCAGTGCTAACTTGTTGTTGTTGACAAGTTTTGCATCCCACAAACACTCCCTCTAAATTCCTCTCTCAATATCACAAAACATCAAACACCAATTTCACTTACCCCTTCTGATTTTCCAAGTCTTCCATGGTTTTCAATTGCTCATAAAAGACAATGGATAAATTTTCATGAGTTCAATGAATTTGTAAAGATTCCTCTCCAAACAGAACACACCAACCAAAATACTTCATCCAATTTCTATTTGCAATCAAGGCCATCATCTATCATTGATCGTTTAGGGAGATTAAAACTGCAAATGAAAAATTTTTCTTTGCGAGATGAGTTTCACAAATGAAGAGAATCTCAGTTCGAGATCGATGATGGGTTCATTTCATTGTGTTTTCCGTATGTGTGGTTCTAACGAATGGCCTGCTTGTGCATAGAATCTCACCAAAGACTCCAACGTTGCCCATTCTGGTATTCTACTCCAAGAGTAGTATGAGTAAAGACTCTTTTAGTTCGACAAATGTCACCACAAAAATCGCATGCGCTCTTTCTTTCAATATCGAGAAGAAGGCTTGAGTGTGTGGGAGTGCAATAAAGTCACTCGACTCGACGCAACCCATGTCCCAAATAAACACAAAAAAAACCAACACAACAATACGCGCCAACAAGCAGTTGCTGATAGTAGTAGTCTGCCTCACTCCTCCCATCATCGAAGCCTCTCTCCCTTTTCCGAGACACGATCACACCATATTATCATCAACACAAGCCTTGTTGTTCAGCCAACATCATTACTCCCATAACACTTGTTATTCTGTTATATAAAACCATACCACCATCACCACCAACACAAATTCGTGTGTTATCCAAATCGTCGAGAAAGCCTTGTAATTTTAAGGAACCTGATTCATCCTCACCCTCATCTGAATTCATATCATTATACCCACCACCAACAATAACACCACTCATTACAAATGGTAGAAAAGAAGGCATCTAGCAGAAAGAACTCTAACGGTAGCTCACTCTTCACTGCCGAAGATGATCAAAAACTCATCGAAGGATACAAGAAGTATGGTAATAATTGGAAGGATATCTCCCGAGAATATTTCAACGGTCGATTCAAGACCAATCAGCTTTTCCAACGTTACAAGAGAGTTCTCGTTGCTAAGGATAAGGAATCCACTTGGTCCAAGAACGAAGACATTGAACTCCTCTCTGTGTATCACCACTTTGAGGGATCTTGGATTCAAATGAGCAAAAAGTACTATAAGGACACCAGAACAGACAACCAACTCTCAAACAGATGGGCTTCTCTGAAGAAGAGTTGCTGCCTCATTGACACCTTTTCCAAGTTGAAACCAAACATTAAGAAGGATCTCTACACATTTTACAAAAAGGCAAGAAAGACCACTGGTCCAGACAGTATTAGGGAAACTAACTTTACTGAAATTGTAGAAATTCCAGAAGAGGCCTTCCCAAAGATTTACCTTGGTGAAGGACGAAGAGTGCAAAAGGAAAGCTCTTCGAAGAAGAGAAAGACAGCTCCAAAGAGAGAATTGCCAACTGAAACCTCAACCAAGAAGAGAAAGACATCTTTTATTGTTGAAGACGATGAAGACGATTCTTCCTCTTCAGAAGACGAAGATGAAGTGTCAACCAATGACGATATTGCCATGTTACCAAGAACCACACGAGGTCAACGAGTCAACTACTCCAAGATGCTTAGCGACGAGGGAGAAGATGACAGTGCCACTAATGAAGACGATGAATACGTACCAAAGGAAGAGGAAGAAGAAGCTGTAGTGCTACCATTGCCAGCCCAAAAGCAACAACAACCACAAGCCTCTTATTATCATCCACTCAGCCAACTCTCCAAGCAACAAGTTGAATGGTTGCAAGCTCAAAAGTGTCCATCCAAGAGATCCTCATCCAGCACTGCTCCAGTTTTTGTTACGAACAGTGTTGATCTTGCCTGTGACGAAGATATTGTTGCTCCACAACAAGCACAACAAGTCTTCGTGCAACCTCAACAACCAGTGATGGTCAAGATGGAGAAGCAAATCCAATACACTGTCGTTGACAATCGTGACGTTAATCTCAATTTCAATGAAGAAGAGTGTTTGGAAATTGAACGATTCCTTGGTGCACCTTACAGCAACTTTGAGACTGAGCGAAACTACTCGATGGAAGACATTTTGGCCCAAACAAGAATCATTAAGGAATTCCTCGAACAGTCCAAGACAATCAAGCCACAAGAAGAGAATCCATTCACTGCCATTCATGACGACTTTTGTGCAGAAGCCTGCAACAATGACATGTTTGATTTCTCGACTTTCAACAGAGCTCCAAAGTCACCTTTGCTGTTCGATGACGATCTTGATTTCTTGTAAACCTGTTTACAGCAAGTTTACCTAATGATTCTCCAAACCTAACGTTAACCAACCATCCCTAGATCTCCTTCCACCGTACACTTGAATATGTACATAACAACATTCTCTAATTTATAAAACAAATACTCTTACTTTAACATGTGTTGTTACTTGTGCTTATCGATCAATCGAAATCACTATTCCCATCTCAATAAACCTGCCACAGAATCCAAACCTGCTCTTGCTGCAGTTGGAGGTCGTACTCGAGGTTTCAACTCGATGTGATTGTCGTTGAGGACCTTCCAGTAGTTGGTTGTAGGAAGCAGGTCTTTGGACAATTCAGCCTGTTGTATGAATGTCGTTGAAATGAAGTGTTGTATGATGATCAAGACATTAGATTGAAATGTAATGAGGTATTGTATGCAGTTCATGATGGTGACAGGTCAAGAAGATGCAAAGTTGATGAGGTATGATGTCATAGTTGATTAGTAATGACAGGGTTGTAGGTAGCACAATTTGAAAAGTAAGTACAAATCAATGTTAAAATCATACAAACCTTAACATTCACCAGCGAGGATTGTTCAAACGACGACCTTAATGCCATCGATGAGTTCTGCTTTTTTCCAACTTTACCAAAATCTGACACCTTTTTCTGGTCGTCTTTTGAGAGAGAAGATGGATCAAATGTGAGAATACTCTTGACATTTAGGTCTTCATTTGCATTGTCGCAGGTGGGATCACTTTCTGTGGTGGTTCTCTCTCGTGTTGGCGTAACTAATCGCCTTCTGTGCACTCCGCTTGTGTCTGGGGGATCAACAACAACATTTCTGGGTTGGTAAACACTTGCTGATTGTGGCCGTTTCCTCATGAGTCGCGGAGGTGGAGTCTTAGATTCCTCGTTACAATGAGTGCCACATCTTGCTTTCCTTCTTACTTCATTGACCAATTCTTTCGATGATTCATTGCTAACATTGGGTCGTTTTCGAGGTTTGTCCTTCTCTTGAGTGGCATTAAGGACAGTCTTTCGGCCAGCACTGAAATTGGCCTTTGGTATTCCATTGATGATAGATCCTCCCGGTAGAACACTACTCAGGCTCACAGCTGCACTCTGAATACTTGTATTATTTCTATATTGATTATAATGATGGGATATTGAGGATGAAGACCTCACCGATGAAGCTGATTGAGGCCTACTCGAAGAAGGTGAGGATGAAACACGATTGGAGGCAACTACGACTGGACTCCCCCGAGATGAGGCTAGAGGACACATTTTTTAAAAGTATGTCTATGAGGGTGTTGTTGTAGGGGAATAGTTGTTGCAGCAAGTAAGGATGATACAACTCTTGAGAGAGAGAGAATATGATGAAAAACACAATTAAGGACGAGAGAATGGAACCAAATACAGACTAGCCAGCACCAAGGGCTACTGATGATGATGAAGAGACTATTCCTGAAATGCCCGCTTGGGGGTTTGCTTCTTTTTTTTTTGGCCATACATCCACAAGCATTCGCTCGAATGGAAACGAGAGATTGAATTTGACATACACAAATGATAGAACTTGCTCTGGAAGTTTGTATTTCTGAGCTCGATGGGACAAGATTGGAATACAAATGGAGTGTGTTAAGGGTCGATAGTTACATGTACACGAAATGACACGTCAAGACAAGGGTAGAATTTATGATGTATTTCGAATAGTTGTATTGAGGAATATAATACATCAAATAGGTTTATTTGTTGATCTACAGAGAGGCAATCAAGTGGCTTCAGTATGCTCATCAGCAAAAAGGCTCTTTTGTAAACCATTCGTACGAACTGTGTTTGTTGTGAAAATCTATTTTCCATTTTCCCTGTCATTATACATATGACGGTGATTCATGACGACATCCTTTCAACACTGTTGCAAGATGTCGATTCATCTGTAAATAGTTTCTTTTCAAAGCATATGGGTACTTGTTGTTCGTACTGTTCATAATTGAAAATTGTTGAACCCAACCAAAAAAGTTTATTTCTTAATTTTATGTTATCAATATGACTCTGTGAGTTTTTTCACCTATTCGGCTATTCATAGGATTGAACAACAACTCTCTCTGTGAGAAAGAAGAAAGCAACGAGATGGAAATTGAATCCCGCCAAATTTTGTACATTTTTCAAACATTTAAAAAATACACGCAATAACCAACTAACTACAACATCCCCTTGAAAGAGGAGTCAATCACATCGGAATCTCTATACCCTTACACATCCAATACAAATCACACTAAAACTATTTATTATGAGCTCCTTGAGAAAGACTGATTATTTGAGAAAAGCCTCACCAACAACGTCGTTACCATCGAAAAGCGGCATCGGAAAGAGAATAAAATTGAGTGATGAACAAAAACAAGAAATTAAAGAGGCCTTTGAATTATTTGATACGGATAAAGATGGATATTTGGATGCACATGAATTTAAAGTTGCAATGAGAGCTCTCGGTTTCGACATTAAAAAAGAAGAAGTGCTGAGGTTGATGAGAGAGAATCTTGATGAGAGACCTCTTGACGATTCACATCCCATGATGATCAGCTCCGATTCATTTCTGCAGGTGATGACGGACAAGATTTTAGAACGAGATCCGTTAGATGAAATTAAGAAAGCTTTTAAACTCTTTGATGAAGATGGAAATGGTAAAATAAGTTTAAAAAATTTAAAGAAAATTGCAAGAGAAATTGGAGAAAGTATGAGTGAGGAAGAGCTGCAAGCAATGATCGACGAGTTTGATCTTGATAGAGATGGAGAAATTAATGAAAATGAATTCATTGCCATCATGAGCAATAATGATGATTTGTAAATAAAGAACTCCAAGTTGATAAATAATCAAAAGCAGTTTATCTTCTAATTAAATAACAGAACACACCTAAA